AATCGAGCGGAACTTTTATCGACCCACTGTAGGTACATACATACATACATACATATGTACATGCCATGCCTCAGTATGTGTGTACGTACCTACCTACCTAGTAGGCGGCAAGTACCCACGTAATCACGCCAGACACAAAACTGTGGCTTCTCGCCTGGTCTTTTGATAACTTTCTGGATTTCATATTCCCATTGCATGCGCAGGAATCTATGACGCCGCACCTCAGATACTAATCTACCCCCCGTACGAACAGAAAGGGCATGTGTTAAAACAAAACAAAACACAGTTGGCCTCTAAGATCCTGGCGTCAACCTTTTACCTCATTTCCTTCGACTACATTTCTAAGTATCATGCATGGCACATATCGCAGAGCACTATCATATCTACAATGTATGATATCAACACCGTTCGAAGCGTCAATCATAAAGTATTATACCTTAGCCGGCGATGTCATTAGTGTACACATCATTTGCTCCTTCATATCGACGTAAACCAGCTAGCTGCCTAAGAGTTCCATGTCCACCACCGCTCTCGTCCAAGTTCAAGTTTCGTCGTTGAGTGTCGTTGAGTGTCATTCAAGTTTCCCGTTCGTCAATGTAAATACCTAGACGCTGCTCGGTTAGCATTTCTGCTCCTATTATTGCGCTCCGGAGCCCATGCTGCGAGCTCGGTCGCTCCCTCTTTCGTCGAGAGCCTGGCATCGACCCCTCGTCCGGCACCCGCTTTCTCTTCACCTCGCCCGTAGTAGTCAGCCGATTGCCGCTGCTACTATCCAACTGAGCTGCCTCCTGGCTTTTCTGCGCTCCGCCAATAGAGAGCGGAGCAGTCTGCCCATTGCTGCGAGTCCCCGCAGCCGTAGCTGTCGGAATTGCAACTGACGATTCGTTGGTAGCCGTGCTTGGTACAGTTACACCTGCAGCCTCGGCTATAGATTTTTCTGTTTGTTGTCTTTGACAGCGTCTTAGGGTTCTCTCTTTCGCTTCTTCCAGCCTTTGGCCCTCCAAAATTCGAAACTCGCCATCGCTGCACTGGTAGGACACGGCGGTCATATGTTCATGCTGGATGGTACGCGATTGCCCTGTAAGCGTCCATCGGATCTTTTCGTCCGCTTTGCGGTTTCTGTTTTCTTTCTTCTCCTCTGCCGTCTTGGGGGGCTGTCTTGTTCCTTGCGGCTTGGCTACGGACCTTGATGCCATTGATTCAGCCCGTTTCATTTGCTGGAACTTCATCGTCACCGGTCCTTCCGGGTTGGTAAAGAAATTCTCTCCGCTTTTCATTGGAATATGCTCATTTTTAGAATCAAGGACGGGGAACTGAGCTATTCTGATGGCTGGCTCCGGTCCCATTTGAGTCGCAAATGCCCTCACTTGGGCCACGGGTGGCCGGGATGGCTGAATATCCGTCATCACTGTCATACCAGTGCTAGTGTCGAAAAGCACTGGCTTTAGCTGATCAGGTGCAATTGTCTCGCTGAGAGTTTTCCAAGAGTCAAGAATATCCTTCGGGCCCCGTGGCTTCCCGTTGTTGCCCTCTTGGCGGAAGACGCCCGGGTAAAATTCGTCATATGCCCAAGCAATAACATTGGCACACTGCGCTCCGTGTATGGATGGCGGATTTGTCCTCACAACGTGGTCTATAACAGACTGTTCCAATTCAGCTTTTTGAACTTTCTTGTGTGGCCGGTATCCAAGCATTGTGCCGCTTTCTCTCATCTCCTTCTCCATCTGAGTCAAGAATAGTTTCGCGGCCCATGCGGCCCCGCGGACAAAGCCGTCAGTGATAGCGGCTTTAGTTGCATCCTGTGATGACATGCCGAGCTTGATATCTTTCTTGAGAAACGGTTTGACGTGTGGCTCGACAGTGTTGGGACTAGTATCCAGCCAATTCGTATAAATATCGCCGAGGTTCCATGTGGAGCGGAAGTCTCGGTTCCTTAGCCATTCGTGGGAGTTAATATTTGGAGGCTTGTCTGCACGGGATGAATACGATTGGTATCCGTCTGCAGTATAGTACAGCTCCATGCCCTGATTTTGGGCTGCCGGAAGTGATTGGGCATGTATCTGGCCATTGCCATGGCCCAGCGGCAAGAACTGTTGTGGTGGCTGCGCAACTGAAAGAGAAGTATGCACTCCCTGCTGTACTTGAGGTGCGTCTGGAAACTGCTGAAAATTTGGGAAGTAATGCTGATTTTGTGCTTGGCATTGATTCGCTAAGTTTTGCTGGGGCAAGGAAGGTTGGCTAGGTTGGTTGTGACGAATATTCTGAGCGAAGTGTGGAATGTGGCCAAAGAATTGCTGGTTCGTGAAAGCATGGGAGCCTGGGCTGTGCCGGGGCTGCTGGAAAAACTGAAATTGCTGAGAACCTTGGATCTGTCGAGATTGCAGAAACTGTGGCTGCATATGCTGCGACTGCATTTGTTGCGTCTGCATCTGTTGCGACTGTTGCGACTGTTGCGACTGTTGCGACTGCTGCGTCTGCATCTGTGGTGTGGTCTGCCGATGCTGTTGACTCGGCTGCTGTCCGGGGAGATAATACATGTGTCTTTCCAACTCCGGGGGCAATACCAGCTTGTTCTCGGTAGTTCTCTGAACACTATTTTGGAGTACTTCAGCTTTCGGTTTGGGTATCTCATGTGACTCGAGATACCGGATATGGCCGTCCACCCCAATGTCGGGTGGCAGACGGGAGACTCGGTGCCGAGGAGACGCGTTCATAACCAATGTCGGCTCGGTTTGGGAGGTTCCCAGGGTAGCAGCAGAGCACAAAATGGTGCCAGATGCCATCCGCGTGGCCTGGGTCGCCGCTGTGGCAAATTGTGTTGCCGAATCAGTCATCGATCGGTGAGCTCCATTCCCTGATAGCTCTGGACGAAAAGTGACCGTTTCTTTCTGTTGAATGGAGTCATCTGGGGCGGTTTCGGCCCCAAAATCGGGTTCTAGCGTCGCTAACGTATCATCAACGCCTTGTCGAGGAGCACCAGCGTTTACGCAAGCATTTCTGACGATGGTATCTGAAGTGTTGCGAAATGACGCTGACGTGACGGGAGGTGTCGAGATAAGAGACGTGTTGATCGTGCCAGGGTCTTGAATACAAGACTCGGTCGTGAATTCGCTTAGAATTGAATCCCATTCTTCGTTGGAATTCCCAAAGGAATTGGTGAAGTAGCCGCCGGAGGGGAGCTGTTCATCAGCGCCTTTCAAGTTAGGTTGGGGGCCGCTGTCGGCATTGCCAGATTCGGGAATATCAGCAACTTCCATGCTCGGGAAGTAAACATCGCCCATTGTCAGTATGATGTTCTCCCCCAGAGAATGGATGAAACGGTGATGGCCGTCGCGAGGCCCGTTGAGAGCCACAGAAATATACCCAACAGTCCCGTAGCGTTGATGATTGAGGGGAGAATATCTTGCAGGCTAAGAACCGAAGTTGCAGAGATGAAGCAAGTGATATCGAGAAGCGGGTGCGGAAGGGAAAGAGTCGAGAGTCGTGATATCGCAGTGGGTGCAAGGTATAAGAGTAAGACTGGAAAGGGAGGAATAGCTGAAGCGATGCCGTTCGCTGCAAGAAGGAAAAAAGCGTTCAACGCTGAAAGTGAGAATCAACTGCATACCAAAGGAAATGCGGAGAAGAAGCAAGAAAAATAAAGGTGGCGTAAAAGCAGAGACGGGTAAAGATAATTGATGAACGTGACGAGGAACTGAAGGTTTGAGGCGCCGCCTCGGTGGTGGAGCCAGAGAGTGTGAGTCTGAGTGTGAGTCTGAGTGTGAGTCTGGAAGCGTGCAAGCGAGCAGAGCCAGCAGAAGCTGCCTCTACTGACCGACCGACCGACCGAGTACCTACTGTACCTGTAGTTACCCAGTAAGGTAGTACCTAGGTAGCAACCAAGGCTGCAAACCCTGGCTGAAGTACTAGGTTGGTCAGCAAGCAGGCAAATAACTCATATCCGTATGGTAACCAATCTGCAACTATAGTTGTGCTCTGTATTACAGCGGATACCCGTATTGGAAGTCCACGGATGGACCAAGTTTGCGCAACAAGCGCCGGTCTCGCGCGGGCGCTCGCAGCACGCTTGGCCACTTTGGATGGAAGTTTGCCTGCTCAGCCGGCGCCCGTAGCTCACGAGAGGGGCGTATAGGTAGATATTTGAATGTTTTTCTGATGCCAGGAGACAGAATAATGGGGACGGAGCCACTTGCCTCGTCAATTCAAACCGTCCGCTCTGTTGTCAGGAAATGGTCATGGCAGGCTGCCACTGCATTGCAACACGCGCGCCACAGGGAAGTGAGGAAGTTTCTATCTTTGTTTCTTCACGTCGAACAAGCCAAGCCGGAATTCAGGAACCCAGAGACAAAATTAGATGCGGAGGGAAAAGTGGCGGATTCGCAGGTGGGCGAGTCGCTCTTTTCTATTTGCGACATGCCTTTAACACTCCCGACCAACGTGACTTAACCATCCTGCGGCCAGCTTGCGAGCTGAGGACTTCCTTTTTCGCAGTATCCCCTGGTGGGTAAGAGAGCTGGTTGCGCGGGTCGATGGAAGCCAGCTTCCGAAGTTGCCATCGTCTTTACAGGTAACCCATCTTCAGAGTTTGCTGCTGCGCCTCCACGATCGCTATCCCAGCCATCGCGGAAGATGGACCTGCAGCCTGTAATTATCCAGTGGCCTCCGTGCTATTTAGGTATCATGCAGCCCACTCTTTCTTCAACCAGGGCAGGCTGCATGGCTGACTAGTTATCCGTAGATTAACTGCCCTCTAAGACAAGGTATCCGATGCAAGATTTTATTCATGCAAGTAAAGAAATCATCAATAATGCCATCCAACACCCACAACCCCTCTGATACTCTGGCACACTCACTCCCTGTCCCTAAGGTACCACCTAGATAGTACATAGGTGATGGACTTGGGTGTCCTGCTGCCGAGCCTGCTGTTACCATGCGCCGCCGGGCCAACCAAATCTCTCCCCCAATCACTCAATTGAAACACGGTCAAGTATGATGGCGCTTTACGCCACCTCTTCCACCATCCTAGTTCCGTTGCTACCCTTGCTCGCCAGCCCGAACACATTGCCCATCGGGCCCCCCATGATCTCCTCGGGCACGGCAATCTTACTGCCTCCCTTGTTACTCACCCATCGAATCAGAGTTGCGGCCGGCTTAGCATCGGCCTCAAGTGAGTTACCACGGGCGCCCTTTTTGCTCGTCTTTGGCGCCTGTTTCTTTAGTAGTTTGTTGATGGTCTCCATCTGTTGATGTCGTGATTAGAACCCAGTTGCATCGTATTCGCATGTTGCGCGACGTACCTTGACCTCTTCATTACGCTTCTCGCTCAGATTTCGCCGACGGCGGGCCATTTCCTGGCGGCGCATAGACAGTTCTTCTGCCGTGAAAACCTTTTTTGCTTGTACCTCTGCAGTAAATATGATTAGCTTTGCGTATGCATCATCGGTGTCTCGGCACGCACCGTCCGACAGCTTCATGTATTCTTGCGGCTGCTCATCAAAGCGGGCTCTCTGGCGCTTGGTCATTTTTGCGAGGTCTGGTGTGCCAGCGCGGCTGCCATCATCATCGCTTTCCAGCTCTTGGATATCTGCTTCGCCCTCGGCATCCTCTTCTTCGTCCTGCTCCTCGTCCTCGTCCTCGTCCTCTTCGTCCTCTTCCTCGTCCTCCTCACCATCTCCGGCAACCTCAATCTCCTCTCCTTCGGCATCCTCGTCGGCCATATTCTCATCTCCCAGGCCCATGGTCGCATCTCCCAAGTCACTATCTGGCTCACTAAGCTCGTCGTCATCGTCATCGTCATCGTCGTCGCCTGCGACAATGCGAGACGCGGCTGCTCTGGCAGTAGTACGAGGCTTAGCGGAGCGCGACACCTTGATGCTGGTTACCTTGTTGCGACGTGGAGGCGGCGCTGCATCCATATCGACATCGCCATCGGCGTCAAGATCCTCGCCCTCGGCATCCATGTCCACCTCATCCTCGCCTTCGGCGTCCTCGTCAAGATCGACCTCCACTTCATCCTCCAACTCGTCCTCTTCATCCTCTTCGGGACTGGAATCGACAACATAGCTCTTCTTGGCACCACGGTTACGCTTGCCGGTGACGATTTCGCCGCCATCGAACTGCTCAGAGCGGCGGCCTGCACGGGCCGACTGACGGGACCGGGATGGCATGCTAGCTGACTCTGGGGATGAAGGCGCGTCGCGGTATACAGCGGAGCGTCCTGAGCGGCGGAATGGAACGGGACTGTTGTCAACCCTTTCATTGTCAGCCCATTTCGATTGCACTGAGATGTTTTCAGTCGCCTTGGTAGCGGCTGAGCGTTTGGGGCGAGACGCCATAACGGGCGAGATGTGGATGAGTGAACGGATGTGTGAGGGTGGCGATGCAGTGCGCTAAATTCACAGCTTGTAAGCCGTTAATGCGAAACTGGTGGTAGGTATGGTGAACACCTGCTTTGATGCTAGGAGCTGCCTGTTTGTGGGTGGAGGACGGGGTTGATGTGGGAGCGCAGGCAAGACAGGTTTTGGTGTTTGTTGTTCCCAAGCGCCGACGGTACCAGCAGCCAACCCAGTTCACTTGATATTAACCGACACCGACCTCCCGCGAGCGTTGATTGATGCGTCGCGCCACACTGCTCGCCCCTAGCACCAGCAGTACCAGCGCAGTTGATGTTGCAGCAGCAAACGGAAACAGCATTAGTACATACCTAGGTAGTGCCTATTCGTGTGTTGGAAATGACTCAAAAAGTCTTTTGATTGTAACAGCAGCACGCGAAGGGCAGTCAAAGCTGAACGCACATTGTAAAATTATCTAGCGGCCTCTTTCTGTGCGACAAAACTAGGTAGGAGAGTCGGCACTGTGCCGCTGTCGGCGGCCAGCGAATAAACGATGCTGTGTACATACCAATCTATCTTTGGCTCCTTGGTGTTTTGTCATCCGCAGGGCGATACATGAAAAAATATTGTAGTTAGGCAGATAAATAAGTAGTTCTGCGGGGCCACTACCTATGAGGCTCATCCGAAGTTTAGCCGTCCTGGCTTTCGCATGTACCTTTTTTTCTGATGCTGCGCCACTCAAAGACATGAACCAGTGATGCGTCGCTCCATTCACGACTGGCCTTCGATATCTTACATAGATAGGCACTTCGCAATGCCATCTCACCACTTCACAACAACCGTAGGCTTCAATCTTGTTGAGCATATAGATGGGAGAATGGGTTAGTAAATATCCAATTACTCCTTTATCACCCTTCCCACAGCTTTACGGAGAGCAGACCCAGCCCTCTTCATTTTCTCACGCTTCCATCGTGGGGTCGTCTTGGGTCTGTGATCGGCCGAGATCTAGGCCAGAATCAGCCAACCAGAGTTGGAATGAGGAGAACAACACACTGGCCCTATGCTTTGCAGCTTTAGGAGATATACTTTGACACACCTGGCTTGGTTAAACTGGAATGATTATTCATGGCAAACGCGCCTACTTACCCCATAGCTTTGTGAATATGTAAAAGCGAGTCTTTCAGCTTCGTAGAGTTTATTGCATATATATAATGAACCATATCTCTGCATGACGTTTTTTTGAGCGTGAATGGGTATCGGCCTATAGCAGAACCAGAAGTTTGAAGTAAGGGTTATTAACACAATCATTCCCTGGTTGCGATGGCACGACCTAACTGAGTTACAAGCCTTTCCCCCCATGCAATGATGAATTGTAGCGCCCCACTATAGCTTTGCCTCGGCATCATGCACCAGCGATCTCACAGAATATTGATTGTTCGGTTCCTTCACAAGGCATCACATCACAGAGTTCTTTCCACCATCAAGAGTACAAACCGCAAAAAATAACTTACGCAATGGGTAACTCGGGCGATGACGGCATCCCCTCGTGGCAACGGGCACCCCAATCAACCTCCGTAGCTTCGCCAGGTGCCGCGGCAACACAAGCAGCGAGCACCGATGCCGGTGGCGATGCCGGGAATCCTAGCGCAGATGACAAACTGGCAATTGCGCGACGCTTTTTAGACGACGAGAAGGTCAAGAATGAACCGCAGGACAAGAAAGTGGCTTTTTTGAAGGCAAAGGGCGTGGAGGATGTCCATATTCAAGAGCTACTGGGCAATGCTCACGCGATCGTAAGACTGGACACCTGGAAGCGTCACGAAGCTCTCAACTAACTTGTTGTTGCTCACCTAGGCTACAAAGAATGAGGACGACGCTTCTTCTCCCGTACCATATAAACCTACATCCGCCGCCGCTGAACGAGCTCCGATCGTCACATACCCCGAGTTCCTTGCCAAACCGCAGCGCCCACCACCGCTCGTCACTACGCAGGGTCTTTTCAATACGGTTTACGGATTCGTGGGGCTTTCAACGCTCATATACGGAGTAAGCAAATACGTGGTCGAGCCCATGGTTGAGAACCTCAACAACGCGCGTCAGGAGCTGCACGTTACAACGGCGAGTCGCCTCGAAGAGCTTGTGAACCAACTCGAACGTACGGTTTCCGTCGTACCGCCCCCCAAGCATGCTGCGCCGGTTACTAGCCCACTTGCATCCACTACTACAGCTATGGTCAATGACGAGGAAGACGACGAAGACCCCGCGGAAATGTTTCACCGAGATATTGGCACGCAAACCTCCTTCAGTGATGCGGTAGCCAGCGTGCCTGAGAATGCAAAGCACCCGGAGGCAAGGCAATCAGTATCGCTGCAACATGCTACGGGTGTGACTAAGTTGACTAAGTGCGTTTCGAGCCTCCGCGATGGCGTCGTCTCGCAAAGTGGCGATTTTGAGGATATCAAGGCTCAGGTTGAGCACTTTCGGGAAGAACTGGACCGCATGATTTTCCCGCAGATGGACTTTACACCTGGTACCTACGGGATGATAGCAACAGCGGGATCTAAGAATGAGCCGGATGACGAGGTCCGAAAGGCGAGGGACAACATTCGTCGAATCAAAGGCGTGCTGCTCAGTACAAGAAGCTTCCCCGCCTCGACGAGATAGGCGAACAGCTAAATGTAAGTGATCTATGTAATGATATCCAGCGAATTTGTCAGCATTTAACCGAGTGCTATCCTGAAGTCTTCTAAAATATATTGGGTAGGGAAAACAAGGAAAACATTGCATTTTACTACACTGAACATAAAATGTTCTGAGTATTCTAATCTTAGGGTACATATTTTGTGGCCGCAGCAGTTCAATAACTACAAGAGCCAACTACAAGAGTTGACACGGGACAAACCGTCTGATACTACTTCTCTGGATCGGCAATCTTATAGTGTTCAAAAAATGACCTCCACGACAAAACGCGAATATGCTCAAACCCTTGACCCAATTTTTGTTGCTCTTCGTACCACTCTAATGTTGGCACATATGTATATTGCGACCCCCTCTGGACGCGCTCAGCCATTGCCCACTGGTATAAACTGTTGTTGCGTGGCGTAGACTTAGGTAGGCTTGCGTTTGGCGGATCGAACAAAATACGAATGGCTTCCTCTGGGGCATCATTAGCCAACGCCTCTGCGGTATCAGAAGCCGCGTACCGCGGCCATGTGGTAGAGTGGGACAAGGATGGCAAGCTCCTGTTGCGGACAAGACTCCATCCGCGATTCAACATGTGCTCGTGGTTTAAGGGAAGCCAGCTCTTAACGCTGGTTGCCGCTGCCTTCATCCAGTCAAGGGTAATGTCTAACGGATGCGAGTACATTTTGGACGCCTTGAAACCACCTGCCCAGACCTTACCAAGCGGGAGATTTATCTTGGCGTACTTCTTGGTCACTTCAGCGATGAGATTTCTCTGGAGGGGCAACAGATCTGACTCGGATATTATTTGTGACTGGCGCACCACATCTCGGAGACGATAGTCCCATATAAGTAGCTCAGTGTTTCCCCACGGTTTTCGGTGTAGCTCCATGGGTCGCAGAAAGGCCACCCAAGGATGTGCAAGTGGCACATCATGCGTATCGGATCGACCATGAGCGTCATCGGGCATGTAGAAAACCCCACTTGAGTATTTTTCTCTCTGATGGAAGCCGCCTTCCCGCTGATCAATCGACTGAGGTGTTCTGCGAAAAAGTCCACCCACAGACTCGCATCACCGCACTGTGATGATCCCTCGTGCTGGTGGATTGGCCATGGACAGATTGAGAGAGGACTCCACGAACTCGCGTTCGTTTCGTTACTCACACCCGTAATGAACATGCTGAGATACTCCAGCGTATCGCTTGGCACCAGCTTGTGGCACATACGCTCCGCATTCGACGTCATGTCACGGAACCGTTCGGCCTTTAAAAACTTGCTACGCAAGCTGGACCGCTCAATATATCTTGATAGTCTTGTAACATCATCGTTGTCTGAGCAAATCACGCTAAACTTTCGAGATTTGTCGACTTGGGATGCAGTCCACCATCCGAACCAGTTGACAAGACTTTGCTCATCGTTGCCGTCAATGAAAACAGGTGCCTGTACGACTGGAGATGATATTATCTCATCGTCTTCCAGCAATAACATCTTCATCAACATATAAGTTTTCGATCGTACCTCAAGAATTTGCTTGGACTCTTGCACACCCAGACTGGCATCTTTCTTTTCTGACATCAAGGAGAGCAACCAGCTGTCTATGTCATGACAGACGACAACCGTACCATGATAGCGTACTGCAGCCTCAGCCGAGAAATTTTTCCAAACCCACTTCAGCAAGTTGTACGCTTGAATGGGCTGCGAAACAAAAAAGCTTGGCGTGGCCATAACTGCAAGGCCAGGTGGAAATGCCCAGTCCAAAGCGCTGCTAACTTGATCCATATACTGATCCATGTCCTGTGGCTCTGAAAAAGACGAACAAAAGGGTAGTCGGAAGATCCAAAAGTTGTAATGTTCATTCCTACTATGCAGTAGCTTTGAAAAGTGAGGCAAGCGGTGTAGTAATTGAATGCAGTCTTGGTGTAGAATCACTGCACCTCTGGCCCCTTTGCTAAACTTCGCCCAGTGTCCTGGCACAGCACAGGAGCGAACATCGCAATTTCTATTGAACAATCTCAACCATCGGCACAGGAGATCTTCTTCTGGTTTTGCTGACGGCGGGAATATCAAGAAAAAGCTGTCAGTGGTCGGTTGGGTTCTGTCTCGCGGGTGGTTGGTCGGCAGCAGTCTTTGGTAGAGCTGTTTGTCAAAAAGTTCAATGCCCGAGGCATAAGAAGGACTGTATTCTAACGACATATCGCTGTCTCGAAAATTAGATGCGGGCGTAAACGCCAGATACCTTAGCAAATGACCTTCTGGTGACGCTGATGTTGGGAGGAGCGGACTCAGCTGCCAGTCAGCAGATATGTTTGGGTAAATAACAATGCAAAACCCATAATGGTGGCACAATAGGCCAAAAGAAGACGAGTGTAGATATTCCACTATCGTTTCCAGTTTATTTGACTGAAGAACTGAACAGGCCGTTCCTAGGAAGCAGTCGCCGGAACTGAGTTCGGTTGCACGAAACTGTCGAAGAAAGTCTTGAGCAGTGCATACATGGGAGAAATTAAGAATATCGAGTCCCAAAAACGTCTCAAACAAGGTCATTTGTGCGTCTAATGTCCGTGAAGAGACCTCGAACAAGCACTCCAGCGCGATGGACCCAATCACACAGGTTTTTGGCAGGCTTTGGCGATTACTGCCTCGTTCCCTTCCATCTTCTCCTTCGTTAGACTCAGACTTTGATCTAATTAAAGACCTTGTCTTTGAATTCGAGCTTGATGAAAGTTGTCCATGAGGGCGGTCAGGTACAAAAAGACTAGACTCAGCCTGACTGCTGGATATGTCTTTGAGCGCTGGCGTCAGCGAGAGGAAGACTCGCGTTTCGTTTTTGTTGGGCCATGCTGCTAGAAAAGGTTTAAGATCTTTTTCGTCTTGTTCTTTGACATTTTCCGGATCCTCACGCTGCAGTGATGTTGTCGCTGCTGCTCTGGTCGCTTTCGAAGAAACTTCACAGCCCTCACTTGTAGAGGGAGTCTCGCTTCTTAAACAATTGCTTGAAAAACTCCGGAGATCATCAGATACTGCCGGAGAAGAATTTGCGATCGGTGACGTTTTTCCACTGCCATTGCCAATTTCCATGGCGTCGCTCCCCAGGTCAGACTCAGTATCAGGCACGTGGCCTACCATCAACATATTTGACCCGTGGCTGACAATGATGCCTTTGGATGGTATATCCCCGGACGATCCTATAGCAATGTCTGCAAAAATTTGTTGTGAATTCTCTGCTTGCTGGGTGATATCTTCGACCACCACATCTTCCACGCATACTGAGTCTGCGTTTTGCTTCGGCATCGTCACACCCACCTCATCAGTAGGGTCATGGACTGCGGAAGACACGCCGGCTTCCATCTCCGAGCTAGAATCCGAAAATAACTCATCGATTGATGAACGATGGGGGCGCCGACCGGAAACTTTAGTGCTCTGCAAAACAGGCTGTGGTGCGAGGGCAGGGACTGGCTGGCGAGTATTGTGCCCTGTAATCCTGGGTTGGTCACTAGGCGTGACATTTATTTCTGCGATTACCTGACTCAATGTCTTGCCGTAAAGCACGGTATCTAAGCCGCGGTGCCGCCGTTCGAGATTTCGCTCTCTATGACGAGCGTATCGTTCACGGATAACTGAGATGAGGGCGATGCGCCACGCATCAATATGGAAGCTGGGTATTTCACCATTTTCTTGCCTTTGCTTGACTTGAGCCCAGTCTTGCAACAGACCTTCTTGGATATTCTCTTTTGGCTCCCATGATGCTTCGCTGAGAGGAAAATTTTCCCACTCCACAAGAAACTTGGTCTCGCCTGCAACCAGCCCTTCAGCGAGGATCTGTTTCACTGGCCATTCAAAATCTGATCCAACGTCGTTCTCGACAGTAGAAGCAATAGATTCATTATCGTCGATATCCATAGCTTCAGGCTAATGCACGTCCTGCACGTCTTGGGGGAGCGCGGTCGACTATACGGTGCGATATAGCTCCAGTAGTTTCTGTTGACGGCGGTAGCGCTGCGATGCACATAAATGATGCCGAAGTATGGAGTCTCCCGTTTCCTGTTCGCATAACTCGAGTAATGTTGGTCGGAATTGCGCTGCGGGCTTCGAAGCAACCGAGTTCGCATGCAAACGAGTACAGGCGGACGCTGGTTTGAAGCTGGCGAGAAGTACTGTGCTGACGTAGGTGTAAACGGAGAAAGCTTGAATCGTTCAGGGTATGGTGCTGAGAGCTAGCAAGGTGCAGTCGCTTGTGATTAATAGGATTTCTGGGTGACATGCATTGTCACTGTGACATGCTGTGTGCAAGAATTCTGACGGCTGCATGAGCGGCTGCAGTGGGTGGAAGGGGGGAGGTCGGTGCTTGGGATCTACTGGTGGGCGGCAACAAACTCGCAACGACGGTCACGGGCTGCGCGCCAAATTGAGATATATTAGACTTGTGGTTTACCAGCAGGTACGTATCTCGGTGGCTGAGCCGTATCCCACTCACTCCTTACCTGAGTATATATCTAACATCGGGGATCCTAGAGCTTATTACTGCGAGGGGCTGACCTTGTGCTGCGTACTAAGTATGGCGAGTGAAGGTGACAGAGACTTCAGACCTGAGGCTACGAGGCTTTCTAATAAAGCAAGACAGCATCTTACGTGTTTCGGGACGGATACTAACAGCACGTCCTCATCCTTGAAATCTTGCAGATGCGCACTCCTCAAGCGCTGCGATAGCTAAGGCGAGAATGGCATTAAGGCAGTCAACAGAATAAACAAGTCCAGGTAGCACATTCTGTCTGCCACGGCCCACATCAATATGTAAGCTCGCTCGTGGTCGTATGTATCGACTCCTTGTTGTATTGACTCCTTTTGCCGGATTGCTAAAGGCAAGGACTATTGTATACTAAAGGTCGTACGTGACTAATAAGCGTTGCTTTGTTGGCGCTGGTGCCACGCGCAGCTTATTAGGACGCCATTTCCTCTGTGAAGTACCGTAACTAGGAGGTATATGAAGGCACCAGCGTATGTACCCACCTAGGAGGTATCTAATAAGTACCTCTTATTCGGCGACGTTGCTGCCTCTTTGCCCCTTTGCCCCTCCAACCCTCACCTCATCCCTCCAAAGTTAGCGCGGCAACATCGGCAGCCCCATCTGGCACCAGACCTCCTACTGTACCTTTGTAAAGCCGCGACTTTCTCTCCTCCACATCCACACAACGCCACCGCAACCGCCTGCAGACACATCCGCCCCTACTCGCTACAATACCGCAGCCATGGCTAATGACGAATACGATGTATGTACACCTACATCCCATATTCTGATTCGTCACCTTGTTGCCTCTTTGGTGGCCTGTACTGACCTTGCCATTGCACCAGTTCCTCTTCAAAGGTTCGCCTAACCGCCTCTGTTCCCCTGATTCAATTTCGCAGGTTCCGGCTGTAATAATCCCGCCTTGGCGCATCGAAACTAACACGTTGGCTTGTAGTCGTTTTGATCGGAGACTCTGGCGTTGGTAAATCCAACCTTCTTAGCCGATTCACTCGCAACGAGTTCAACCTCGACTCGAAATCCACTATCGGCGTCGAATTTGCGACGCGATCCATCCAGGTCGACTCCAAGACAATCAAGGCACAAATTTGGGATACTGCTGGTCAGGAACGATACCGTGCCATTACCTCCGCCTACTATCGCGGCGCCGTCGGTGCGCTTCTTGTCTACGACATCAGCAAGCACCAGACCTACGAGAATGTCACGAGGTGGTTGAAGGAGCTGCGTGACCACGCCGACGCCAACATTGTCATTATGCTTGTTGGTAACAAGAGTGATTTGCGGCATCTGAGAGCGGTTCCTACCGAAGAAGCGAAGGCGTTTGCTAGTATGTTGTACCAGCAGCTCCTAAAGAGCTTTCCCTAGTCAGTCTTTGCCCAGCTGACCATTTTCTTCAGGCGAAAATCATCTCTCCTTCATTGAGACTTCTGCCCTCGATGCTAGCAATGTTGAGCTTGCTTTCCAAAACATTCTTACTGGTTCGCCCGACCTTTGACTCTCCTGCCATTGGTATCTACAAGCTAACGCGCATTTCTATAGAAATCTACCGCATCGTTTCCAGCAAGGCCCTTGACGGCGGTGATGGTGCCCAGGCTACCATTGGTGCCGGAACGAACATCTCTTTGAGCAAGCCTGCGGATGATGATGCCTCGAAGGGTGGCAAGTGTTGCTGATTCGATACACAGCCCGAACGATATCTTGTGCTAGATACCGGAACGCCGCGCGCCGCGGTGCGCTCACAATATTGCGCGTATATGTAGATGTTGACGCGTTCACAGGGGAATGCGGCCACGATGATTTCGAATTGTTGAAGTAGGTGGCGCAGTCACTTTGGCTTTCCTTTGTTTTATGACGATTGTCAAGTTCTGATACGTTTGACGATTGCTACTTAGCCGTTTGTAGCTAAATGAAACCCCTAATGCTAAATACATGCGATTACATCTGGTCACGAAGCTAACAAGGCAACGGAGTTGATCATTTCCCGATGTCTTTCATAGGGGGGCGGCTTTTCAATCGCATGCCTGCGAGCAACCTTGTTTTAGAGGTCCCAGCCAGGCGACGATAGAGGGGCAACGAGGAGGTGGTGCCTGCTTGGCGCTTCGAGGCTAGGGGTAGCTCGCCGCTGGCCCCACTGCCTTTGATAAGGAAACTCTTATCGGTCGGAGAAAGTCTTACTCCGCCCAAAATTTTTGGTAGCCAGCTAAACCGTCCAAGACTTTTTTGATCACAGCCATTTGATTTGAAAGTTGTCGATCGGACAGCACGCAAGATACAATGGCCGCCGTCTATAAATCACTTTTCAAGAGTAGCGCCCAGAAGCAAGATGCTCCTTTATCTGGCTCTAGAAAAATCAAGCAGCGAGTTTTAATCTTGTCGTCTCGCGGCGTCACCTACAGGTAACCTTTTCTTACCCATGCGAAACACTTTGCGCAACGGACGCTGGCTCACAAGACCTTACACAGACACCGTCATCTGTTAAACGATATTGCCTCTATGCTTCCCCACGGCCGAAAAGATGCGAAATTCGATTCCAAGTCGCGTCTCAATGAGCTCAACGAGCTTGCCGAGCTGTACAACTGCAACAATGTTCTCTTCTTCGAGGCCCGCAAAGGACAGGATCTTTATGTCTGGCTTAGTAAGGTCCCCAATGGACCTACCGTCAAGTTTCATCTACAAAACTGTGAGTGGAGCCATGTTCTATGACGAACTGCAGGTAAACTAATGGGTTTGATGCAGTGCACACTATGGAGGAACTGCATTTCACTGGCAACTGCTTGAAGGGCTCGCGACCCCTTCTCTCCTTCGATGCTGCCTTCGACTCCGAACCGCACCTCAAAGTGGTTAAAGAACTATTCTTTCACGCCTTTGGTGTTCCTGAGGGAACCAGAAAATCCAAGCCTTTCATTGACCACGTTATGGGATTCAGTATTGTCGACGGAAAGATCTGGATTCGCAACTACCAAATTAGCGAAACTGAAGGTTCTCTCCTGGATGCCGAGAGTGAGAACAAGGATGCCAAGAAGAAGAGTAAGAAGCTCGCCGCGACCGGTAGTAGTCTCGAGATCAACCTCGTCGAGATTGGCCCCCGGTTTGTCCTTACTCCAATTGTCATACAAGAGGGCTCCTTTGGTGGGCCTGTCATCTACGAGAACAAGCAGTTTATCTCGCCCAACCAGATCCGCGCCGATCTACGTCGATCCAAGGCTAGCCGTCACAATGCCAGAGCTGAGCAGACTGTAGGTAGACTGTCGCGAAAGGCGGATCTTGGTTTACGAACAAATGGAGGCAAGCAGCAAATACCCGGCGATGAATTAGACAAGAGGAAGCTGTTCGCATAAACACCCCGTTAGGTCTTCATTTGCAGCGTTGGCGTTTTATTCTTAATTCAAAAGAAAAAAGTTCTTTACGGATTGCTAGGTTTTTAGATGCCAACTGCACAGGTACTTTATTTTATCAATTTTTCTTAATGTGAAGTGTTGTATCGATGTCTATTACAAAGGTCAAGTCTCTTGCAGCTTCCAGAGCTGAGCGTACAACGCGATGGCCACTGTTATGCATCAACCGGCAAAAAGCCAGCAGTTGATGACTACTGACTTAGTAACCCATGCAACCGCGTGCCTGGCATGGTTGAGACGTGTGCAGCTTCAGCAGGCTCCGCAGCCAACCTTTCCTCCATCCACGAAGACTTGCAAGAGTAATTTACATCATCCATTCTCTAGCACCGCCAGAAGCGATGTCAGAATCAGAATCGCGAACCGAAACCACCCACCGCGCAATGGCGTGCGACATCCCCCTCTCTGTCTATAGCCCCAACGCCGGGGTGTTCAGACTATAAACTAGTGCCGCCATCACCCGTCCTACATTTACAGAAGTGGAAGAGGGGGATCTTTAGGAGTTGAGATTCCTCCTGGGCGTTAGCTTTCTCTCAAGTTTCTACGAGGCATTCGCCTCGTACTTTTCTCTTGAAGCTGTGCTTCTTGGATTTTTGGAAGAGGCGGTACACCCTTTCCCAGAGTTGACTCATACTTCAGCCTTGCTCTCAAAAGTTGCGTCAAATTCCAGGTTGCCAAGGTGAGACCTTCAAGATAACTAACCGCAATCGTTGCTATCTAACGAATATACATAGAGTGTATCCATCTCAACTTGAAGAGCAAGGGGTCTGAGTTAGCCAACATTTTACTCACAGAGGTGGACGGACTTCTGTGTGAAGACTATTCTTACCGTTCTGCACTTCTGTCGTACAGGAGATAGTGCTTCTTCAACTGGTTTGGTATCACCACAGCCATGAATTCGCAGACCAATCCACTCAGGGGCCTTGTCCACTGCCCCGTTGAGATTTTGTTGGAAATTTCTTCGCATTTGGACATCGACTCTATCTTCAATTTCTCCCTTGCTTGCAAGAGCTTAAATGGCATGTTCAACAGGAACAAAACAGCGATTCTCCTTGAAACCTTATCAAGGGATTTCAGTCCGTTCGAGGAGCTGCTCCAAGTCTACACGGCAGCAGCGGATGATATTGACTGTTGCCCCTACTACCAGCCTCGCACGGTCCTATTCAAGCGCTTCCCCGACGATACCGGTCATACGATCGGACCGCAGCCTGGGTGCATAAATTATGGTGCCAACTACTCTGCAGAATCGAACAAGCCAAGCACTACAATTCGCAAGGTAGCAGGCGCGGCGACTAGAAGCGTTGCGGTACTGACCGAGGATGACTTACGGCCTGTCTTGCGCATGTGCCGGGTGGTCCGTCGATGGGAGCAGCTATTTCCACAGATGCGATGGTTCTACTACCCAGAGGCTTGCAGAACATTGCGTGCTCAAGAGCTTCCAAGATTTCGGCGCGCGTTTTATCGATGGTGGCTCTATGGCACGTATTTTCATGGCGAATGGACACGCCCTCAGATCGGGCATCCTATACCTTTCGTGCTGGATGTGAGGGTGAGCCAAATGCGCCGGTACTCGACTGCGGAGCTAATGGAGCTGCTTGATCTGCACGAGACAATGAAGGATGTTATTCTGCACTACATCTGCCCCCGATTGGACCCTACTTACCAACTGGTAAGTCCATCTTAGAGAGCATCAATGATTTGATGCAGTTGGCTAAACAATATTACAGTCGCACAACCCCGCTCCGCTCATGGAGAAAGTCGGCAGAGAACATTCCCTCAAAACCACGTGGAACGATCAGAGCAAATGGGCGCGAATTGTCAAGACCTATGCTAAGTTAGGCCCTGAGGAGCTGATGCACTACTTCGAGAATATCTACAGCTACACACGAAAACGTCTCATTGCCGAAATTCGTCTAGAGCGCCCAACCTTTACTTTCGATCAGGAGTCGCTTCAGGGAGTCATTCGATGCGTGCTTGAAGAGCGACAGCTAGTAGATAACTTGCCTATTATTCCAGGGGACTGCGAAGGCGGTATACTGGACTTTGACGACGAGCGAGACGTGCGACGAATGGATTTTGAACAAGATGGAAGGGTAGACGGCACACTCCCGCCTGGTGTACCAGCTGTGCAACAATTCTCGCGCCATTCTCCACGGGGAGATGATGGAGAATATCTAGAGGAGGAATTGCACAGCGTGTTTGACGTACATGGATATACCGCCGTGCTACAGGCATAGATCATTATGAATGCAGCTGAGCTTTTGGTGTTGTGCTTGTCTGTAAAGCAGCGAAACGAAAACGTCTAGTAGGAAACGATGACAGTGCCTCTCAACCAGCAAAGCGAGCATGCACCGCCCCAGTATACATTAACTGTCTAATAGCCCAGGCGACTCCAACGCTCCTGTGCTTTTTGCGCACCGCAATCGCTCGCCTTAGTCACATGAAGGCAAATGCCTCAAAAGCAAAATCCATGGTGAGTCTTCCAATGCAGATTAGGGAATTTGAGAAAGGTGTTCGTTCTGGTGTCTGTCCGATTGATACCGTCACACGTGGTGAACATTTCTCAAAGTGCGCCACCCCAGCTAGATATGTATGTAGGTCTTATTAAAGTTATTGGCGCGGAGAATCTAATAGGTAAAATGGTATTCGGCTCGAAGCTGTTGTCTCTAGCTTCCGTGTAAATTGATAGCTGCCCATCTTCATCGCTCCCTCTTGAAACAATATTATTTTGTGGCAAGACTTCCGGGTCGCACCTACATATGCATACATTGTACCTAAGTCATCCTTCTAAGTTATGTGCTTGTACCTACCTAGCAATAATAGGTAGTTATGTAGTGCTATTTACCTACTTAAACTTCGCGAGTTGGCTGGCTGATGAATGCCAGCACACTGTCCCCACTATGCAACTATGTAGGTACGTTGGCTTGGTTATTACATATGTACATAGCACCACGACCCGTACCTCGCAACCACTGAAATCCTCCAAGTCCACTCCATCCCTCGTGTTACGCCTTGTCCTGGGCGTTTGCGCCGAGCCACAGCGGCCTTGAAGACTCATCACTTTAACCCCAAAAGTCGCTAGAATACCAGGTTTCTTTTTATTTTATCGTATCCTTCTTTGCTCATCCGCCGCGGCCCGGTTGTGACCGCTGTCGCTCGGCGCCGCCCTGCAACCTCTCACGTAGGTATGTATGCTACCAGCCCGACTTATCCTCTGCTCCCCGTCACGACCCCCCGAAAGCCGGGTAACCCAACTTGGAGCCGCGGGGAGATGTGCATACGACAATTTCCCTTATGTTTCTGGAGTTTTGTGCTGCTCATCGATACGCTATCGCCACGACTGCACTTGGTGAACACCCATCCCAGAAAACTTTGTTTTGGTCCTACGACCAAAAACCCAGAGTTATGGTAATGACTGCTGTGATTTCCGAATCTCAGTATTTTTACCAGCTCGCCAAAAAAAAAGGGGGAATCTTTGGTCATATATTCAAAGGACACAGTACTAACGAAGTAGTCTCCGAATTCAACAGGGAAGCTGACTTGGATGAGTTTGCTAACAGCGCAGCGGCACCGCAACCGTTCATTTAAACGGCGCATTTCAAGTTGGCATAGTACCTTTCCCAATTTCCAAGATATTGGCTATGGAACAGGTGGAAGTCAATATGGAAGGTGATGATCACCCCATGGGGGAGGCCGAGCCTGTGAATGGTTCTGCTAGCACTCGGGCCGACGGCGAAGGAACCCCGTCAAATTCTGCCGACTACGAGTCGGGGAGTGATCCCGATGAGACTCCTATGTCTCTAGAGCCGCTCCGACGTCGCGGATTGCTTCCTACCGGGTGCTGCTACGATGACCGCATGAAGCTACACATGAATGCGGACTTCAGCCCCAACACACATCACCCGGAAGATCCCAGGCGCATTCACGAAATTTTCAAAGCCTTCAAGAAGATGGGTCTTGTTTATACCGGTCCGCAATCCGAACTGCCTCGCATTATAAAGGAGTCTCCTACGAAGTATATGTGGCGGATTCCCGCGCGGCAAGCCCGGCGGGACGAGATCTGCCTGGCCCATTCCGCCGAACACCTGACATGGGTTGAAGGCATTGATAAGTTGAGCTCCGCTGAACTTCGCACACTTACCAGACAGTTTGACCAAGGTCGCGAGTCACTGTATGTTGGTAGTATGTCTTACCCGGCGGCTTTGCTCTCTGCTGGCGGCGCGATTGACACATGCAAAAATGTTGTTGAGGGGCAAGTGAAGAACGCATTTGCGGTCATTCGGCCGCCCGGCCACCACGCAGAGTACGACCAGGCTATGGGATTTTGCTTCTTCAACAACGTACCTGTGGCCGTGCGCGTTTGTCAGCAAGACTATCCTGATGTCTGCCGCAAAGTTTTGATCTTGGACTGGGACGTGCACCACGGGAACGGCGTTCAGAATATCTTCTACAATGACGCAAACGTTCTTTATATCTCCATCCATGTATATCAAAATGGATCTTTCTATCCAGGAAAGTCGCCCGATCCCAGTGTTCCCGACGGCGGCATAGAAAACTGTGGCATTGGGCCAGGTCTTGGCAAGAATATCAACATTGGGTGGCACGATCAGGGCATGGGAGATGGGGAGTACATGGCCGCTTTCGAAAAGATCGTCATGCCCATCGCAAAAGAGTTTGACCCTGACCTGGTTGTCATTTCGGCTGGGTTTGATGCTGCTGATGGAGATGAGTTGGGCGGTTGCTTCGTCACACCACCATGCTACGCTCATATGACGCATATGCTAATGTCTTTGGCTGATGGAAAGGTTGCTGTCTGCCTCGAAGGTGGCTATAACTTGCAAGCTATTTCCAACTCGGCAGTGGCTGTTGCGCGAACTTTGATGGGCGAGCCGCCGCCTCGCATGAAGGTTCCTATGATCAACAAGGAAGCGGCGCGAACTCTGGCCAAAGTTCAGGCTCATCAAGCACCATATTGGCAATGCATGCGCCCCGGTGTTGTCAATGTACCAGAAACGCAGTCACTTGATGGAACCCGTCTCCACGATGTCATTCGAAGCGCACAACAACAAGCCTTACAGGCCAAGTATAATATGGTACCGTTGTACGTGCAGCGCGATCAAATATCCAAGTCATTCGAAAATCAAGTACTGGTTACACCAAATCTACAGGATGCTAGACGCCTGCTAGTAATTATTCACGATCCGCCACAGCTGCTGGCGCAGCCCGACGTTATTGATGGATCTTTGGACGGCCACAACTCCTGGGTAATAGATGGCGTCACACAGTACATCAACTGGGCAGTTGGGCAGAAATTCGCGGTCATGGATGTAAATGTTCCGGCCTACGTATCTCAGGAAGAGGATATGGAAGCTTTTATCCCGGGCTTCAAGGAGCGGGCACTCCAAGAACAGATGCAGTCTCTCATGTGCTATCTGTGGGACAATTTCCTTCAACTTAGCGATGCAGAGGACATATTCTTGATGGGAGTTGGAGACGCATACCTCGGAGTTAAAGTGCTTCTCCTTAACAGAGGTATTTACCCCCTGATTTCCGTCAGACGAACTTTGTTGTAGTTTGCTAATTTGTTTTAGACTGCAAAGCCAGAATATCCGGCGTCATCAACTTTGTTTCAGGCAGTCTCCGTCCCGTCAAATCTGATATTGACACCGAGCTTTCATCCTGGTATAGGGACAATTCTCGTGTCTATGTTGCTGGCGATCACGCTTGTTGGTTAGACTATGAGCTGACACGCAAGGTGCAGAAACGTCGCTTTGGCACCGTCGTCCGCAGCGAAATGGTTGGGCTGAACAAGATGATGCATGCACATGCAGAGGAGACACAACACTGGATCATGGAACGCGTTGCTGATACCCGTGGAGAGACGACTGAGGATGAGAAGTCGCCACAATAAGTTTACGTCATTGATCTGGTTCACCACTCGCGTGATTTGGTCGTATGTGGGGGGGGGGGAAGAGTCTGGACCTGTTTTACGTTTCTGGGTTCCCTTCATTTTTATTTTGTACTACTTCTCTTTCTCTTTGCACCTAGTTTAAGATTTATGGCATATCTTGTGAATACATATCGACCTGGTTCTGGTAACCCCTTATTTATGGCAGAGGTTCATTGTAGGTGGTTGGCGCACTGGTTGATGATTGCTTGAGAGAGTATACTGTGTGACACACTGTGCCAACACATCTGCGCACTGTCTAACACTCGGAGTGAACTGGCTGAACTGCAAATTTCATGGAAAGAAGAAGAAGGCCTGCATCTCCTTTCTAACTTACACACCGCACAACTTGCGCAGAAAGCCAAATGGACCGGGATAGAGATCGAAGTCGAAGGTATGCAATATTAACTAGCACCGCTTTTTTTTTTCTCAGCGTGTCGTTCAGTTAGCCTTCTGCTAACTGAAGGGCGCGCGATCTCTCTCTGTTCCCTTGAGTTTAACTGACTGAGGAACAACTGTAGATTCGACGACGGCGAAGTTGTTCGATACGGTGCGGGGGAATCATGGCGTCCAACTCCCCGTGACAGATCTCCCCGACGAGTTAGGAGCCCAGCGCGCTCTCGTGACCGTGCCCCCCCTCGAAGCCCCAGACCGCGCAGCCCTCCTCCACGCCCGCGCAGCCCAGGCATGGGTAGTGGTGCTGGAGCTGGAAGCGGCCCGGGTGGCTCAGATAGCTATGTGCCAGGAAGATACGCCCCGCGCCGTAGATCCAGGAGCATTGGGTTCAGGCGCGATCGCTCTCGAGATCGTGCCAGACCCGATAGCCCCAGAAGACGGGATCGAACAAGGTCGCCGCCACCGTCATTAGCGTCACGGACGTCCCTTCCGCCACGCTCACCGATGCGGAGGTCACCTCTGCACAGGTCGCCGCCGCCTGGAAGACGATCGCCCTTGCCCCAGAGAAGTCCTCCTCGAAGAGCCTCGCCGATTCGGGACATGAGGTTTGAAAGGGATAGGCCTCCAAGATCGCCAAGACGCGACTTAGGAAGGGATCGACTCAGAGATATGGACCGGGATAGAGATTGGGATCGTGACAGACTCCGCGAAAATAGAGACCGAGACCTGGATCGCAGAGATGACAGGCAAGTCCCGATACTGAACCGCATGAACGCTATGAGAGATCCTTATGTTAACTTGCTATTAGGAGACGCTCACGCTCACCCTTCGGTAGAGGCGGACTCGATCGATCCTCAGGGAAGACGACTCCTTCCGGCTATAGACCACGATCAAGATCTCCAGGGCGACGAGACGACCGCTATCTATCATATCGACAAGCATCGCCGCTGAGAGACTCGGGCGTCTCCTCTGCGATTCCTTCACAGCCAGCCTCTGGCAGGGCATCTCCCATGCCTCGAATCCGCTCACCATACACGTCTCACGACCAGTCACCCCGCTACGCCGATGGGCCAGGAAGAGATGGCCCCGGGGGCATCAAATCGCCGCCGCGAGGTCCTGCGGCCCTCCGTATCATGCCCAGTGGACCAAGGTCAGGAGGCGGTCAACTAGATTCTCCGTCATCCCGATCAAGTGGCGCTCCCGATACAGCCAGCCCTACAAATGCGCCCGCTGGCCCACGCGGTTATGTGCCGTCTGCGCGTGGCGGGTTCCAACCGCGCGGTAGCCGTGGAGGCTGGTCACAGACGTCCTCCCGTGCGATATCTTCACCAGGCCATTCCACACCGATAGGCTCGTCAGGGATCCCGACAGGTCCGCGCAGCCAGTCTGTCAGCGCACAAGGTGGTGCCTCAGCACCAACGCAGGGTCGCCCGTTTAACCCGCCGACAGGACCTGCTGCCCAGCATGGTGGCGGTCCTCGGCAAACGCTCGCGCAAAGTCTTATGTCGACGATGCCACCGCTGATCCCCGGTGGCAAGTTGGATCCGAGCATGCTGCCAATGGTACTCGGTGTCTCGCGCGACGTGGAGCCGCACTACCGTAAACTGCGCGACGAGGAAGAAAAGATTCGTGAGGAGCTGCGTGCCAAGCAGGAACGCCTGCGTAGGAGCCTCTCTATGTGGGGACGCCTGGAGAGAGATGCGGCCGCCTGGGAGCTGCGCAGTGATCTGAGCGAGAAGAGCATGAAAAACCTCGCGGGCGAGGGCATGGGCGGTGCGGCGTTCTAGTAGGCGCCGCAAAGAATGCACTGTACGACTTCGTTTGTATTCTTGTTTCGATCAGAACAACTCTAGGGAGGCGGCGTCTGGGAAAGCGATCCATTGGGTTCTTTCGTTGTAATTTTTAGTTTGCTTTTGAGTTGAGTCTGCCGGTAGTATTGCATCGATAATATGCAAAACTGCCCAAGCGTCCTGTTTTCATAAGTCTCCATCCATCATTTTACTGTCTTCATCTTCCCGCACTTTAAGTCCAGCTAGTTTATTTTATGCGGCATCGCTACGCCAAGTAACAATAATTACACTGCCTTGAATAATGTGCCCATAGGATCGTCCTTCAAAAACAGCGGCGCGTTGCATGGAAGCAGGGATGCTAAAACTGCAGGACGGGGTCATCAGAGTCGTAGTCGCCGTCCCACTCATCATCCTCGAGCCCATCGTTGTCTGTCTGAAAATCTTCCATGCCGTACTGCAGCTCACGCACCTTCTGATTGTCGAATACTAGATTTACAGTCTTGCAAAGGCCATGTATCTGAACAGAAGGATCCGACGATGCAACGTCGCTGCCATTGCTGCTAACACCATGCTCGGAGTTTTCCGAATCGGAGAGTTCGCTTTCGTCCGTATTTGGGTCTCTGTAGGACTTGTGCCTCTTCGCATTCCGAGAATTGCGCATTGACGATCGGTGTGTCCCACGGGAAGAAGTCCCATGCTCGGCGATCCGGGTGCTGCGACGAGAGGGCGGTGTAGGCGTTAGACTAGTCTTCTTGGATGATGTGGTTGGTCCCACGATTGTGGATTGGTGCGTTTTACAGTCTTGCGGTGGTAGAGGAGACGGCCGCAAAAAGACCCTTTCCATCTTATCACGCCAAGCAGTGCGCATTGAAGCACGAGACTGCCACGGGATGTCTAGCATGGTCTTGACGGAGAGATGACGCAGATTGGGTAGATTATGCGCATTGTTAATCAGGGTCTGAAGGAACATCTCAGCTGCTTCAACGGACCAGTCACGAATGTGTTCAAGGTTGATGACGCGAATGCTAGGTGGCCAGCGAGGCACTTGATCGGGCAGCAAAGCCTGGTCGTACATGGGATCTGCGTCATTCCCCGAATCGTAAAGCTTGTAGTAAGAAAGGTTCATGTCTAGCTCGCGCAGCTTGGGGCATGTATCAGCAAGATCAGTCAGAAACCCCAAGTCAAGTGATTGATTGTGATGGAGGCTGAGAATGCGCACCTCGCCACCTTTGTCACGGAGGAAAGCTGCGAGGTCAAAAGAGCGAATTTCCCAACAGTTGATGAGCTCGAGATGAAGCAAGCCAGTTGGTAGGAGAGTAAGCATATGGTCGTTCATGACGGTTGATGACTCGAACACAAGATGAGATAGTGCTGGCAATTTTGTTATCGATGCGGCGATCAATTCAATGTGGGAATTGTCTTCATTGAAAAATTGTGCTGCCTCCTCGTCATTTTTCGGCAGGCGCTTGAGTAGGGATGGTGTTTGAAAGTTCGTAAAGCTCACACGTGTCAGGGTTGCAAAAGATGGCAACTCATGTATGCGGCTAATGTCCTTCAGTCCATCGACGTAGCCTCCAATCAAGCGCCCGCTCCATTCCCAGCTCTTGAGCTGTGTATGGTACGGCTTCAAAGTTGCTTCGGTCACGCTCTTCGCTCCCGGCAGGAGTGCTTGGAAGATATCTGCGGGATAGTGCCATCGTATACCTCTTTCCAGCCCTCGATATGGAGGCTGATCATATTCGGTGTAAATGATGAGCTCCCGGAGTCGGGGAAGGGGATGGATAAGCCGGTACATGATGGTAGCGGGTACAACGTGAATATTGAGATGCAAGGTTTCGATTTTAGATCGATAATTGAGTTTTGTTTCAGCCACGGGCAGCTCTAGAAGATTTAATAGCTTTTTGGCCTTTGAGATATGTTGGATCTTCGGGCAGCGATAGAGTGTGTCGAGTGCCGGCTCAGTGAAAAACCGACAGCTTGTTGCGACTTGAAGCAACCAGTTGGTAGCGAGGCTGCCCGGGGGACTATCGGAAGCCGCATAGTAAAAGATGTCTGACCAACATTCGATGGGAATCCTGGGATCCTTCCAATCGGGGGTGATGCCCGAGTATGCTATCGGTTCTCGTTCTTGTCTGGGCGACTGTCGGGGTCGCCCCGACGGGCTTGGACGACTGGACCCATTGATTGTTCGTTTGCGTTTCGAGAATGCTTTGTTTTCTTTTTCGTCGCCTGATAAATCTAGATTCGTGCTTCTTGTGTATTTTCTAGCCCGAGTTGTCCTGCGCTGTGCTGGGACTGGTGTTGCTCGTGCTTGGAGAGTTGATGCTGCTGTAGACTCGTCTGGCCGTTGGGCCAGACGAGCATCCTCTGCGCCCGACTCGGGATATCCCAAGCTCTGAATGTCGGTCAATTCGTCTTCCGAAGATAGTTCGGGGCTCGTGGAAGGCTCCGTGAGCTGCGTTATTCGGCTTTTTGATGTGCGTGACGGGTTCTGCCGCCGCGGAGATGCGAGCTCAGTGGAGGGGCGAGCTGCACGGCGTGTGCGAGCCATTATGCTCGAGAAAGCAGAGAAAATGCGCGCAATATCGAAATTAGTATTGTGCTTAGGGCTTAATTAGCTTCGAGTACAGAAGCTGGTGGTGCGCGCAGCGGATGCGCACAAGACCGTACAGCTCTAACGAAGCCCGCGGTCCAGCGAGCTGAGGGGCAGCAGCGCCTGTTCCTCTGGAACATGCGACAAGACAAATGTGCGGTCGGCCAATATAGAGCCTTAATGATGGGTAAGAGCTTGTCGTTTGCGAATCAAAGTTGATAGGGACACGTCGTGGCTGGTGGCGCATTGGAGTTTTCGAGTTGGAATGAGCGATGCTGGTGATGCAATGAGAGGCCACTGCGGGGCCAGCATATCAAAAGATCCAGTCCAAACGAATTTACTTGCAGCCTTGCATGAGATAGTGGGTCACCGCGTGTCCTAACAACTACTAACCTTAATAGTAACCTGGTGAGATCAGCACCTAGTTACATACTCGGGAGGTAGGTATTACATAAGTTAGTTAGTTATAGGTAGTTTGTTAACCACATTAGTAGTATGTACATACTTTGGTATCTACCAGGCGGAGGGGTGCCTTTGGACAGGGCAAAAATACAAGTCGGTGCACGCTTGCGTAAGGCAGCCTCGTTTGCATCTGAGCACACAATGACCCTTTCCATAAGTGTTAGTGCCGAAGTAGCCGTACCCGCCGACACGTAGAAGGCCAAGTCTCCCTTAATTATTGTTGTTAGACGACAGCCTCCGCTAAGCCGCTTTGGTCTCGTGCTCAGATACTCTGTCCTGTCTGTATGCTGGAAGCCTCTCTCGCTAACCAACGCCTTCAGCATTAATCTAGAGGTTACCAGCTTCGCGTTCTAGCCACCGCAATACTGCCTGCGCGTGCCGTCTTGTCCGCGACATCTTTGCCCCGGGACTCTCGCAGCTGTCTTTCGCACTCCGCCAGCATCTTTCTCCGGCTCAGAGACGCGCTTTGGACCATTGCGGGTTCTTTAACGAGCAAACGGGCTCACCGCACCAGGACTCTGGACCGCCGTGCGTCGGATCTACTTTATTCCTTCATCGACTGCCACCACTTTGAAGTGTTCTGCGTCTCCTTTTGATTTCGGCGCTTATCGGCTGCCACGTCTTCAAGCACGTATCATCATTGAGTTCTACGCTAAAGCCTGGCTGAAGCGCAACAGCAGGTAGTCGCCGTGGTATCGCAATGATGCTGAACAATTTCTATCAGCGGAAAGCGCCCTTTCTCCATCGCAACTGGCTACAGGGCATCACAAATTGGCAAGGCCCTGCCGAGGTAATGGGTAACATCGTGTCCAGTCAGCTTCGGGGTGATGGCCGAGCCGCTCCTCCGCCGCGCAAGCGACGCCGCGTCTCGACTCCTGATTCGCTCAACATTGACCGCCCTATCGTATCACCAGAGACGTTCGACACGCCCTCGACACTTCGCATTGAGGTCCGCAGGATCTGTCACAAGGATTCCCTTCGGTTTCGGACCACCAGTCTTGACGGCACTGCGCCCAGCGCCCTCACTACAACCCAGGCAAATTGCCGCGTTACCGTCACCAATACATCCAGCGGCGCGCGTGATATCCTTTACTGTCATAAGCAAGCTTGCGATCTCACCACTTCTGAGAATCCTACCGGACCGCATCACATCACAAGAGTAAACATGGAAGCCCCCTTTCTACTTCCACGTGATGTATTTTTGGTCCCCGGAGATGATGATGCTCGTGATGATCTTGCCGACACATATGAGCTTCTCATTCAATTTGAGCAGAGGAACGGCAGTATTTGGCCTCCACTGACTGCCAAGGATCTTGGATCCTTGTCAGCGCTGCAAGACGCGAATCCTAGCGACAATCGCAAGATTGTTCTGAAGAGCCGCTTTCACGAGATTTTTGGCAAACTCAAAGAGCCCTTGGTACTATCGATTCAAGGGTCAATGGACAAATCCGACAGTCTGACTGAGTATATTATGGATGTGGATCTGCGCTGGTCGTCTGGGTTCAACGCGTCGACGCGACCGAACAAAGATTCAGTGTCATCCATCACTGCCATTGATCGGAGTACCGATGTGCACGATGAAAGATTGCCGCCAGTCGCTGCAGTTGACCCCGCTGCCATCAGCAGCACAGCGGTTCGTGACCCTCTGCATGATCCTCCGGGCAGTGATGACGAGCAATGTGAAGGCGCGGCAACACCTTCCCGGGCTCTACGACGAAGAGAGCAGAATAAAAATTACAATCTCAAAGTCTTGAGCGATCAAGCACGCGGCAAGGAGCCCAAGCGACGCCTAGACACAGGGATAGCGGCCGTGGAAAGCCCGGTGACTTACTTGCTACCCTTGGACCAGCCTGTGCTGCTGGATTGCAATCGATGCGTCGCCTGTGGTGCGTACCACGAAACTCGCCTGCAGCTACAGATGCATCTACAAACGTATCACCCGAATTATGACTTTCAATACGAAAATACAAGTCAAGGGCCGCAATTTCGTGTTCAGTATCGTCGTGCCGATACCTTCCTATCACCGTCAAGAAACTTTCAGGTACAGCCGACGGTTCGGCCATTCAACCTGAAAACATTCATCGGTGGAAATACATCGTGGGTTATGAAGCGCCTTGTCGCGGGAGAAAATGACGATTTGCTTAAAACACCAACAGCACGGTCGTCTATCAATAGATTGACCTGTAGGTCCCCCATTCCCAGACAACCGATACTCGCTGCTAGCAAGACCACATTACCACCTCAGCCACCCCAACCAAAGAAGGGCATCGTTGTGGTTCCCAAAATTTTGCAGCCTCTGTATCATCCAATCAGCAAAACTGAATTGAGCGCTGGGGATCCGGTGCCCAGTCCAGAGCATGATTCGACGTGGCTTATCCAAAAGCACCGCGAGGGTATTGCTGAATTCAGCGACGTGACGCCGCAAGAAAAAGAATATATCTGGGAATGGGACGGCTACATTCTTAAGCAGAATATCACAGCAAACGCATATTTGCCGCGCGCTTGGTTAGGATTCGTTCAGCAAAAAGCTGCATGGCTGGTGGCAAAGGATGAGAGAATGCGCGAATATGGGAAGCACGTATGCGTGCTGCTCGCGCGCGACCTACTAACTGACGAAGTCATAAAGCAGGCTCAAGGTTGTATCAGAGAAGCCCGCGCGCTGCGAAAAATGTATGTCGACAATACCATCTTGTCAGAAGGGGTTGAGCAGGCCGCAGCAACGTCGAAAGGGGCCGGTGTGCGTAAGAGCAGCAAGGGTTGCCCCGTATGCCAGCTTCCTGTACTAGGTCCTCGGCTGCTGGTATGCGCCAACAAGGTATGTCACTCACTGTGCTTATAATACAAAAGTTATGTGCTCTGACTATGTACGACAGGCCTGCCCGAAGCGGTTGTATCACTCCAACTGCGTGGAACCGATAGCACTGGTAGACGTGAAAGATCGAAACTGGATTTGCAATGTCTGCGCGGCCTCGACGACATAAACGGCATTCCTCGCCCTCGAACATACCACGAATATACAGATGGGCCTCTGCTGAGTCCAGGAATATATTCTTGAGCATGAATACAAACTTCGGTGGCAGGGCGGTTGGATTCTCGAGCATTGCTCGTGTGTGTATAATCTGTATCGCCAGATCTCTGGAAGCCAGCTTTGGCCCTGAAGTTCCTTTTAGCTCGACATCTGCCCACTCAAACAGAAGCTGAGAATTGAGCTTGATCCTACGAACTTGCCAGTGTACAACGACCTCGCGAGTGATAATAACGCATACTCCTCCTACGGTTGTGCATGGATTGCGAATAAGTTCTGCCGTAGCGATTTGCAAATACAGCTTGATATGATGTTACTAGGCTAATCTTGTAGGAAAAATAAATTAAATTCATACACCCCAAAACGCCTAATGAGTAGACTCTGTACATCGCAAACGGAATAATGCTTTGCAACAATAAGGGCTCCCCGTCTAGTGTCGCCTCCCTTCCTTCTTCTTCTCCATCCGCTCCCTGTCCAGCCGCTGCCTTTTCCGGCCTTCCTCGGCAATCATATCTGCCAAGTCGTCGTCATGGCCAGCTGCCCACTGAGCGCCGACTCCCTCCTCGCGGGTGCCCGCCTCGAAGCGCCGGCGCAGCTCCTCCTTGCTCAGGCCGCCGCCTTCGTTGAGCGCGTCCACGTCGACGGCTACATCCACGTCGCCGGGCTTCTTGCGCTTGCGCGAGTCATCCTCGGCGCCTAGGACGGGCATACCCGCGCGCTGCTGCTGCTGCTGCTGCTGCTGCGCCGCGGCCATGTCGTAAGCGCGGTCGCTGCCGAAGAAGCCCTCGGCGCGCACCTGTCGCTCGGGAAGGACTGCATAAGCGGAGCGTGGCGCGGACGACTCTTCCGTGTCGTAGCCACGGCGCTCCTTGCGGAGATCCATCTCTCCAGCAATGGACGTCTCTGTGCCATGCGGTGGGTATTCACCATGGAGGGTGCTGGCGAAGCCACTTGGAGTCTCAAGCCCACTAGCCTCTTGTCCCTCATCATTATTATCCCCCTCTTCCTCGTCGGATTCATCTTCAGATTCCTCCTCCTCTTCAGACTCCTCAGCGCGAGGTTGAAGCTCACCCCATAATGTGCGTTCTACAGGCACGCCAGGCTGTTCCTGCTGCTGAGCTGGTTGCGGTTGGGCGCCGTGCTGACCAGTGATGCCAAAAACATCGCCGCCGTATAGGGGACGGTTAAATTCGTCAACAGGGGGCTTACCCCAGCCTCCGGGGTGGAAGCCCCAAGCACCACCGGGAGGCGGAGGCGCATTGAGACCAGGTATCTTCAGATTAGGATATGAGGGAGGTGGGCCGTATCTTTGCTGGCTAACCAGCCACGGAGGCGGTGCGCCGGGAGGAATGCCAAGGGCTTCTTTGGTGGCTTCAGACAGGTCGCCGGGACGGAAGTGCTGGTAGTCGACTTCTGTTTCTTTGCCCTCGTAGTAGACCTCACCGAAACGGGTCAGCTCGGGCTTGGTCTGAAAGCGGAAAAACGCATCGTAGAGTTTTTGATAGTCGATATCGAGCCTGCCCATTTTGGGGGCAACCCGTTCGCGCTGCTTCTGCTTCAACGTCTGCTCGGCCTGCTTCTCTAGGACCGCGTCTCGCATCTCGGCGATCCCCGTCTCTGCTATGAATTGAGGTAGACGGAATGCCGACTTTTCAATGCCTCGCTTCGATGATAGGTATTCGCGCTTGAGAGACCAATGCGCCGGTACAGGGACAACGTTGCGCTGTGACTTGATCTGGACCAAAACTCGTGGGTCGGTGGAGGAGACGTCCTGCCACTCGACTACTTCCGGAACGGCAGCGAGGGCCTTGAGCTGGGCCACTGAAACCTGGTTAAGCGCCTTGCGCTTCTTCTTCGACGGCTTTGGTTGTTGGTCTTCGTCGGGGATATCGTCATCGTCGTTGTACAAGACTGTGCCCTTTTGCTCCTTCGTTTCGTTCTTAGAGGCATCATCTCCAGTATTGACATTGAATTTCGTAAAGATTGCTTTGTAAGCGGCGAATGCAGGATCATCGTCGTACGCATCGAGAGAGTCGGCTTCGACGACAGCGCCGCGCTCTTGCTGGGGGGCATCTTGTGGCTTCTCGTGTGTTTGCGCATTCGTTGTGGATTCTTCAATAGCTTCCTCGGGCTTGCTTTCGATCTGTTGGGACGGTGAGCTCGTGCGGCCTGGGGGGCAAGGGCATGCGACAGACCTCTGCCTTGACTTTTTTCTGCTCCTTCTTTTTGGCTCTCCTCATCTGGTTCTTGGTCATTTTTGGGGCCGCCATGGCGACGACTTGCTCGCAATTAGCGAGCTGCTGTATGGTCTGTTGGAGAAAGCGGCTGGGTTGTAAACCTGGGTGGCAAGTTGGAAGAGAGCGTAAAGGGCGCCGAGCGCAAACACGTATTGCTTTGGGTCTCTTCCCATGCCGCGAGGGGAGTTGTGCGAGACCGCAAAGTCGAAACGGTTCAGTGCGAAACCGAGATACCGAAGGAGTTCCAACTTTGTACGATTGGTTGACGAAAATCGTCCAAATCGTGGTCTGTCAATGCAACTCCAAGTAGATTGGCGCCAGTATAAAATCTTTGGGAATACCTGCGCCGACGCGCCACTGCCGGGGGAAATCCGGCTAATCCAGCTCACCATGGCGGCCTTGCCTCAGGTGTCGCGAGAAGCACTAACCTATGTACATACCTGACCTATGTATGTATGTACGTAGTAACTTATTTGACTCGCCACTTGTCCACCATATGCTTAGGCTCAGTAAACCTCCATTAGATATCAGACAGATCAAAAGGCTTGATATTCCACTAATCTCTGCAATAGTATATTAATGCTGCTTACTGGAGTGTTTCTTTTTTCTTGGTGTACCAAAAAAATCGCAAATCGTCAATTGGCTACAGCTGAACGCGCCAGCGTACATAGCTGGCTTCATTTCGGAAACTGCAACAAGAACATGGTGCAAAAGGGTTAAGAATGGATTGTGAAGATAATCTAGGAATCGAATTGCTCAAAGTACCTATGCTAAACGCACATCGCCGCTCTACAGCCTTTACTTCTTTCCCACGTTGCCATGGTGGGCTCCCGACCATCCATCTTTCCTCATCTTACCAATTACTTCTGAACATAAAAACAAAACAAGACAGCAGACCACCCTAAATTAAATCACAAATTATGGGAACCCCCCCCCCCCAGCACAGCGCCACCCGCTCTCCTAGCGAATCCAGTGATACACAGCTGGGCAGAGGCCGCCATGTTCCAGCTTCTTCCTCTCGGCCTCTTTCCGACGCCTTTCGTCCTCCCCGATCAATTCTTGATGATTCGCTCCCGGATCTCCTCATTACACGTCTCCTTCTTTTCCCCGTAGTTTCGCCTGGTACTTGACCTCGCGCTGCTGCTCGTCTTGCACGTCTCCTGGAGCTGCTCCCAGACCGCGTCGCTGACACCTGCGTCACGCGCAGCAACGTCACCACAACCCGCGATATCGGCTGGGGCAAACTCAATTGTGCTCAGTTCTTTAGCAGCACGTTCGTCCTCAGGCTCATCTTGTAGATACGTTGTGCTCTGCTGCGCCGTTGGAGTCGCTTTGACAGAGTCAGGAGACAGAGGTGGAGGCGGCCTTAGCTGAGTTGGATGCAGTCGTGCTTGGGCATTCAAATTTTCTCCGCAGCGCTGTTCAGTGGTCATTCTCGGTCGACTTTGTCGCTCCTTGGCCATTCTTTCCACCTCTGTTCTGACAATGCTCTCTGATACGGTCATGGCGACATTCTCCAGCCTTGCTGCTGCTTTCATTGCGATCTGAAAGATATACTTTGCCAGTGTTACAATGTCTCTTGCATTACCCCAGCCCCGGCCTTTCGACATGCTCTTGAAGAATCCACACACATCTGCCCGGAAATCAGCAGATAGCCGCTCTAAGCAGTAAATATCCATGCCCCGGCTGCCCTGTGCTTCAAGAGCCGCTTTCTGCTTCGCCAGTGTCTTTGTCAATAAGGCGAAGCATCCTGTAGGATCTAGGCTGCGAAAACCGACTACTTCCGGAAAGTGGATCGTGAGTCCCGGGTTGGCGGCCAATAGGCCGTTGATATCGTGTTTATACCCAGCCAGGATAATGACAAGGCGTTTGTGATATCTCTAAACGTCAATGCAAATTAACTCGACGCTCGAGCTAACTCTCACGCTCTCATGAACAGCAGAAAGCCCCGACGAACTTCCGAGATCAAGTTCAAAGCAGGTAGATGATGAAATCTGGGCCTTGAAGGCTTCGAGAAAGAGTTCAGCATCATTACTTGTTAAAATCGTGCGTGTTCCGTTCCGACAGGCGTTGAACACCCTCTTCAGGCGGGCAACTCGAGTGTCATCAGCTTCCATGGTGACAGTCGTGGTAAGAACTCGTCTAGCGATTGTTCAAAATTTTCTCCGCCAAGTCCAACGGGTACATGAGGTGTATTTATTTGTTTAATAGAGAGCACGAGGTGGAAATTGGATCACGCTGTTAAGAATAGCACCTGTGCAAACGACAGCCAGCTTTATGTACCACACTAGAGGGAAGGCTGCCGCCCATTGACGAAGACCCATACAACACTTTCAGTTACTTTCATTACTTCAGTGAATGAAACATACATACGTTGCTGTTCATTCGGGGCCGTGAATTCATGTCATTTGCGCTGCTGTGGGCGTGGATTTCTTTTGTGATAAACCCGAGACATGTTCCTCTTATTTGCCAAACGTAAATCGGTACAAAGCCAAGCAGTCTCATCAGATACCCTGAGCAATCCTTGCACCGTGAATCAGTGAAAGGTTCGCCCACACGGCCTGTCAGAAAACAACTGTCAGAGGTGTGTAGTCCACCACGCCCATCCTTCGCGTTCCCCAATCAAGAATTATCCAAAGATTCTGTCACTCCTTTGTCTTCTGCGTGAGGAAAGGCGGAGATCAATATGCCCTACTCCCAGCGCTTTACGGAGTCGCGGCTGCGTCGCAGCGCCTTGACTAGTGTCGCCATCCCTGACGAGACTCCAAACGCTCCTTTTGAACCAACGTTTAGTATATCTCGAGAAACGAGCTTCGTCGTAAAGGCGCCAGCGAAGAGCACTGTCGCATCTCCTGAGGCTTAGGTTATAGCGTCTGTTAACTAGTTAGGGGCAGGAGACTCGCATATTCTTGTGCCAGGTATGCTAAGGAAAAGCTTTCCCTTCGCACATCTAGTCTGACCAGAGGTTCAGGAATGCCGCCAGAGTGGACGCCTCTTGAGTGGCCCTGCAAGCTCAAGCAAGATTCCGGTCTATACTACCGGGATCGAAATGTGGCACATTATCCTGACTACCCTGTTGAGCCCACGGTCGAAACCATATTGAAGATGAGCTCAGCCGTCGGCACGACCATTAAACGCAGAAGCACCGATATTTTCGACAAGACGGCACGCTTGAGGATATTGGTTCGGTGCTTTGCGTCTCGGGAACGGGTACGTCTTCATCGAAGTCCGTCCTCAAAAGTTCCGAGGCGGGTCTAATTGTTCCCTCATGCGCTGTGTTTGACCTCAAGCTTGCACGATCAAGCGCAGATGTGAGGAGGAATCCGTCATTTCTAGCGAGTTGCCACAACTCTTGCTTTGTCAAATCCGGACTCTAATCCTGGCATACCACAAACTATGGCTCCTTTCAAAAAAAAAAATTCAGATTCGCGACGTGCGAGCAGAAGTTGCTGCGTGGGAATATGATAACAAGGACAGACTGGTACAATTCGCAGAACTCTTGGGCCATACTGTGGAACTTGCCAGAGAGCGAGCGGATGAGAGGCTGGAGCTGACCTGAAATGAGTGCGATGATCTTCTAATATTCAGGGCGCAAGCGGCTGATGTGAAGGACAACTCTCTCCAAGTCGGCTGCGAGCCGGTGGGAGGCGTATTCCGTCACGACAACGCCACTAACGGTATTACCAAGGCGGCTGACGAAAATCATGAAGGTTCATACGATTATAATGGAGGTGAGATGAAACAGACGAAAACAGTCGAAATTATCAGGCGCCGATGGACTGACGAGGAAATGGTCGGCGAGTTGCATGATTTGGATGATGACACTCCCGACTACACCGCATTTGAAGATGACTGCGGCTATTGCGGGCACTGCGAGCATGAATAGAGTAATAGGGCCAATCTAGGGTTCGGCAGAATGTCTCGGCTGTTTCGATACTACCTAAGCCAGAGAGTGTCGTTGAGATGCGGTAGTGTGACCCCATAGTTGGCTGGCCAGCTGCTGGTTCGTATTTCGTTTCTTGATGGGGAAGCTGTGTACAATATTGCTATCAGGAAAAGTAGTCTTATCATCACTATCAATGACGCGTGGAAGTAGTAGATGCCGGGCATTGATTTCTGAGGTACCTCCCTTGAGGTTGTTGTCAAGTTAGAAAATGTCACGAGCTTGGCGGCGTCATTACAAGGTTAGTACTAGGTACCTAGTGAATGTCTGTATTTGGACAGATATCCAATTACAACTCAAACTCGGGCATTTTATCAAAAGTAATCTTTATTTTTATTATAAAGTTTCTTTCTTTTATCTTCGGCTACACTCACAAAAGCACAACAATAAAGAGGAAACAAGTTGGAGACAAACACGCCCCCTCCCCCCCCCAAAGTTCAAAGTTCGGGGGGAAGCGGACCCCTTTCAAAGCAAAACCGCCGCGACTTCTTCCCCGTCCCCTAATAACTACGTACTGACTGGGTGGTAGATCAAGTTATTTTGTAGTACATTACTCACCAGCACTCACCAGCACTAACGGCCGCCTTGCAACTTCAACTTTGTTTAGCCTTTGTTTTCTTCGCCATTTCCTTTTTCATGTCCTCTTCCTTTCTCAATCTTCGCACATCGCCGTATCGTACCTACACAGCCGCACGCATTTCGTCCGCCACGTGCGCCATCCATCCCGTTTCCCCCCTTCTGCAGTCCCTCAGCCATATCGTTTTGCGACTTCCTCCTAGTTCGCCACCACCATGGCCGCGCCCGAAACAAGGGACCCTTTGGATGCGCTGCAGGCCCTCTTCAACGATGCCGTACGTCTTCACTCTGAACAGCTGATGCCTTTTGGAAAATGTCTTGGCAGTATCTGACATGGTTTGCTAGCTCATTCAAACCGGGAAGGCCATTCGCGCATCCAGAAGGGACAGTCAAGGAAATCTCCCTCTACCTCAGGGAATGTCAACACCGAAGCTGCCTAGCACCGTCGACGCTTTCCACAAGATCCTCGATGATCTAGAATCCGATATTGTACGATACTTACCTCCTAGTACTGACAATCTCATTGCTGTGCGCCGAAGCTAAACCTACCAATCTAGATAAATGCGAAGTCCGTCGTTCTGCGCGACCTCAACCAGCTCCAGGCCAAGCAGTCCACGGATCAACAGCAGCAAGTGCAATCTGCTCTCCCTATCGAATCGCAAACAAAAGAGCCGCTCTCTATCGATGTCGAGTCTTCGCCCCCGCCTTCTACAATAGCCCATACCAAACCCGCCCTCGCGCCGTTTCCTGTCATGGACGCCGGTAACATGACCAGTGGCGACGCCTCGCTCGAGATTGAAGAAACCACTCTCTATGTAGACAACTCTACAAAGAAAAACGGCGTCAAAGCAGAAGCTCTAGCCGCTCCGGAGGCGCCCATGATGACCGACTCCAACTTTACCGACATGCAATTCTCGCTTGCACCCGGCGATGGCTCGCAAGGCCAAAACACGAATGCTGCTGGCTCTTTTGATATACCATCGTTTGCACCCGGCGATGCAATTCTCTCAGTTGACAACATGCTGTCCGGCAGTGGCCAGCCCGCCAACAGCAACGGCAGCGACACGAATGGCCCGACAACTGTCCCTGCGACTACCGAAACGATTAAGACGGAGCCGGTCAAGGGCACCGGAGCCACAAATGAGTCGAATTTTGAAGAATTCTTCACCAACGACGCCAGCCAAGCTGACGGAATGGATTTTGACTTCAGCCTAGGTGGCGGTGGTGGCAACGGCGGTGGTGGCATGGGTGAGGACACGTTTGACGATCTGATGAATGACCGCGACGGGAATTTTGAGCTGATGACCAATGAAGATTTCGACGCTGCCTTTTTTGGACTCGACAATAAAGACGGCACATCTTGATTATGCTTGTTCGCGTTTTCTGCGTGGCGTTGGGGCACATGCTCTTTTCTCGGAATTCGAATTGGGACTTGGTGCTCGGGGGCCTTTTTTACATCATACCTTTTGTTTTCCTGCGATGCGACTTGGAGTATCATTGGTCTTGGACGGTTCAATCCTTTGGAAGCTTACTGTTGGAATTGTGTACCTCGGTCGTTAAGAGGCTATGGCGCAGGTGGTGTTGAATGGCAACGGTTGAAAGGGGTTGGGAAACAGCATCGCTGGGTGTATCGCCTATCTTGACTGTATTAGTTTTGCCATTTCTGCAGTGTAGTGCTTCGTGTATTGCAAGTCTTATTGTGTGCTTGGACTCTCAATGCAAATGATAAATTTACTAAGGCTATATACACACACGCTCGCTTCATTCGTCAGGGAAACTGCGTCATGTAGGGCATCTTACCAAGCATAGCCTTAAACTTGGGGTTTCTCCAGTCCTTCCAGTCGTGATCAATAGCGCCCCAGGTTTCCTCGGCATCGACCTTGCCATCACGGACATAGTATGTGCCCTGGATGGCCCAGAGTGACCAGTCGGCGTCGTTGTCTTCCATGTATCCGCGCAAGCACGACAAGTAAGTACTGTCCTTGTCATTGAGCCCATCCTTGTCACCGCCCGTCATACCGACGCCAAACTCAGAGAGGAACAGCGGGCCGGTGGCGTCCTTACCTTGCTCGAGGACGAAGCCGAAGTGCAGGCCGTAGTTAACCTTGCGAACGGCGCAGGACCCGAAATCTGGAGTGGTGACGGTGAAGCTGTACGCATGCGCCTCCCAGGCGTTCTTGCCCGCCCAGCCGGACGTGTCGAGCGCGCGCTCGCGCAGCGGCGTCAAGTCGGTGCCGCCGTTGAGACCGCCGACGATGACGAGGACGTCCGGGTTGGCCTCGTGCACCGCGCGCGCAGCGGCCGGCATGTTCTCCCGCCAGACGCCGGCGGCCGAGGGCATCTGCGTGACGTGCGCGCGCAGCTCATTGCGCAGCGACATGCCGACCACCCCGGGCCGGCCGCGTGCCCAGCGCGCCATCGCGGTGAGCCCGTCAAGCCATCGCGCGTGGTCGAAGAAGCGCGAGTTGGCGTCCAGGTAGCCCGGCGCGTCGGCCCACCAGCCGTTGCCGTCGTCGAGGTTGCAGCACCACGACGCGCGGGAGACGTGGTTGTCGAGGATCGTGACTACGCCGCGGTCCCATAGCGCGGCCTGCACGGCGGCGAAGGCGTCGAGGACGGTGGCGTTGCCGGCCAGGAACGGATTGGCGGAGACGGCAGCGGCCTGCAGCGCTATCAGGGCGGCCTCGTCGGCGCTGGTGGCGGCGGCGGCGGCGCGGAACGACTGCTCGACGGGGAGGCCCGGGTTGAGCGCCATGTCGATAGAGTAGGTCAGCCGCACGCAGTTGAAGCCGTTGACGGCGATCCAGCCTGCGATGCGGTCAACGGGCTGCAACTGCAGGCCCTCGGGCACGTTGGCCTCAAGGTGGCCCGCCCAGTTAATGCACCGCAACTTGAAGCGTTTGTTGTCGCTGTCCAGGATCCAGCGGCTCGACGAGTGGAGTGGCACCTTGGGCTTGTCGATAGCGGCCGCAGCCGCGGAGGCACCGAGTGAGGGCATCGCGAGGACTACAAAGGCCAGCGCAGTTGACAACTTCATGGTAAGAGGGTGCGGTGCGGGTTTGTGATGGATCGAATATGAAAGAGGCGCGAGGCAAATGAAACAAAGTAGAACGCTGCGCCGTCTGTTTTGAAATTGCCGTTTCGTGATTCATTATTAGTGATGGAGGGGGGCGGTGCATGCTTCTCTATAAGTGCGAGTGTGTAACTGTTCCTCTGATGGCATGTTCAGGTCACGCTCAGCCGAACCCCGGACATTGATTAGCTGCAGATGCAAAGATGCCATCCCAGAGGGGTGTCCAACTGTCAGTTACCAAGTTAACTCGGTTGGCTGCATCGTCCATGTGCTCAAGGTTGCAGCCAGGTGAGCAGCCAAGCAGGGTTCCGAGTCTGGTCCGTGTCGGGATCAGCACATGGGCGGAGAAGCCAACCACAAAAGGGCTAATGCTGGTGCAATGATAGTTTATTGATAAATAGGTACTAACAGTGGGTGTACATAGTTCACAAGGTAGCGATTAGTGACGATGCTGACAGTACTAATAATGATTGACTTGCTCGATAGCTACCCCCGCCAGATCTTGCTTTCCCAATCCTCTTTCGGTGCCAGCCCTGAGCTATGACTGGATGAGGAAGGTCAACTTCGTGAGATCAGAGAGAAAGATCGAAGACCAGGATTTGGGTATGGCCTTCCCTTCAGCCGATGCGCTCACACCTTGATTAATGCAAGAATACGGATTTGTCGGGCCGCATTTGGCTGTGGTCTTTTACCCGCCCATTGAGGAAAAAAAAAACCATGACGCAGCACCAAGAGTCTTATTGAAGGGGCTATCGGAAGGGAAGTAGCCTCCAGTACTCGCTTCCGCCACAGTACTTCCACGAGGAAGCAAATCTGCGTGCGAGTTGTAAGTATGCATGTACCTACTTTTTTAGAGTTACCTAGTAGGACAACATCCCTGCAAGTTACCTCCCGTGCTCCTCCTCCACAGCCACCACAGCCAACGGGATAACTTTGATTGACTGCCCCGACCCGGTGTCGGCCGACAGGCTTGAGTCACTAGTGCATAGACTGACAGTTTCCACATCCTAACCTCGGAGCACTTCTGGTAAAAATTCTCTCGTCACCACCTATTTAATAGCACGATTGTCGACAAGAAAGCCTGCTCATTACTCCCAATCGCTACTACGCCCTTCTTCCCGACGTCAATCGAAACTACGAGAGCCCATTATGTGTGGAACTTGCAACGGAGACTCTGCTGGGAGCAACCCCGCGACCGCCAGCAACCCCGCGACCGCCAGCAACCCCGCGGCCACCGTCGACACTCCCTCCAACGCGACAGTCAACAGTGTCTACCAAGGAGGCCCCCCCAAGTCTACTCCTTATCAGTCCGTTCAGGACTACATCTCCAATGTGAACAGATTTCAAATTATTGAAAGCACGCTCAGAGAGGGCGAGCAGGTAAGAATTTTGCCCTACCACCAGGAGTCATTGGGAATTTTCGCTCCAAACCAAGTTTGGCTCCCCGTTTCTGTAACACGACCTAATCAATCACAGTTCGCAAATGCATTCTTCGACACGGAAACCAAGCTTAAGATGTGAGGCCCGAAGCGCCGCATGCCGCCAAATCAACAACCTAGATGCTGACCAAATAGTGCTCGTGCATTGGACAACTTCGGCGTCGATTACATCGAAGTAACATCCCCCGTATCGTCTCCTCAGTCATTCGAGGACTGCAAGAAGATCTGTCAGCTCGGCTTGAAGGTTGGTTCCGACACTTCTCTTCACTCCTCACGCTGGTCGAGTCACCGTTGGATACTGACTCTTTGGTATAGGCCAAGGTCTTGACTCATGTCAGATGCAACATGGACGATGCGAAGAAGGCAGTTGAATGCGGTGTAGATGGCGTTGATTTGGTCATCGGAACGAGCAGCTATCTGCGCAAGTACAGTCATGGCAAGAGCATGGAGATGATTCAGAAGACTGCTCTTGAAGTCATTGAATACGTCAAGAGGTGAGACATTTGCCTCGCTCGTGCCGGAACCGCGAACGCTAACCTATGATGCAGCGCTGGTGTCGAAGTTCGCTTCTCTTCCGAGGACTCTTTCCGTTCAGACCTTCTCGAAATTCTTACTCTCTACAAGGCTTGTGATCGAGCTGGTGTTCACAGGGTGTAAGTTTCTTTCACAACAGACGGCGGCAGTCCGGCACTAACATGCAATAGGGGTGTTGCAGACACAGTAGGAGGAGCTACGCCCAAGATGGTCTATGATCTAATTCGAACGTTGCGAGGTAACTTGGCGAATTCAATATTAGAAACGCGGGACAGTTTTGCTAATACTACGTCTAGGAGTCGTTGGATGTGACATTGGTATGCTCCCTGCCTGGTTATCCTTACCTCTTACTAATTGACAGAAACCCATTTCCACGACGATACCAGCTGTGCTGTGGCAAATAGCCTAAGTGCCCTTGAAGCCGGTGCGACACATATTGATACCAGTAGGTTCAAGACTTTCCGCCTTCTCCAAGAGGTTATCTAACAGAAATAGGCGTATTGGGTATCGGCGAACGTAACGGCATCACCCCACTGTAAGTATACATCTCAAAACAGCAGTATGAGGGTGTTTCTGACATTGAATATAGCGGTGCTTTTATCGCTCGCATGGTTGTAACTGCTCCCGAGTACGTTACCAAGAAGTATAATCTCAAGGCGCTCAAGAGCCTAGAAGAGTTGGTTGCCGATGCAGTGCAAATCAACATTCCGGTAAGATTCAATTACCATGCTACCCGTAAAACAGGCCACTAACACTCAGCTCCAAGTTCAACAACCCCGTCACTGGATTCTGCGCTTTGTAAGTCCTCTCTCATCTTTTGCGCCTCGGCCTAGAAAGTCCAACAACCGACGCCAACCCCTGGTTGTACACTACCCCGGATGACATTTACTGACAGTGGAAATAGCACGCATAAGGCAGGCATTCATGCCAAGGGTACGCTAGACAAAGTCACTTTACTTTCTACTCTCTTACTAATCCTTGTAGCAATTATCGCGAACCCATCGACCTACGAGATCATTGATCCTAGCTTATTCGGACGTAAGTGCTCCCAAATGTTTCTCTGATATCGTTCAGGAGCTTATTTTACAACAGTTACACGCTATGTCTCGATCAACTCAAGAATCACGGGATGGAATGCTGTCAAGTCGCGTGTGGAGCAACTTGGCCTCACGATGACTGATGAGCAGGTTAAGGAAGTGTATGTGCCTCTCCGGACTTCGAATACCACTAGACATGATAAGACAGGGACAATTACTAACCCTCGAAAACAGGACTGCCAAGATCAAGCAGATGGCCGATATCCGTCCCTTGGCTATTGATGACACCGACAGCATTATTCGCTCGTACCACTTGGGCCTAGCGCAAGAGCAGTAAACGGCTTGAGCCGGTCCTGTGTGGGTTATTGGGCGCTTTGGGGTGTTTAAAAAGTACTGAATTTGTATTGTATTCATCGCCATTCCAGAAATGGGCGCTATAAATTGAATACACATGGATAAAACTGCTGCAACTGGAGCAGTCGATCGGGAGCAGAGGGTCTCTAGCCAGCGCGTTCACAAGAGTAGTTTTGTAGGCCTGCTCCCCTGATGTGTTTATCCATAAGTCACCCTCATCTTCGGTTTTTGAACCCGACATCATACTCAAGTGAGAAAGTCAACCACGAGACGGCGGCAGCATGGGTGGTCAGCTGGATATCGAGGCTCGCCCCATTTCCATCCAGGGCCTCGGATAACGTTTCTTCCACCATTTAAGAAACAGTAACGTTAAGAGTGACTTATAAAAGCGCCACGCATTGAGATATTGGTGAAACCTCGCGGGAAAGAGTCGCAAAAACATCTCTCTACCATCTCGCTCTGCCGCCGTCGCAGAAAGTCATTCCAAGAAAACCCTCCGTTCGGCCTCGACTCACCTGTAATTTCCACGTTCTGAAGAACGCTAAGATACGCGCCTGATTTGCCGCACTTCTGATCTGTGGTTAGCGGCTATGCACAAGCAGCGCCAAGTTACATGGTCTCTGCAACAACGGCCAGAACTTGGCTTTCCATGGCAGTGATCCACAAGGCATAGCAAGCCTACGCGTCAGTATCAACAATCATCACAGTCTCGGCTAACTATCTCATATCTGTATATGAAAACCTATACAGGGAGTCGGACTATTACAACAAGAATCTCTATACACACGAGTCGATCACGATTAAAAAAAAAGACAAAAAAAAAGAGCGACAGCCCAAGAAAACCTGCAAAAAGAAGAAAAAACTCCATCCGTTTTTAGGGATATCATTTCACCGTTCGTCAATAGAGAGAACAGCACAAGAATGTGATGTGGGGAATTGGATTGCTTCCAAAAGCAACAGTAACGCGCCGCGAAGTTGGCCGTCCACGAAACGAAAGAAATCAAAGGCCGCGAAATGAAGAAAGAGAAAAGAACCGTCGCTGCGCGCTTGTAGTCGTGAATTCATGAGGAGTTGGTAAAGACAAAAATGGGGTACTAAAAATGGATATGTGTATTACAACAAGTGCCTTGCCATCAAGGAGGCCGGAAGAAGAGAGAGCGGGTTATCATGGCCAGGACATGATCAGGAGTACGATGCCGCAAGCCTCGACTCAAGAGCCTTGCGCTTCGCAATCAGGCTCTTGAGCGCTCCAATGAACTGTACGAGAGACTCCTCGTCGTGTGCGCAAAACTTGAAGCTCTTCTCCTCGGTAATGATTTGCAAACAGTTCTCCTTGCTCTTGTTGATTGGGTCAATGTCAACAACGTCGACAATGACGGAGAGCTGCACGATCCACTGCGCGAGGTACTCGGACTCATCCTTGTAGAGAATGAGGTTGCGCCGCCGCAGCACTCCCCACATGTCCTTCCACTGCTTGACGCCGCCTTTGCTCTTGAGCTGCCACAGCCAGCCTTGCCAGACGACGCGGTCCAGCTCCTGCTCTTGGTTGGCGACGCTGACCTGGCTGGCAGAGCGCTGTGCAGCCGGGCGGTAGGGGAGGCCGGAGCTAGGCGGTATCGATCCGACCTCGATGTGACCGGGAAACAGCTGGCTCTCCATGGAGCCGCCGCGGATGCGCTGAAAGTCGGTGTCTGACAAGTCGGAGTGGGAGGCGATCTCGCCGCCCGATGAGTCGACGATGGAGTTGTCGCGGTGGCCTAGGAACCCAGGCGCGGGAGGACCAAAGGTTTCGGGGGAGCTCGAAAGGAGTTGCTCGGACATGCTGTGTATTTGCTCGTCAATGTTGGTGAGGCTTGTGGGTGGTATTGTGCAGGGCGCGGTCGGAGAGAGCGTACGGGCGAGGGGGCTAGCGAGAAACATTTCCTCCTCTTCCTCAGCAAGGCGGGCGTCCTTTCGTATCAGTTCTACCCACTCGCGTGCGTCTTGCAGCGAGCGCGCCTGTAGGTGAAAGTTCTTGGAGGGTGAGAATAGACCAAAGACATTTTGGCGCTTGTGCTTCGGGTCCTTGAGGAGGGTGACGGCGTTGAGGTCGGCAAGGGGTATTTGATAGCGCAACTTTGTTTCCTTTTCGTTCTTATACATGGATAGGTAATCGGGTCGCAGGACGAGGTATACAGGCTTCCATTGCTAAAGAGGAGAGGATTAGCATGCGCCTCGAGAGGGGATCGATTAAGGAAAGGGGTGGTCAGCCTGCATACCTTGGTCTTGGTGCGCTTCTCCACGTAGCCGCATTTTATGACGCGGTCGAACTCGAAGCAGCCGTTGCTGCTTACGAGAGAGGTATCGTGATTCAGGCGGCTATTTTGTCCCGGCCGGGGGCTCGTCGCATCAGGCGCGATCGAGGGCTGTTGCGGCACAGCCCTGGCCGCAACCTCTGTCATTGTGGCTCGGAGGGCGATGGGAAGAAGGCTGCGAGGGTGTTGTTTGGCGGGTCGTTGTTGGTGTCGATGGCTGATTTGGATGATAAGCAGAAAATCGGGGGTGGCACAGGATGGCAGACCCATGCGTCGGATTTGCAGAGCTGCACCAAGAAACGGAAGAAGAGTCGAAACGAGGAAAAGAGGGTGCAAGAGTCAAATTGTAAATAAACGGGGAGAGTTGCCCGGGGGAAAGAAGAGGAAATAGTGTCAGGGGCAGGATCGTCGACGTAGACGATAGGATCTGCCACACCATGTACCTATGTAGGTGGCGGCGTAGACGGGGTCGAGGCGCTTCCTGCTTGTAATTCATACGGCCGAGTGCTCGCTGGAAAAGACACTTGAAGCCGCTAGAGGACACCAACTTGTACTGGGAGGTGATTGGCGGCTGGAATGAAATGAGTAGGACGGACAAATGGATTGGGTGGTTGCGATCACCACTCAAAACAAGCAGAGGGAGAGCGAGGGATGTATTCGCAGGGCGGGCCACCGAGACAACAATTCGCGGTTCTTGCTCAGGGCAGAACAAAGAATTGAAGGACAGGAACGGGCCTGGGGTTTTGTTTTCGTTCTTTTGCCTTTTTTTTTTCCCGTTCCAGTGATTAGCTTTTGCTCTTTTTGCCTCCTAGGCTATGCGCTGTCAGTCCGGTCCGTTTGCCATCGAGTCGACTAACTAGCCTAGCTCAGGAGAGAGGGACATTACAGAGTGGCACCGGGAGAGAGATTGCGTGGGGTGTATTTGATGCGAGATTGTGTATTGAATCGAGGTATTCTGCGGCGGCAAGTGCTAAGAATAGGCCGACCCTGGCAAGTTCACGCAAGGGCAGGCTGAGGCTTGAACTCAGTGAGCGACGGGGCTCTTTATGCACGATGCGTTTGCGATGGGGACGACAAGGGTTTGATTTATGGCCGTGACGTGAGGGAATTATTGGATGAATGATGGTCTCGAGCGCGCAAACGGTATAAGGAGTATTTTCAATCCGTTGCAAGGCCGGGACCGTTGGCCTGGTGGACTCGGAATCGACTGTTTCACGCGAGATAGTGTTGTCGGACAGTGTTGCTTATAAGGTTAAGGAATGGCTGGGTGGTGCTTGTCGGTGGGTGGAAGTCTGGGCTTTTTGAGGGGAGTTTGACTTGGCGCCCTTTCCCCTACTAACCTGCAAGCGACGGAGGGTCAGCGCCAACCACAGCCACTGCATTTGCCGCATTTATCCCCCAAAGTCTGTCCTTCGGGGAGCACATGCACTGGGGTAAGCTGTATTCGTACAAGCTCTCTGCTGATGAAGTTTAAACCCATGACGCCTCTTCAAAGCAAGCCTGCCATGTCCGAGGCTGCCAGTTGCTGACCACAAACTGGCGATCAACTAACCGCCTGAGGCGTTTGACGTCATGCTTACCTGGGCAGCATCAGGCTATCGCCAAGTCGCCAAAGTAGACAAATACATAAGTAGGCAGGTAGACAAGTAGACAAGTAGGCAGGTAGACAAGTAGACAAGTAGACAAGTAGACAAATCAAGAAAAGCTTGCAAAAAAAGCGCGCCTTTTCGTTGGCACACAGCCACAGCATGGAAACACGCGACCACGTCCAGGACCTCGTCTTAATAATTAGTCAGTCCTGTGTCGCGACTCGGCTTTGAAACCAGACTAACGCGAACATGGGCGGGCTGTGCCTAGAAAGAACCAGGCAAACATCCATTCTCTACGGTAACGAATACGATGCAGCAGCAGAGTAGGAGGCAGACATACCTAACCGCCTCTCGGTACCTTCGGTTCTGAACGCGCAAGCACATTGTGGTGTTGAGCCGGTCATCTGCCTCGCGCCTAGGCCAACAGAGGGCCAGCAAGCCGGTCATGCGTCGGAAAAGCTTATGGAAGTGATAGCGATGCGTTTGAAGAAGTCACAAAAGTAATGCTTGCGAGGGGCGCAGTAGGATAAGAAAAGATGGTATGAAGTTGCTGTCAATAATTGCCCATTAATTTACACAAATCCAGATTTTCCCGATCTAGTCAATCCGCATGGAGGGGCAAAGTGGGCTGAAGTTTTTCCAACATCGCACTTGCGCTTCATGAAAACTTGTTCACTATTATGTTGGGTATCGGTATTGAACAGAAACGCAGTTCCTTATAATTGACATAAAGTCTACTGCGCAGAATGACTACTGCGCAAACAGGCCAGCCCTGCAAGCGATGCAAGGTCGAAGATGCGCCATACAGGCTCCGAAATCTTGCCACATGCCGGTACTGCCCCTCCATGAACCCCGTCACCAGCATCACCAACGTTCATATGCAGCATAACGGCAGGCCCATGACGTTAACCAATCCACTCATAGTGACTGCTACATCGAGCATGTGGTCGGCAAGTTCCGCAAGAGTCTAGGCATCATGCACAAGGAGATCCGCACATCTGCGGAACTCGCGCCCCGGCGGTACCTCGCCGGCGTCTCGTTCGGCGTCTCGTCGACCTGCCTAGTGCAGATGCTCGACGACACCGCCCGGCATCATGCCGCCAAGCAGTCCTCAAGTGCTTTTGAGCCGCTCATTGTGCACGTTGACACGGACCTAGCCGCCGCGCCGACAAGGGATGGCGAGACGCCCGCGCAACGCCTACTAGCCAAGTACCGCCGGCGCTACCCGCACGTCTCCTTCGACTGCGTGCATCTGAGCAGGGCCATGGCGCTCCGGACGGTGGACTGGTCCGCTTTGCTGCCAGCGGGTGTCACGGCCGCTGACTGTGGCGCGAGCGATGATGTTGAGAGGCTGCGCCGCCTCTTTGCCGCCCTGCCCTCAGTTACGTCGCGCGCCGACGTGCTGCGACAGCTCGTCCGCCACGTGCTCATCGACACGGCACGCGCGCACGACTACTCGGTGGTACTCCTCGGTCACAGTACGTCTGCCCTTGCGGCGCTGACGCTCGCCGAGGTTGCCAACGGCCGCGGCTTCTCTGTCCCAGGGCAGGTCGGAGACGGGATTCAGACGGTATGCGAGTACGACGACCGTGGTGATGAGACTGCGCGTGTTGCGTTCCCTGTTTACTACCCGCTGCGCGAAGTCCTCAAGAACGAGCTCGTCGGGTACGTTGACCTGATCCCAGCGCTGGCCGATATGAAGCGCCTCCGCGAGCTGGACGGCAGCGCCGGCGGCGGCAGCTCTGTCGTCTCGCACAGGGACGTGAGCATTGAGGAGGTGATGCAGCGCTACTTTGACGGCGTCGAAGGCCCATACTCGGGAATCGTCGCCAACGTCGTCCGCACCACGGGCAAGCTGGATCGCGTGGCGGGCGGCGCCTCCTGCCGACTATGCAGCATGCCCCTCGACGATTCGGGCGACAACCGATGGGCGGGTGACCTCGGCCAGGACTCCGGCGACTCGGCGGCCGAGAACCATAGGGAAAAGTTGTGCTATGGCTGTCGACGAGCCGTCAGCGGATAAGCACTCAATATTACGAATAATGGAAATGCCGACCATGTCATGAATAACGAGATTAGAGAACATCGACAATTTAAGCAACACGGACAAGCTTGCCAACGTGGCTTGGTATTGCAATAATCAAGGTTTCTTCTTTTAAACTCCAGAAATGCTCAACGTCCTCTAGAAATGCCCACCACGTACGCATTGTCGTCCAACACATTCATACGTACCAGAGTGCCCCATAATCTATCCGCAAGTCGAACAAGAAAAGACTGCTCCGTGTTTAGGAGTGAGCAGTAAATGGTGTATATGTAAAAAAAATGGAAAAAAATGTATCAGCATTCGATATGAAATATCTGGCACGGCGCTCAAGAATTACAGACGATTCGCGTCCTTGTCCAGCATGGGCAGGATGCGGTCCTCGACCTTACGCATCAGCTTATTGGTCTGCTCAGCGAGGGAGAGCGTCAGGATCGTGTGTGGCAGGATACGGGCGAGGTGTGGCAGGAAGCCCTTGTAGATGGCAAAGACGCCCTCTGTGCGGATCGTCTTGCCCAGGCAGTCGAGCACGCCCTTGTAGAGGTTGCCGTTTTGGTTGTATAGTCGGGACATGATGGTGTCTTATTTTACTCGAGTTAGCTTATTGCCTTTCCAGTCGCGATTGGACAGGCTCCCATCAACATACCAGGAGGGTGCATGAAGCAGCACACGACGAATCCGCTGACGGCACTGCTCGCCAGATGCAGCGCGGGGCCCTCCTCCATGCCTGCGTGGCGCATTAACCGCCTCTTGGCGAAGAAGTACGTGGGCAACTGCACGGAGCTGCCGAAGCCGGTGCGGATCATGGCCGCGCCGACGCCCCGGTACAGGCCGCGGACGCCCTCGGCGCGGTAGATCTGTGACATGCCGTCAATGGCGTTGCGGTAGGTGTGCTGGGTGCCGACGGGCAGGAAGGGCGAGAAGCTCTGGAGGCGCGTCTTGACGAGGAAAAAGGGCGAGCCGGCCGCGGCGCCGATGACGCCCGATGCGGCGCCGCAAAACATGTTAATACCGAGGTTCTGGGCGGCGCCGTCGCGCAGGAAGATCGAGGCCAGCCCTTGGCGCATCGGGTCGTAGAAGCCTAGCCGGCAGCCGTTGAGCAGGATCTGGTACACGTACGCGCACCCAATGCCGCGGTAGATGCCGCGCACACCCTCGTTCTTGACTATGACGCCCACGCCGTGCAGTGGCCCGCGGTAGTGGTGCGGCTGGTGGCCCTTGGTCTGCAGCTCGCCCTGCAGCTGCATCCGAATCTTGACCGTCTCGAACGGGTGCGTGGCGGTCACGGCGCCGCAGGCCGCTATGCCGCCGGCGATGAAGGCGCTACACGACGGTCTGGTCAGTCTTTACATCGTCCTGCTCAGTCGATTTTTCCCGTTGTTCATGTTTCGCGGCTGTTCCGAATCGGAGGATGGAAAAAAAAGGCGGTACGGTTCGGTTCTGTGAAACGTAGGCAGACTTACCCGGCTGTGGTGGACATGGCCACGGCGTCTTAGAAAATATAGGAAATCGTAGTCGAATTGCGATGATTGAAGTTTCGAAACAGGAGGTGATGGCGGAATGCCCAGCTAGGCGGCCAAGATGTTGAGGCTGCGCTGTTTTATTAGCCTGTGACTTCGGTCAAGACAAGCGGTCGGCGTTCCACGGGCTGCTGTTCCGTCCTGGCAGCATTGTGCGCCGGGAAGCGAGACAGTGGTTGCGGTACTTTCTGTCCAGCATGGTCAAGGAGGATTTGGTCACGTACACTTAAGCGATTTCCGAGTCTCAGCAATCTGTCGTCGTCTCTGCGCACTACGTAAGATGCAACAGGCAACTTTGCAGCTGTTTCGCTTTCTGAGGACGAGAGCTGGGACTGAGTGGTGGGCGACCTTGACAGGCTGTGCCGACGTCGGCCGGATTGGTGGGCTTGGTGGGTTGGGTGTAGACTCGGCCTATTGGCGGCTGCCCGATGCAACTGCTGCAACCAGGTTGGTCCAGTTGCGCTAAAATCTTCAAAGGACGTAAAAAAAAACACTGTGGCCCCAGTATCGGCATCCAGGAAGAGGTCGTTTGGTCGGGTAGTCAAGGCTTGAAGCAACCGTGTAAGCCGCGGCGCTCCAAGTCGCTGCTGGAATTGCCCAACATGACACAAGCATCGACAAGTCAGTTCTCTTGGGTGGATTTGACAAGCCAATTTCAACACGGTATTCGACTGGTGGTTTTGGTTTATTCAGGCCCTCCTTAGCAAGTCGGCCTGCTCGTAACAGTCGGTAGCCCGCTCTTGTACTCCGTACTCTAGTTGAAAAACTCTTGAAGCTGTTGCGGCAAGAATTTGCGCCATTCTCTTCTCGCAGTAACTTAGTCTTGAGAATACGGCACTTGCATAGCCAAGTTTTGTGCTCGCTTCTCGGCGGTAGTATTTGCAACATCAGCAGTTAATCCGTGTACTCGGCTATTGTTTGAATGTTAGGCACGGTGAAGATCGCTGTTGTGGCCATGTTATCACCAACACGTAAAAGTCTACAGCGAAACTGCAAAAGATCACCAGGCTGAAGACTTTGCACAGTAGTTCCGTCTTGGTGCAAGAAAAGAGACGCAATGCAACCGACTCAACCGCCACGACCAACCGCAAATGCGTAGGCTATGATATAGGGTAGTCCACTTCAGAGCTCGACGCGTTAACATAGTGCTCCACATCGTTTTCGCACTGCATCGCACGCTGCCAAAGAGCTCCCACTTTGAGAAACTTGATCTTCACATCGCTATTCAACTGTCTGTGTTGGTTAGGCGAGACTGCCTGCTACCCGCCCCTCGCCAGAAACCCTATATCTTTCAGCACTACCATGTCGTCCACACCAATGGACCTCGATCGCCCAGAGCGCAATGGGACACCATTGTCACGAAACATACCCCAATCGACCACGCCGGTATCGAATCTCACCGACGTCATGTCGTCCTTTCGCCCAACCAAGGTAAGCTCGGAAGCGGGATTCATACCACAACAGACGCCACCCTGTCATCGGATGGCTGACTGACAAACGATGCGCCGTTACAGCTTCTTCGTCGCGATGACATCAAAGACCCCCGCCAACCGCCCCAAGTGCTCTCGATAGACTACAACGACGACGGCGAGCTGCTCATGACTTCGTCAAGCGACGAGACGATACACATTTATAACGTCAGAGAAGGGAGACACGAAAAGTGCCTCATTAGCAAAAAGTACGGCGCGAAGCTCGCAAAATTCACACACACAAGCTCCAGCATTATCTACGCAAGTACCAAGCAAAATAGTATGGCGCTCCTCACTCGCAATTGGCCATCCTGATATTGACCTTTTGGCCCAGATGCCATACGATATCTCGCCACACACGACAATTCCTTCATCCGCTACTTCGAGGGCCACGAAAGCCCCGTCACCTCCCTGGCCGTGCACCCTGGCAGCGACAACTTCATATCCTGCTCGCAGGACAACACGGTGCGCCTGTGGGACACGCAGACCAAGAACTGGCAGGGCCAGCTGCTCCTGCGCTCGCCATACCTGGCCGCCTACGACCCGTCTGGCACGGTATTCGCCATTGGCTGCCCGAGCTCCGGCTCCGTCCTGCTGTACGATGTGCGCCACTACGACCGCGCGCCCTTTGCGACCATTGACGTCGTCGACCACGGCCGCGCCATCGACCCCGCCCACGTCGTCCGCGGCTGGACCCGGCTCGAGTTCTCCAACGACGGCAAGTCGTTGCTGCTCGGCACCCGCGGCGCCGGCCACTTCCTCTTCGACGCCTTCGAGGGCACACTTAAGGCGTACCTGCGCCGCCCGCCCGGCGGTACTACCCGACGACTGGCCGCCGGCGAGGGTGGCATGAGCGGCGCCAACAACGCCGGCCAGTACGAGAGCAGCGGCGACTGCTGCTTCGCGCCGGACGGCCGCTTCGTCATCGGCGGCTCGCGCCACGACGTGGTCGTCTGGGACACGCTCAAGACGCCACCGCCAGACAAGGGCTTGGAGCCGACGTGGACGCTCCCTGATAAGCGCGAGGCAGCTGTGGTTGGGTTTAACCCGCGCTTCAACTTCTTTGCTACTGCTGACGCGGATCTACTGTTTTGGCTACCGGACCCTCATGCGTAGAGCTAGAGGAAAGAAAAGCAGGAAAAGAGGAAAAAAAAGCTTATCTATCATTTAGGAAGCCTTGTTATCTTTCAATTGTTCTGCTTCTCTTTCAGGGCGCAAGGGTCGGTATCAGATATCCTGGGGTTCTCACGTAGATAATGTTTCGAATACGATGTTAAATACTAACCAAGTTTTAACCACAAGTCAGTGTAATGGCGCGCTCATGGGTATTATGTTAATGCATTATACAACCATGATAAACAACTGAATCTTGCCCACAACGCCATTATATACCATGCCCGATATGTTATTCTGCTGGAATATTTTTAGCTGGGAATCGAGGCTCGACGTCCCAACACGCCCCAAAGCAAGAAGACAAGAATGAAAACCGAGCAATTCCCGCATAACAAACTGCTTAGGTTCTAGCAGAAACGCCACAAAATAAAGTACCGCTGCCCAAGACGTCATATCCAAAGAGCGTGGTACTACAAACTCGAATGGGTTGAAGAGAAAAAAAAAATGAGATATTAAATGGGAATGTAGATGAAGAAGCAAACAAGAAGCTTGTCATTATGATGCGAGGCGTCGTCTCATTAGTTGATGCCTAGGCCAGTAACGAACCAAGTGAAGCCGATAACCGTAGCGATGCTCATGGTGGCGGCAAACTTGATCGACTGGCCATGAACCGCAGGCGAGGCAGCACTGGCATGGCAACCAGGACAAGTCCACTGGCTCCAGTTCTGGTAAGCCTTGCCAGAATACAGGCCAAAGCTGAGAGCCGTGCTCACGCCCAGGTAACCAGGCTCGGGCGTGTCAGTCATGGAAATATCAGAATCCTTGATAATAAGCGAGTACTGCTCCGTGAGGAGGGGTTGATTAGGATCATTAGCCTGAACCTTGGTATCCCAGACGTATTCGACAGAAGTAGCGAAAGTCATATTGCCAGTCAGTGTCCAGGTTGCGCGAGCGGTAGAACAACTGGCGAGAACATCGACAGCCGTAGGGGTGCCTTGGAGGGATGTGTAGTTCCAGCTAAACGTGACGTAGTCGCTAATTTTGTAGAGTGCGGTGCCGAGAGCTGTGTTGGCAGGAACAATCATGCTGACGCCTCCAACTGGTGAGTCTGGGGCGAAGGAGGTATGGGTGGGCGTCGATGAGCTCTTGCTCTTGCTTCCAGTCGCAGACTTGGTGGGCATAGCCGTGTTGCCGCCAGTCGCTTTTCCGGTCTCCTTGGTGTTGCTTGCTGACGAGCCAGATGCGGATGGAGTGGCAGTGGCGGAAGCTGGGTCATGTTAGCAACTGTGCGGTTCAGCACTCGCGGAGTGAAACACAAGGAAAGCCTTACGGGTGGCGCTATCACTGCTATCAGAGCTATCAGCGCGGACGATGAGAGCATCGCGCTCGGGAAGCCAGTTGGGCCAAGCGGAAACCACTGGGGCAACTGACGAGACAGCCAGAGCCAGTTGCATCAAAGTTGCAGCAGGACGCATCGTGATGAATGAGCCAACGGCAACGATCGTGGGAAACGAAGACCGAGGATGTGAAGAGGCAGCGCAACGTGCTTGCAATTTCGTGGAAAAAAGAAAAAAGAAACCGACTCAGAAGTGACTGAAGTCAGGCGGTGCGAGAAGAGACGGGTTCGACACGTAGACTCGCGGAATACGAGCGTTTCAAACGGAACGGTGCTGGGCACAAGGTTTCAACAGTGGAGGCGGCCAGCAACGTTCGTTGGTACACGCCAGTAGCCAGGGGAAGGCGGAGGTCTATCGGGGACGGCGTGGATTTCGAAGAAGAGAGGAAGCAAGGGTCGTGGCAAAGTCGAAAAATCAAGACGAGCGGCCGGAAGCGAGAGTCGGTGGCATGAGAACACGGAAGAGGATTGCAAGGGAACAAGAGGATGAGTGGGAAAAGGAAAAAGAATGACCTTGGATCCAGCAAAATCTCTCGGAGACGCCAGTGCAACCGAAAGGGGCGGAGCGGTCCAGTGGCCTAGCGTCCAGGGGCCTTGGTGACCAAGCGGCCAGCCCATGTACCCCGATTGCTGTGGGCCAGTGCATGAATTTCCTTCTATTTCCAGCTGGGAATGGTCTCCCCAGCGCCTGTACCCGCCGTGGGTGGCTTGACATCGTATTCCGCGCCACTCCATGCACGTGATCTCGTGTTTTTGCTTCTCTGTGGCCTTGGCCTAGGAATTAAGTTTTTTTTTTTGCCAGAAAAAAAAAAGAAACACACACACTGAAACTTGTTGTTGTCAATAAGCCTTCAATGGCATCGGGGTAGACGCCTGGGATATATGACTGGAATTCTGTGCAAAATTGTAATGATGCTTAATCCCAGCATACCAGTCAGGATGCTGTTGCTACGGTGGATACGACAGCCACCAACAAAGGGCGACAGCGGATTAGTGGTGCCGAGCCCGCGAACCCTTCCTGATCTTGGGGATACACTAAATCCACTAAAGTTCTTCCTATTATTAGACACACGGCTGTAGCCGGATGCTGCTGCGCGACAGCATCACCAGGTGCTTCTGTAATCAGACGCAAATGAACTAGCCTCTGAATATGATGGTTTATTTGCACTCAACATATTTATTAAATTTCAAAAATGTTTAAATCTTTGTCGGACGGGCGAAAGGTCTACCAGCTGCGAAAATGCAGTCACTCACCTGCTGCCTGCCTTTCTCGCTGCCCGGCACGTGAGGCGCTCTTCGCCTTGCAGGTCCTTTGCCGCTCACATTTGCGTTGGGCGTTGGGCTGCCTATCTGTCCTTTCCAAGCTTCATTTTCTATATTTACGCCCTGAACCATGGCTTTTTCGCCGCCTACTTCGCCTCTGCCTCGTTCACAGATTCGCATTGATCGCAGTGAATATGATCGTCTTCGAGTGGTGGCATCGAAATACGGCAAGTGCCAATACGGAAGCGGAAGCTGGTAGATTCATCCTACTAACAGTTTGCAGAAAATCTCTGCCAGCATCTCATCCGAGGGGGAGTAGATACAGACACCATTGAGGTAGGGTTTTGATTAGATTTCTACCTGCCACGCCCTAAGCATGGATTAGATCCTTAGCAAGAACCATGGTTCCCAAGCTCAGGAAAACAATTCAGTCGATGGCCACGGCAGCCCTGATGATGGCCAAACAGATTTTTCACCCACCAGCACCGTCGTAAATTATCGTGGCAGATCATGCTCGGCGGGCGGTCCCCTTTGCCGCACCAAGAAACACGCGCGCGTTATACCAGAGAGCGATACCGAATCTGAAATCTTTTCGGAATCCATCCTATCGAATGACCAAAGTTCTTTGGATCCAGATGATTCGGCATCCGTTGTAGGTACTCGCCATTCGTACGAGCAGAACGCCAAAAGAACACTGCAGCTCAGCGAGTTACCCCCTCACATCTCGCGTGCCGACGTTGTTGCTGTTATTCGTGGCGGGCCAGTGGTGGACATTTACTTCAACTTTAAGGAGCAGCGAGCCGCAATATCATTCGTTCATGGTCATCATGCGCGAAAATACTACGAACATGCCCAAGAAGCCGGCGTGTACATCCGAGGATCCATCGTATGTGAAGCATGCTTTGTTTCCGTTTGGTACTTCAGCTTACACTGATTAGATCAAAGTTACATGGAGTGTCCGCCAGTTCATCCTTGCACCCTACGTGTCACAACAGTTGCGCGGGGGTGCATCCAGAAACCTTGTGATACGACACTACGATCGTAGAATCACGGCCGACTCTATTCGTACAGATCTCGAGCATATCCACAACCTGTCTGTCATCAATGTCCAATTCTCGGGACTGGATTGTTACATCAGCATCAACTCCATCACGGCTGCGAGCTTTGCCCGCACCTGCATGATGAGTCGCTAGTAGGTGTTTCCTTCCTTGACGCTGAGCAACCCTAACCACAGCTTTAGTCCGTACAGAGGATCCCGCATCGAGTGGGCTCCAGATGAATGCATGCAGTCTTTGGCTCAGCTTGAATCCAACAATTGTGCACGAACACCGATGGGCCAGACAAAAGCCAACATGAATCGATTCTCCCTGCTTGAGGTTGGTGAACAAAAGGAACTTTAAGCTGCAATTCCTCAGCATTCATTTGCGCATACAAGAACTTTCACAAGAGGCCCGCAGGTTGCTGAATCTAATACACTATCAATCCCCTGAAATAGAGAGTGTACAAATGTACCGTTGGTATGTCCTTCGTTATTATAAACCACTGTTGAGTTAATAATGGCGGGTAAAAAAATCTGCTCCTACATCTCAAACCCCCCATTTCACGATGTGTTTGTTATCAGATGGTATAATCCTGTTTCTGCCCAAAGCATCCTACCAATGTAACGCCTTAGAAGCGAGGCTTTGGCGCTATCTCTTACTCCCTCATGCATTAATAATAAGAAAGGAAGGATCAAGGGAATCAATAAGTGCCGTACAATGCAGAAATCCTTTCGCTGTCCCATTTTTAACAATTGGTTGAGTTTGTCGCAGAATAAAAATGACACCCGAGTTTGTAATTCCATTAAAAACAACAAAAAACATTGAAAAAATCAACCGGAAAGAAAGATTGCCGCAAAATGTCATTGACCATCTGCACCGTATACCGCTAGGTCGTTTTCGTGACAGATTGCAGATATCCAAGCAAGAAGCTTTCGTCGGCTGGTGAAATGGGCGTCTGGCTGCCACGACGCGAGGCGTTGCCCGAGCCCGGCTCGCCGGGCACGCTGGCGGAGGCGAGCGAGGCGATGCGAGAGCGGGAGTGGTCGCGCGGGGCGGGGTTCCCGTTGCCCATCTCGTGGATGGCGCCGGCGCCGCCGAGGGGCGACCGTGCCTGCAGCCGCGGCGCAGGAGCCTTGCCGGCGGCAGTGGCGACGGCTGGGCCACCGGCACCGCTGCCAAAGAGAGATAGTAGCTGGCGTTTTTGCTCGGCGCCGACGGGGGCAGGAGCGGAGGGCTGCGCCAGGGGCGAAGGCTGCTGAGGCTGGTGGCTTTGCGAGATGTACGGGGCGTAGGGCGAGGCGATGCTGCCGCCGGCGGCATGCGGTGGTGGTACCGCGGCGAGGTTGCTGCCCCGCTGTTGGGTCGGGCTAGGCTGCGAGGAGTGCTGGACGTGGCCATTGCTTGGACCGGCGGCTTGGGCTGGCTGGATGGACATGTTGCCCATGCTGAGCTCGACGGGCACGTCCGACGACGGCTTGCGCTGCGACGGCGACGACAGCTCGGGGATGAAGCCCAACGGCGAGGGCGGCTGCCCCTGCTGCGAGGAGGCCGGCGGCACGGGGGACTGCAGGCCCGTCGACTTCTTGAACATGCCGAGTAGGGCGCTCCGGTGCTGGTCAGCTACAAGAGGTGGGTTCCTCACGCCGACGGGCGGCTGAGGCTGCTGCTGGGGCTGCATGTGAGAGTTGAACTGAGCTTGGGGAGGCATCGCCTGGTTGGAGATAGGAACTGCCTGGTGAGGCCGCTGTTGCTGCGGCTGCTGCTGCTGCGCTGGGTACTGGGTGTACGGCGGCGGTGGCGGGAGATTTTGACCAGGCGCGCCAACAACAGACATGTTGAGCGTTTCAACTACTTGCAACTGTTGCCGAGGCTGCTGCTGAGGCAGTTGCTGCATAGGAGGCGGCATAGGAGGCGGCTGGGATCCTGAAGGCTCTCTTTTGAAAGCGTTGAGGAGGGCCATGGACTGTCCGGTGAGTTGCATGGGTGCTGGTCTTTGCTGCTGTGGAGGGGGAGCGTTCGGCTGAGGTGCTCCAGGCTGTTGCCAGGGATGAAATGCAGGCTGAGGCAAACCAGCGCTGCCTTTTGCAGCGGCTTCCTGGAACACGCTGCTGTTGAACATAGCACGTTGAACTTGGGGCGGGAGAGGCTGTGGGTGGACGAGAGGGATGGACTTTTGAGGCTGGTGGTGCGGGGCGCCGGGATGGGCATAAGGCGCAGGTTGGACTGGGTACTGCTGGTGCTGCTGGTGCTGCTGGTGCTGCTGGTGCTGCTGGTGCGGCTGAAAATGTTGTGGTACGTTCTCAGAACCATAGGGGAGAGGGAAATGTGGCGGCTGCTGTTGCATGTCCATGTGTAACGGCATGGCGTGCTGCTGGTTGGTATGGTGGTGGGGGTTCTGAGGTTGCGGAGGGTTGATGATGGTGAGGTCTTGCGGTGTATGGGGTACCCCTGTACTAGGCTGCACATGATATGAAGGCGCGGATGGCTCGTTTGACTGCAGTATCGATAGTAGAGCGCTGCCCTTGTCTTCTTGAGCCATGGCAGGCTGCAGGCCTTGCGTTGGTGGCTGCAGCTTGAGCAGACGCTGCAGCTCTTTCGTGGCACCGTCCAGGCTAGCGATGGAGGCGACCTGCTGCAGATGGTTGGCACCCTGATCCGTCGCATACGTCTCGTCCTCGGTGTGGCCCTCGTCTACGGACAGTTGGGCATGACCTGCATGGTAGCGCAAGCTGCCCACACGCTTCTCCTCTTGCCGCTTCTGCGACGTCACCCATTTCTTGAGCGGCACGAGGAACGGCGCTACCATGTAAAACTTGTTTGCGCCGACGACGGACTCGTCTTGGTTTTGCGCATTCTTCTTTCGGAACGTCGGGAGCTCGGACAGCTTGTACCACTGAATCTTGCTGATTTCTTTGCGTGTCTGCGGCTGGAAGTTGTAGTCCATGGGGACGTCGCGGAAGACATAGAGCCGCAGCTGCTGCTCGCGCATGGTAATTTCGATGTATTTCGGCTTGCTGGTGGTCGGTACGAGGCCGTGGGCGCGCAGGTCCATGCCGGTTTCTTCGTACACCTCGCGTACGGCACAGTCGAGGTCATCCTCGTCCTTATTAATCTTGCCGCGGGGAAAGCTCCAGTTGGCGCCCTTTTTCCACCCCTTGACAAGAACAACTGAATCCATGTCATGGTTGAGCAGGATGGCACCACGGACTGGGATTCGCGTCTTGTAGTCAAGGAAAGACCCAAACGCGGCGAGTGAGGTCTCGACGGAAAAGGGCGCCAAGAGCGGGCAGTGCTGAAATATGCGCAGACAGAACGTACGAAGAGTCATGGATGGGAGGGAGGGGTCGAGAGGTCGAATAAAGTCTTCGTAGAACCATTGGGCTTCTTCAACTTGGAAGCATATCCGTTCGACGGTCGACAGGTCTTCTTCCGGAAGATTGATGATGAACCTCACGCAGAGGTCATCAAGCCCTGAAAAGTGAGAATGTTAGACATAATGAGCAGTACAAAGCTGGTAACGAGTTTGCTCACAATCTTCCAGCTGCATCTGGGGCCCGGCCATCGTTGGGTATGGTAGTTGGAGATGAGGCATGTCGTTGGACTGTGAGCTTTGGGCTAAACGGGTACGTCAATTGTGGCTGTGCAGCCGTGCGTGGAGAAGATAGCTTGGTCTGGTCGTTGGGCGACTGTGCATCAGCCACATACGTAAAATACGCTGCCTAACTGTGGCGGTGCGGGCTGCCTTGCTTGCCTGGTCAATTTGATTCGTGAAATGCAAACGTGGCAAATACAAAGACACTTATTATTATTAGAACATGGCTCAACAAAGGCATATATATAACCTGTAGTACAGTCTTTTTAAGGCATTGTGCGACGTGGGAGCCGTGCTTCTCATGGGCGACCGCCGTAATACGAGGCCACACGGCACACAGCTGAGACATTTTGTTCTGTCAAGGGCAGACAAGATGACTGCATCAATCAATCGTCAAACCTTGAAAGACTGGAAAGAAGAAATTCTAGTAATTTCTGGTCTTTTTTTGTTAATACTTGGCTCTAGAAAATCAGCGCGATCTTTAGTATGACTCTGTGAAGCCTTCATGGATAAGCCGCTGTTGACCATGAAGAAAACTGGATGCCCTCATCCGTGAGTTGTACGAAGTACAAATACCTCGATTAGTTACATATTTCCGCCCAATAAACCTTCCCCCTCGTCATCTATCCTGGTCTTTCTCCCAGCCACATATTTATTTAGTCAGCTTACTAACCCCCTACATCACCCTCTTTCTGCTTCGATACTTCATTCGAAATTTCGATATCACCACAGATTATTGATGATCTGCCCTGAAAGAAACCTAAAACAAAGCAGGTGCATAGGCGAATACTGCCCCATTGAATGCTGGAGCTCACAAGCCCCAATCCCGCACAGTCCTGTCAATATGATCCTGCTGCCCTCATGCTTCCTGGCTACGATGCCTTTATTTTGAGGAGCATTGTTACACAACCGCATCTACTTGTGCGAGTATCACGACGCTTTTGCAAATAGATTGAAAAACGAAAAGAAAGCATAACGGTGAGTATCTTGGCTCACCCTGCAACTACAATTTCCACTGTGGCAATCTTCTCATCTATACTTTGAACCAATCCTCTGAGCTAATAACTTCATCCTTTCAACAATAATCCAAATCGTAAATTCATATTACGCAAAATAAGCCAAATCAACAAGATATTATAGCTAGCTACTGCATCTATCCATCATTTATCAGTCAATGGCCCCATCTTCATCTTTTCACTTCACCTACTCTGGTACCAACGTTGCCCAATTGTGACCCCGAGATACTTGCCGAGGGTACAAATTGTGCCTCGTCATGTAGTAATACTATTAAGCTTTCTTGGTAGGAACTGCGGGGACGGTCTGATTAACAATCACATGTTCAGGATCCGAGCCCCAAGGGTCCGGGATGGTCTGGGGAGGGTTTGTGGCGTGCAGCGGATGCGCGCAGAAGGGGTCTGGAACAGCTGGTGGCTTCTGGTTTTGGTGCTTCTTTGGGTGACCGGTGGAAGGGAACTGTTGGAAGGTGTTGGGCCATTAATCGGGCCGGAATGTGCAGCGAGGAGTTGGGGATGGGAGTTGGAGTTGGTTTGACTGTGGTGGATGGAAATTGCTCAAAGACAGAAGGAAAGGAAGCGGCCGTGCCGCGAGTGTGGTGACTTTTGATCGAAGTAGTATGGTGCTTACTGAAAGTGACCTGTCCCTTGCTGGATGTGGTCTTGCTCTTGCTGGTCTTGCTGGTGGTGGTTGGGCTTTGGGTAGTAGTGGTCTCGCCCTTGGTGGTCGTAGTCTCGACCTTGGTGGTGGTAGTTTCACCCTTGGTGGTGGTGGACTCGTCCTCGGCGCTGATGGCCTCGGCCTTGGCGGTTGTGGTGGTTTTTGCCTTAGTGGTGGTGGTAGCCGGGCCCTTGGTGGTGGTAGTTTCACCCTGGGTGGCGGTAGACTCGTCCTTGGTGGTTGTGGTCTTGCCATTGGAGGTGGTAGTCTCGCCCTTGATGGTGGTGGTCTGGGCCTCGGTGGTGGTGGTCTTTCTTAAAACGACAACCAGATTCTCGTTGATTTTCGTTACAAAGCCAGACTCTGACGCGGGCCAGGTAAGGAAACCGACCGGGGAAGCTTCAGGACTTCCCTTCCGAGTGGTAGAGGAAGAGGTGGCAGCACTCGATTTGGAAGAGGAGGTGGCAACACTCGACTCAGTAGTGATCTTGGTAAGCTTGACCCGACCCGTTTTGGCCGTCTTAGTCTCAGCAGGCTCGGAGAGAGTGCTCTCCGAGGAGATAGCATGGGTAGTGACTGGGGTTGGCTCGTGCTCAGTGATAGTTTTGGCCGAGGAAGCGGCAGTGGCATTTCTGAGACCAGACGTAGCAGCAACATCGGTGACGTCCGCAACAGCGCTGGTCGTGGTCGAGCGCTTAGCATTAGCGACGACCGCGAGGAGGGCAATGGGAATGGCGGCTTTCATTTTGAAGTGGAATTTGTTTCTGGAAATAGTGTTAGAATGACTATGAGTGTCGTAGGCTTTAAAGAAGCGGTGCTAGTAATACCGACTGAGGTTGGAGTGTGTCGTTGCGTTTGGAAGGCACTCAGTTAAGTGATGGGAGATGTAGCTTCAAAGAAAGAAGAAATGACAAAGCGGAAGTAAGAGGAGGAAGCCACCGTAATTTATAGGTAGATAATTAGACACAAAACGCTGATGATCGATTTAGAGTTTGAAGCTCGTGATAGATCGAGTATATGCTTTGGCCGCGACCAACAAGCTTCCGCCTTCCCCCACCAACCATTGATCCCACGACCAACACGTTTCCAGTTTCCCAGCCACCTACAATTAGCACAACGAGTCTCTGGGGTTAGAAAAGCCGTTAGGCTTTGCATTGATGTCATAAAAAATTTAATGAGCGCTTTTTTTGCGACAGGTTTGCCACCATGTTACTGAAAGTATAGGTGGACTGGCTTGACATTCGACTCAACTAACCACTCTTGCACTTTCACCGACAAGATAGCTTGGAGTACATCAGACGAGCTTTTCCATTTTCTCAGACTAAGAAAACTAAATTCACTAAGCCCACAGTCCCCCGCAGCACAATCTCATGTCGAAAGAAAAAGACCCCCACGTGCGCATGCACTTCCCATGTCCACGATCTCCCAACATCGACAAAGCTGCAAAAAGGAAGGGTCTGGCCGGGGATTGAACCCGGGACCTCTCGCAAGCTGCTTTAAACAAACTCAGGGTGAGCCCTAAGCGAGAATCATACCCTGAGAAGTTATGTTAGCCAATGACTCATTGAGTCGTTGGTATTGTGACTGCTTCACATCGAACCAGGCCACTCGCTGCTTGTGCGGCTTCGAATGTTGGGTCGATTGAACCATCAGATGGAGTGCTACTTACACTAGACCACCAGACCAAGGAACCTTGAGCTCATGTGAGCTCATTAGGTGCTGATGGCGGCCGGGTTCTTATTAGCCCTTATGAACTGCTGGGACAAAGCCCCGTTAGGTTGCGGGACTGCATGAGTTGTGCCCTGGCTCGCCCCGCTGGTAGTGGATACGAAATCGAGACTTTACGAAGTATTTGGCAAGCGGACTGGCACTGTTGTGCGATCGTTCTGTAATTAGTTGGAAATTCAATTCTGATGTGCTCGTTGTGGTTGTGTTAGTGTTGCCGGCTCTGCTGTGTGGGGGGAAGAGCGTCCGGCCAACAGCCTTCGAAGAAACAGGAGTAAGTGGTTTGCAAGCTCGAAAATTAGATCCTTTTATTATATGTACAGCAAGATTATACGCTATATCCAATATTTAATGTTCATCAAGTGTGTCATGTGTGCCATGGCCTGTGCTGCTTTCCAGGCGAATGCACTTGTTGTGAGACGAGACGAGGCTTCAGCAGGTCCCGTGCTGATATTGCGCTACCCTCATGGCGCGCGAATGGTACCATGCCCATCGGCCATTAGTGGCCCCGGGTGCATAGAAAAAACAGTTGACATCATAGATTCAGATATTAAAAGGCAGGTATCACAGGAGCAAGTGACGCTCCAGGATAGCCGGCCTACATCTGGACTCTCAGGGGGTATAGAGATGTCGGCAATCGTTACTCTGCTCCAACTTGTCGCAGTAGCTGTCGATCCACGTTGTATAACGCTTATATTCTTGGGGTATACTCGATGTCGCGTTTCTTGCCCACTTGATTATGACGTGTTTTCGCCGAGGGGATTTGATGGGCATATCTGGGGACAGACATATCGCGGCGATGACATAGTCGACAAGGAACATGTGTATCAACAGCAGCCTGGAGCCGAAATTTTCGGGGTTGATAAGCTCCAAGAACTCTTCATTGCTGAATGTAGCGGGGACTGTGAAGAGGTGCGAAAAAGTCATCCACGCTGACTTGTTAGCCTTGGTAGAATGGTAGCCGTTTGTATGACTTACCTTGTAAAGATGACCGCTGCATAGCGGGATGTAGTTGCGACAGCGCGCCGTAGTATTTGTGCTCGTAAGGGGCCCGTAGTAAAGGCTCCAGCATGCGCAGAGACAGCTCAAACTCGTTCATATCCGTCATATCATCACGCTGGTCTTCTCGGACGACCTCGGCAGACGAGTGGTTGTGCCCGTCCGGGGTAAAGCCAGGAAAAACAGACTTGGACATGTCACCGATGATGACGAGAACGATGAGATGTCCGCCACGAATAATGGTTAGGTAATCGGCAAGGCCATCATCGATAAGCGAGGCTTGTGTAATGAGACAAAAAAGCGCGGCAAGGATTGCGTCGAGGGTCTGCTGGTCCGAGGGCGGGTTACTGAGCTGCTCGTTTACCTGTTTAATTGCCACGAGTCGGTGTTGCAGCGCTTGCGAAGTAAAGTCGGCGTTTGTGTGACTTGTAAGATGAGAAGCGCCCAGACCAAGGACAGCATGCGCGAGGAAATCATACTGTTATTGGTTAGTGCTTGGCTCACGACGAGACGGTGTTGTACTTTGACGCACCTCGTGAGACATGGCTGCGCAGTCCATCCACCCCTTGTCAGCCTGGATTGGGAGAGGGGGAATGGCGGCGGTTATGAATTGGTGATAGAAACGCAGGTCTTCCATGGAGAGCATGGATGGGTTGGAGCGTATAGCACTTGCGGCTGGCGTGGGCGTTGGGGGATAGGAGCAGTCGAGGGCGAGGCGACGGCAGGGAGAGCACTGTGGCCGCAGCTCGTTGCACTTGACACGGCGTCTCTTGCAGTTGAAGCACCCCATTCGCGACTTGAAGTGACCTCGTCGGCTAAGTGGCTGGCGACTGCTTCGTGAGGAGGAGGTCGTGGCGACGGATGTGTCGCTCGATCTGGCGGCGGTATCGCTGCGCTCCGGGGAGGCCGACGCATTGCTGGACGAGGAGGAGGAGGAAGAAGAGGAAGGGGAGAAATGGGTATCAGGCGACATTGTGAATATTTGTTGGAATCGAAGGGGCGAGGGGAGGTTCAGAGGAGAGCGAGCTGGGAGGCGAACATGGGATTGGGGTAGCCCCGCGGCGGCGTTTGCGGGGGACGACGAATTGGTGATGCCGGCGCCTGGTGGTGGCCCTCCGTCATGGAGAGGACAGGTCGAGGCGGCGGCTTTGCAGTGTCGAGGATGATGGGCGAGGATGGAGAGTCTCGTAGCGCAGCGCGAGGCGGTTTTGTGTCGGTCGCAGTTTGAAGTGACCAAGTGCAAGGACGTCGGTCGCAGGATGGATGGATGGATGAGAAACCCGTTGTTAGCTCAGCACGGTAGTTACCAGCGTTACTTTTAGAGGTAGGCGTGACCCATGACCAGCGGCATGGCTGAGGCGCGCCACAGGGCTAGGATTGTTGAGCGCAAATTGAACAACGATTTCATGAACGATGCAGGTGCATGCAGGTGACGGGATGATGGGACGATGATGCGGCCGGTTGGATTCTACGCAGGCTATTTTTCACCCCGGGCATGATTTCGCCCGAGCGGCCCGTTTCCGGTTTCCGGAGCGCACAAATTGTCTGACAGCTGTGACAGGCGTTGCTACTATGTACCAGTAGAGCGCAGCCCGAGCGCACATGAAAAGCCGCTGTAAATAGCCTGGAAAACGAGGAGAAAGCCCTACACCGGCGGTGAATATTGGGGCGTGTCCACAGATCCAACGGTCGCTGGGCCAGCACCACGGTACTACGGGTCTCGCTCATCAGGGTCCCTGCGAGAACTGCGAAAGAGCCATCAGTCGTGGGCAGGTTGGCTGCCTACATAGTTAGTTATGCAAAGGTAAGATGTGCTTTGATGACACGGGCTGACCGACACAACTGACTGAATAAATATTTCCAAAATAGATAAATAAATAAATAGCGACCACTTCAATGCAATGCACCTGTGAGCAATCAGTAGGTACCATGTGTTGTCGCCTTGTTGATGGCTCTCCAATGCGGTCTTCTGAGCTGGCCGGAACACATCTGCCGGCGCGATTTCATTAGCTGGAGTCGACTATTGGTGGATATAATGCAAGGGGAAGATCAATAGGTAGAAACCAAACAGCCCTGGAACAGCGTCTTATTAGTACACTGGCAACTACACTGCTCCTAGACTTACCAAGGCGGAGAGTGGCTTGCGCTCGGCCTAAGACGCGTAGCTACTGGCATTCCCTCCTTCTTAATTCAGAAGCTCAAATCGACCTTGTGAAAAGAGATAGATGACAGTGTTCGTAGTCCTCTGTAACTTGGATAACTCGGCCAAGCCATACTAAATTCGTAGCATGTCATTTTCGCCCCTGATTGCGCCCTCTGTGGCGTCAACGGCCACTAATAAGTACAAAGCGCACAAGAGGGTAACTCCTAGACCCCCCGCGATTCGACACCACCTGCATCACAAAACGCCACCGGGAGTAGCGACGCTGATTGTTGAGCCTATCATCACCCAATTTTCTTACAAAATGCAGATAAACACAATGCCACCGTCACTCGCCGACATCAGCACGGCAGCCGAGGACATTGGCGCCGACTTTTGGCCCGTCAATCAACGGATCCACGACAACCCGGAACTTGCCTGGCACGAATTCATCGCTCACGATGCCCTCACAGCTTTCATGGAGGCACAGTCAGGATGGAAAGTCAAGAGATCTGTATATGGCTTGGAGACGGCATGGATTGCCGAGTTCGATAGTGGCGGCCCCGGCCCGGTTGTCTCCTTCAATGCTGAATATGGTGCGCGTTAAACTAACTAGCGAATCAACCAAGAGACAATCAGCTCATTATGAATGAATAGATAGCCTGCCAGGAATCGGACACGCGTGTGGTCACAATCTGATTGCAACGGCGGCGGTTGTCGGCGCGAGTGCCGCTGCTCGGGTCATGGCGGCCAAGACACTTCCTGGCAAAATCGTTCTCTACGGAACACCCGCCGAGGAGAGTACGTAACCTCCGTTGCCGAACTCCGCCCCGTCTATCAGCATTGACAAAATCAGATGGTGGTGGCAAGATCAAGCTCCTCGAAGCCGGCGCCTACAGAGACTACAACGTTGACATTAGTCTCACCTCGCATCCCAACATACAGTCAACCTCGGCACGCATGGGCACGACCGCCATCTCCACCTTCAAGGTCGAGTATTTCGGCGTTGCCGCCCATGCGGCCGCGAACCCATGGCTTGGCGTCAACGCACTGGATGCCCTGGTGCAGGGCTACAACAACTTCTCAATGCTGCGCCAGCAGACCGTTCCCGGCGAGATCATCCAAGGCTACATCACCCACGGCGGCGACGCTACCAACATTATCCACAAGTACGCCGCGGGCCAGTTCACGGTCCGTGCCGACTCGGCGCAGCGTCTCGAGGTTCTGCGAGAGCAGGTCACTCGCTGCTTCAAGGCCGGCGCGCTTGCGACCGGCGCCAAGCTGACCATGACCAACCTCGGCGCCTACAAGAATCACATCTCCAACGGTCCCATGGCGGACGTGTTTACGCGCTACTATAACGAGCTAGGCAAGGATCACACGGTTGCCATTGATGCGGATAAGGATGCCGTCAATGGCAAGACGCAGGCTAGCACCGACCAGGGCGACGTATCCCATGCCATGCCTTCAATCAGCCCCATGTATGAGATTGAAGCCGGTCCAGGAGGCCAAGGCCCCCACAATCCGGGCTTCGCAAAGTCGGCGGGCACCAAAGCATCATATGCCCGCGCCTTGCGTGTTGCCAAGGGTCTCGCTGGCGTAGCTGTGGAGGCGCTGCGCGACCAGCGCTTCCTGGCCAATATCAAGAGCAGCTGGGAACGGGACATAAAGGACAGCTGAACAACAGAATTAGAAGGGTGAAACAGAGCCGGCCATAGAAAAGGCCCAATTGCTTGTGTCGGGGGCCTACTGATGTTTACAAATCAAATGCTCGGACAACTTCCTTCTTCGTCTACTAATTTATCCACCCCCGGCTTGTGAGTGGCTGCTGGTTGCGGAGATGCTTGAAAGTCCGCTTGATCCCTTGGAATCTTGGTAGCGATTGCCTAAAACTTCACAAATGCTGTTGGCGACGGATAAATAGAGCCAAATGCTGCGATTCTCTTGTTACATGAAACGCTGGTAGTTTTTGCGTCAATAGTGTGCGCTTCCGCATCGCACCGCACCTACCGGCCGACTTACATACACACATCGACCAACCGCCTACAACTGGCCGCGCATGTCCCAAAACGGACCAGTCGGCAACGGCCCCTCGGCCGCCGAGGCTGCCGTCCACAGAAACGACGACGAGGCATCCCGACAACGAAGCACCGCGCCGCACTACAACTCGTTCCCCAACTACCGCGCGATCCAACATGAAACGCCCAATGACCACGAGACCAGCACCCAGAAGCAGGCAGCCGCTGCTGCCGGAAGCGGCGGGAAGCCCTCGGCCCGGGTCCTCGGGCCCGACCTGCTGCGCGGCCTGCTTATGATGTTCATGGCCATGGACCATCTCGGCATCGCGCTGCGGCCGTGGGAGCACGGTCTGGGCCGGCACGCGGAGAAGGACGGCGTGCCCGTCAAGGAGTGGAACCGCCCGGCCGGCTACCTCGTGCGCTCGCTCACCCACCTCTGCGCGCCGGGCTTCACGCTGCTCCTCGGCACCGGCGTCGTTTACCTGGGCCATTCGCGCCGGCGACAACAGGGCTGGAGTGCGTTCCGGCTGCTGCGCTACTTTGCGCTGCGCGCGGTCGCGCTCACCGTCGTCATGATCGTCCACAGCCTCGTCATGACGGCCGGTCAGCTGTGGTTCCTCAACATCGTGCTCTTCGCGCTCGCCGCGGACTACTTCCTCGCCGGTGCCCTCTGGCTCGCCGCCGACGAGACGGAGCGCTGGCTCGCTAGACGCCTGGCGAGAGCGCTGGTGGACAACAAAGACGACGACGACACTGCGTGCGCGCGCGACAATGACATGGACGCCGAACAACCACTTCTACACGCCGCCGAGGGGCGACCGCCGACAAGAAGCAGCACCAGCACCAGCACGGAAGCAAAGGCGGCAAGTATATCATGGCACGTACACAACGGGCTCCTGGTTGTCCTCAGCATAGTGACCATTTTTTGGAACATCTGGCTGTCCGAGAACTACGGCGAATGCGCCGCCACTTCATCGTCCGCCGCCGCCATGTCGGAAGGCGTTGCCGTGACTGCGCCGGCCGGCCGCACCCCGGGCTGGGACGACCGAAAGATGGACGAGTACTGGTGGCTGCGCCTCTGGTTCTACGAGACCAACGCACCCGGCGTGCTGTCCGCCTTCCCGCCGCTGGCGTGGCTGTCCTTTGCCATCGTCGGCGTCCTGTACGCGCGGGTCATTATCAGCTCCGAGCGCCCCCGCCGCGGTGCCGCCGGCCCCGCGCGCATCTTGATGCTGCACTTGGCCGCCGGCCTCGTCCTCGCCGTCGCATTCGTGCTCACGCGCCTGCTGCACGTCGGGAACCTCTCCGAGCACTGCCTGCAGACTCCCGAGAACCGGCAGCCCCCGCGCGTCGGCGGCAGCAGCAACCAGTACCTCGCGTCGCCCGCGGCTTTCTTCTACACGGTCAAGTACCCGCCCGACGTCGCCTTCTGGGCGCTGACGCTGGCCGCCAACTTCTTCCTCCTCGCCGGCCTCTGGCGCGTCCCGGCTGCGTTTGCCCGAAAGTGGCTCGCCATCGTCCTCGACTTTGGCACCGCGTCGCTCTTCTTCTACGTCGTGCACATGCCCGTGGTGTTCGTCACGGGCTGGGCGGCGTGCGTCCTTTTCGGCCACGAGCCCGGCCCGGGGGCGCCGCCGTCGCCTGGGGGCGGCCTCGTGTCGGATAAAGTGATTGACAGCGTTTTCGGCTTCTTCGCCGTGTGGGCGCTCTGCCTGCTGATCATGTGGCCCCTGTGCCGATGGTACGGGCTGTTCAAATTTGGAAAGCCGTCGGATTCGCTGTGGCGGATACTGTAAGCCGCAATGTTAGACGTAGAGATAAAGTGACACAAAAGCTTACATTCCGTTGTCGTGGCTAAAGCCATAAGCATTGTTCATTCTGAATGTGGGATTCCGCCACTATTATTGGAATACGACTTGTCAATATACATAATCCATCAGTTTTTCACATCCAAATATTATCGCCAATTCAAATAGCCGATTATGCCTTCAGCGCTTTATCGGCTGGTGATGTCCGTGGAACCCAAACCCGATCGGAAAGTCTGCCTCTGCCCTTCCAAGCTCCTCCAACGACCTTGCGTCCAGGCACAGCAGATACGATGTCTTGGACACCCCGTCCAGTACCACGCTCAGCAGCACTCCGTCATCTTCCTCCGTCGCTCCCGGCCGCTCTAAAAATATGGGCTCGCCGGGGGTGTGGCCCTTGTCGCCGCGCCAGAGGAGGGCTTCGCGCGTCTGCACGTCCGTCTTGACGAGACAGTCCATGAAAGAGCTGATACCGCGACTCGAAACGGCGTACACGTAGCGGTGAGGCTTGTGCGCCATATGCGGGTTGATTATGGGTAGGTCGCCTGCGTGCGGGGCCGGGATTGAGACCACCTCTTCACCAGCAGCAGTCTCGGCTTCTTGCTTGGTCTGTGGTGTATCATGATGTGGTAGGCGGAAGCGGTACCGAACAAGACGGGCGTGCCCTTTCTTGTAACGCTCATCTGTGAAGAAAAATTTCTTGGCTGCGTCGTCTCGATCTGTGACAACGTCGTAGTACAAACTCTTGAGGATGTCTGTGTTGTCGTAGCGAACGTACTCGAGCGAGATATCAGTACGCCTTTCATTGTTTTCATCTTGAATCTCCTCTTCAAAAGCATTGACGGAATGGAAGAAGAAGGATGCCGGCGTAGAAAAGCGGGCAACGACGCCACGGTCACCTCTGCGATCGACGACTAACCAGCGGCACTGATTATTCTCGTCAAACGGCTTTATGGAGCTAAGAACACTCTGTTCCCATAGAATCTTGAGACCGTTCCATGCAAGATGGGTAGTTGGGATGCACAGCACCATGTAGCTGGGCGTCAGAAAGAAGCTGTGAATGTAGGCTGGGGCCAGTCCGGGCTCCGATACCGTAGCAAAGACATCTGTTTTGCCTGTGGCGGCACTGACGCGAAAAAAGCGGTATGTCGCAAAGCGGCCAAATTCGAGATTGTAGTTGTACAGGTCGCCGTTTTCGGGATCCCGCTGTGCGTGTGCGCATGAGAGCGGGCCTTTGAGGTCTGGGTGCAAACTCGACTGATCCGTATAGCCCAGTGGCTCCAGAGTTTGCGGATCGATCTTCTGCAAGCCAGCTGTGTCTGTGGTAATGTAGAGATTATCAAGATCAGGGCGATGACCAGTCTCTTTTGCTGGCTTGCGTTCCTTGTCGATGCTGGGAAAGTTGGGCACCAGCACGACGTTGTTGTTGTATTGATCACGGGGAGCAAAGACGCCCATTGCCTTTGAGAAAATTCCCATGCAAGGATCAGCGCGCTGGCCAAATGAGGGAGAGCCTCGTTTTCCCCTTTTTTTGATGTGTTGCTCCAGTCTCTCGGATTGTCGCCGAGAAGAATACATGACTGATGTCTGGCCGCCTGGTGCGGCGGGCGGGACTATGTCAAACTTGTGGCTGTGAGCCAGGCCATCAAACCAGTGACTAATGTTGTAAGTGCCATTAGAATCGGTCTCAACGGAACTCTGGCCGGGCCCGGTGCGGTAAAGAGAGCCGGCGGCCCATTCAGGAATCGAGCCCTGAACTTTCAGCGCAATGGGACCACGATGTTCTTCGAGGCCTTCAAACTAGAAAAGAAGGTGAGCATAAGAAACAACGAGACGAGTGCATACTTACACCAGCTTCATTGGGCCATTCTTTCCAACCCTCTTGCAGCCTGTTGTTGTGAAAATCGGCCACGTCTTCACCTTCGTCGGTGGCTCGCCGCAATATAATACCTGGTGCGTTGAGTGCCATGCTGAAGCTTGTACCTTGAACTTGAGATGGCATCAAGTGGCAGAACGTTGCGTAAACAAGATCGCAATCTGAAAGAAAGATGATGTTCAGGTGATAAGCGGATGATAAGCGATGCCGAGGTAGAAGGTTAAATAGGCCGTGCGGGGAAGCACAAAGGCCAATGTATGACACAAAGGAGGCTAGAAAGTGCTTCTATAAAAGGCCGACGGGAGCCTTTACACGAGCATATACAGAAATAGTATCGTGTGACACCAATTGGACAAAGGGCGGGTTCCGTGGCATCCAAGGATGGAAGGTTGGGCACCGATATGTTGACAGCGATGACCAGAAGGGCAGCGGTAGTAGGTGCGGTGAGTGTGTTAGCAAAAGGATTGACAGCTGATATGTGTAGCCAATAATGTGGTGGTATGGAAATAGAATGCCGAGACGTGTACGGCGGGTAATACGATAGGGATGCCGCTGCAAGGGTTTTGGCGAGATGATTAGGGCGTACAAGGCTGGAAAGGCGAACCAGCCGGATGAAAGGATACAAATGGATATTATCATATACATATATTGGCGTGAGAGAGCACAGTCGGACGGCTGACAGGGATGTCGAAATTGGGAAGTGAACCAACGGCTGTGAGGTTGACGGTGCGTTCTGTCTTGTCTCGAGACAGGTACTGGTTGGCAGCTGTTTGAGTGTTGGCGATCAGCGAGAAACGGCGGGCCAGCGTAAACGAAAGGTCAGCATAAGCTTTGATAAGCCTCGGACGGGAGGCTAAAGGCGGAATGTTCAATGCTACTAAAATCGGGGGGAAAGGGGGGTTAGCAGAAGCCTGTTTAATACAAGGGGGAATTGTTGTCATATGGTGATGCGGCTTGCGTCTGTACCTTGGTAGTGAGGTGGTGGTTGCTTCCACCATGTTGCATGACAGGTCGCGACACACCATCGACAGAGATGTGCACCTATAATGCGTCGCCCCTTGGCACTTATATATTCGCAATTGACGGCTGTGTGTCGGACAGGTAGCTGAAGGGGCGATAGCACAAAGAAAGTTTGGTGCGTTGGTGGGAGCCGAAGAGCTATGTAGGTCTTCCGTGCCGTCCGGATCGTATTCGCGCGGGAAGCCCGATGATGCGAATCGCGATGTGAATTTTCGGGAACAGAACACGGAGATGAATAAGAGACGAGAAGGATTTGCATGTTTATATTAGCCTTGAATATTGCTTCGTCGGCCCTCATTTTAGCACGGGAGACGACATCTTGGCTTATGAGGCCATGCACGACGCGCGGACGCTAATTGGAGGGCAGATACTGGCGCTGTGACGGCCTCGCTAAACCTCGCCATAAACGATCAAGCGTGCTCTGGCTTCAACGCCACTAGGCATTGACACACCGGCGGGTTGCAGCTACACCTACTCTGCATGCATCCCGCCGCGCGCGATGGAATCCTCTGGCAGATATCGTACTCTCGCATTTGCCTTGACCGGTCGCCGTCTGCATTGCAACTGGCTGGCCCCTGGACCTGGACTGCATCGGGTCATGGCAGTGACACGGCAGAGGTGTTGTCCATTGCACAAGCCTGGCAGCAGTTTCAGCTGTGCAGAAACGCGTGATTCTTCCAAGGCGGTCGGCGCCTTTCTGCAAAGTCCCTGACGTCGGAGGGTGTGGAGCTCTGTCATCATCTAGGCTAAAGAACAGGTCATTGCGAGCCGCTTCACCGGCTGTACTCTGACGTCGCGTCTTGTGTAGGTATGTGTCTGCCCTTGTTGTTTTCAATTGGGGAACACCTTGGAATCGGCCAGGAAATCGTCCACTGCCCTCTTCCTGGATGCCCGAAGCTCGTCCAAGTTGACTATGTTGCGCGAACGAGAACTAGCGCTGGCATCTCGAAAGCCGTCGACGTGCTCAGCGACGCGATCCAGCAGACCGCGCATCTTTTCCAACTCCTTTTCCAGTGCTCTGTTATTGGCAACCAAGTTTTCTTGTACGCCCTTGCCCGACTCTGACGTACGGAGTGGTTCAATAGCGACCTGTAGCCGGCGAAGCTTTTCCATGCGGAGCTGAACCTGTCGCCGCTCCTTGCTGAGTTCGACAAGCCGGGAGACGGACCGTGAGTAAGTTTGCGCATCCTCAGGTTTGGCTACCGCTTCCTCTTCCGATGGCCAAGAAATTGGCAGTGATTCAATAGCATCATCGTTGGCTTGCGAGCACGGAGAAGAAAGTTAGCGCAGAGCAATCGAGGTGGGGTTTGCGTGAGACTCACTCAGGTCTACCTCTTTTCCAACAGCTCCATCGGCGTCATCCGTATCGCCTTCTCGACGATCTATCTGTCCGATGTAGATGGCACTGATCCGCTCCGCTAGATTTCGACTGGCCTGGGGTGCATAGGCCCGCTGGCAATGCTCCTCTATAATGCGGTTGAACTGGAAGACGGCATCGTCGACTAGCCGTCGTCTTACGGGCTTGTTAGACGCGTCGTTTGTCGCATGCCAAGCGCGTGACGGCGCAACAGGCTGCGAAAGCAGAGTGGTCTGCGCTGCAAGAAAAGCCTGTTTTCTTGTAGGGATAGTGGGCGCCGAGGTGTCCATGGCGATGCAGCGACAATCTGGATTGTCGTGTTGAGTTGAGTTTAGTCGCGTGTTTGAGGGTGTTTGCGGCCCTGCAAGGTGGGGGCACGTGTACCTGTAGCCTGGTACCTGGTAAACCCAATAGGGAGGTGAAGATACCCTTTACCACCTGCACCACCTTTCACTCGTTCGCCATGCAGCCAAAACGGCCAATAAAAACGGCAAAATCAGTCTTTCAAATAATCGAGGCCTTTTGTTGATTATGCCCCCCTTTTTTTTTTTTTTTTTTTTTTTTTTTTGGAGCTACGAGGCATTATGGGTTTTGACCAAACTTGGTGGCCATCCAAATGACGAACCGCTTTCTGTGAGTACTAGGCTCGCCACGACACGAATTGAAGTAGAGCAAGTGTTTGCAACGTTCGTCGTTTTGCTGATAAGGGTATTACATTGAGTCTGGGCTAATAGTATGTAGGAGTCCTGTACACCACCGGATGGTTATAGGCAGCGCCTCATGCAGCTCGGGACGCAGTTTCGAAGAGCTGCGCGCCAAGCAGCGTTGTGGGCGTGTGCCGGGTAAAGCAGATAACTGCCCAAGCTGCAAAAGGTGTTCAGGTTCGCGGAGCTAGCTGCCCTTGCAGCCCATTCGTACAAAATACCCGGCTACCTAGATTATGTATACATCGACTCCAGTGACTGTCGTCTAGCTCTCTTTGCGCGGTTGTCTTACCATCCCGCAGTTCCCGCAGCACTCATGATGTACTGTTGTATCGATGCAAGTCATTGATATGAAGTTCAACATCGATTTCCCATCATTCCTGGGACGACTAAGGGTTGTCTAATGGAGATATACCACAGAAACTGACCAAGACTAGGCGATCCTGCATGAAACAGCTGACTCTTGTATTCTCCTGCCCTTACTTGGCATCCAGTTTCGGGAGCCGTATGGCGACAGAGTGTCGGTGACCTGCAACCTTACCTTGGCGGCTAAGCCGGCGCAAGGTTCACTCGGTGTACACACCGGCCGGCACAAAGAGAAGAATCTAGACCGCAGAAGGCAACCTGGTGACGATTATCCGCGGCACCCGACGCCCGCCCAGCTTTACGAAAGGATCACTGCGGGCACGACTTTTCTTTCGTGGCTCATCTATTTGGTCATATTGTCGGAGCCACCGTCATCACACTAAAGAAACGTCCAGTTGCTCATTTTGCTTCACGGGCTAATTGGTCTTGGGAGATGGAAGCCTGTCTGCGCCGCAGCAAAGTTGCCGCCGCCAACAGTACAGCCGCTGCGGCTTACGAGACGCCAAGGTTCAACGAGGACAAATTGCGCGAGCTGAGAGAGCCTTTGCCCCTGAAAATCTGATGCAATGTCTCACAGAGAGGGTTTTGGGGAAAGACGTCTGAAGGCAGGCAGGCAAAGAGAAGCATGCATTCGCATCAGATCCGAGAAGGCCGCCACATATCCGCAGGCGCACTGGAAAATTCGCAGTCCGCGGTCTCATCCTTTCACTTTTACGTGACGTGACACGAGCGAAGCAGGCCAATAGATGATGTACGCCGCCCTCCAGTTCATTCCATACCCACAGAACCTGTCAGGTCACTTTGTTCGCTGATCCCTCACCAACCCTTTTCACCAGCCAGCCAGCCTCAAACACGGTGCAGCTTTGTCCAAGACAGGCTGCGGATGACGCCACATGGACGTCCTGCGTAATTCGGCTCTGTGTTTCTTAGCAAAGACTGCAAAAAAGATGCCACGACCCGCTTGCCACGGCTCGGGTGTTGAAGAGGGTCGAGGTCATCACCATGGCAAGCCACATTGGGAGCCCAATTCACTCACCTCTCGGGGCCGGCAAAAAAAAGCCGTCGGCGTAAGAGGGAGATGACAGGGAGGTCGTCACCGGACTGCAAGCCGCCCTGGGAGCCCAACTCATACACCGGATGAAGGACTGGTTTCGGGAAGTACCGACCAAGGGGACGCGTTCACTCAAGGGCCCAGAATCTGACTTTGCTGCCTGCCCGCTGACGCCGTTTCAAGAAAGGCTTGGTTTATAAGGCTTTCAACGGCGTGGGCCGAGTGTGCCTCGGAAAGGTACCAAGACGTTGCTTCCCGCGTAGCCGGGTCGGTTGCATTGTTGCATGCTACGGCGACACATGGCCACCAACCACAGAGTATGCAGGTATGCATGCGCTTGCAGCGCAAACCACCCCCAGGCTGTAGCTGAAGGGGTGGATGCCGCTGACCACCACAATTTGGAAGGACTTTTGGAAAGTCTCCAACTTCCTAATCCGAACCTTCCCCGGCCGTTGAGCTCACATTGATCGCCTGGGATTAGTCATTGTGGAACATAATCCTGGCTGCGATCTCCCTTGTTAGCCAACTCCGGGCCCGCAGAGCTAATACCATGTAAGTAAGTCGGTCAGAAAACTTCACAACTTAATATTACACGTAGCCTGGCCACGGCCGAGTCTGGCTAAAACTCGAAACGTGGTCCGCAAAAGCCGCTGTCTGCCTGTTCTAGGCTGATTGCTGACGATGAAGCCAGCGCCAAAAAAGGGGTCAACAAAAACAGAGGCGTCAGGCTTGAGGTGTTCGGCTCGCGGCCTTGCCAATGAAAACCACTTCCACGGCTTGGCTTTCTGCCACCCTAGGGCCGCCATTCCCCCCCCCAACCTATTGTTTCCTTTGTGTACGGATATTGCTTTCATAGCTCCAGTAGCCATCTTTTTTTGTTCAGCGGGCGCACCATCGTCGTCCGCACTGACTGGGCAGATCGTTGTCATCTCATTGGTGAAGGGCGTCTCCCGATCCCCAAGCAGTGGGTAATAAACTAAACTAGAGTTTGTTTGTTTGTTCCAACTAATTAAGAAAAGCCAGATAGCAAAATACCTCTCCAAGTTTGTTAAACTGGCATGGAGATGATAAATGACATTGGCAGCCGAAAGGGCTATCTGCCCGCGGCCGTCTCGAGTCTCAAGGAAGGTCATCCTTCAGCGGAACCTACTGTTTCGGACCTTTACAAACATTCTTACACCCGAAAGCCCCAGAAATTGTAAGACAAGGACAATAGGGCACAGCCGCCGCCCCATCATCGTCAGCACGAGTTCGTCACTCGGGCGTGGCCTTGGCGGCCCCCCCGTTCTTAGCCTCGTCTACATTCGCAGAACATCAGGTAGCTGCGCCAGGGCAAATGGGTTCCATATTCGTATGAGCGGCTTTGAATGAATTGAGGCTAGCTCAATCTTGTAGCTGACGAGACTTCGTAAGGCTGTGTTGCCAGCGGTACCAACTATTAAAAGGCCCAGATCGTGCCCCCAAGCTTTGATCATCCTCGTGCAGATCATTCTCTTTGCTCTGCTCTTGGGTTTCACTGCCCCATCTGAAATCGTCAATACTATTTTAGAACAGGATTATTGGGCTTCGTTCATCTTCAGTCCTAGTTCGTTCGTCCCTACTGACCGGAATACACATAGAGACAATGGTATGTACACAGGTTCCTCTTCATGCACCCGTTGTGGTTGAAGCAGCAACCCACATACTAACACGGCACTCCGTCCAGAATAAAAGCACCATCCGCGTAGTCGGCCTTGTCGCCGCTCTACTTGCTGCTACCGCTGCCGCCGCGCCCGTGCCGTGCGAGTCCATCGATGCCCTGTGGCAGGATGAGGCCGCTGTGGCGGGCAACTTCCCCGAGTGCGAGTCCTTCTACGACGGCAGCAACCCCGAGCAGGCTGCCGAGGTAGACCCCGAGCATCCGGACATGAAGCGGTTTGCGCTGAACCAGCGTGAGGAGAACATCGCCCCGGGCAACTGGCCTCCTCGTAGAGGCTCGGAACTGAGCGCACGGGGAAATTGGCCTCCCCAGAGCGCCCAGAAGCGCAACGAGCAGACGATCAATGGAAACTGGCCTCCGAGACACGCCGAGCGTGCCGAGCAGCAAATTTCCGGCAACTGGCCTCCCCGCAGCGAGCAGAGCGTCCAAGGCAACTGGCCCCCGAGCCCTGCCTACAAGCGTGCTGTGCAGGAGCCGTCAGGCAACTGGCCTCCTCGGAGCGAGCAGAGCGTCCAAGGCAACTGGCCCCCGAGTCCTGCTGGCAAGCGTGCCGAGCATGAAGTGCCGGGCAACTGGCCTCCTCGCAGCGAGCAGAGCGTCCAAGGCAACTGGCCCCCGAGCCCTGCTCACAAGCGTGCTGTGCAGGAGCCGCCAGGCAACTGGCCTCCTCGGAGCGAGCAGAGCGTCCAAGGCAACTGGCCCCCGAGCCCTGCCCACAGGCGTGCTGGGGAGGAAACGCCTGGCAACTGGCCTCCCCGCCGCGAGTCTGAGTCCGAGTCCGAGCCGGAGCAGCAGGAGGGCGACGGCTCCGGCGGCGATCTCTGCGGCCTCCTGGGCTGCGGCGACGACGGCACTGGTCCCATCGGCGGTCTCAAGGATCCCGGCCACGCAGGCGAGCAGTAAACCACAAGCAAGACGAGACAAACAGGCGCTGGGGGGGGGGGGGGGTGCCTGGCCAAACAGTGACAGGGGGAGAGAGGCATGTTTATTTACGGCGCGCGGCGCCATGATTTGATGATTCCTGTTTACTTGTTAGTGTATTTCTTTTTTGTTTGGACAGCTCACTTACTATAGACAGTTGGATAGATAGAGAACAGAGACGCCTCAATAGAAATGTCATAAAATTTCAAGAATCTGCTGCGAAATCACAAACCATCTTGTTCATCCTGGCTGTCTCAACTACCGTGTAATACGATTGGTTCGGGCTGAGTGGGCGTGTCATACTCGGGACGCACTGGCAGCCGCTGCCCCAAAGGCTAGCACGACACACAAACCCTTGGCATTGCGTCACGTCACGGCGCCTTGCATATGCAGGGTCAACACCACCAAGTCATGTGAATGCATTGCTACGTATATCAGATGATGGTATGGAACAAAAAGGCAATCGCTGTCTTGCGGGCGAATCTCATTCATCCAACGCTATCAGGCTAATCTAGATGCCAGACCACCAATATGACTCGGGCACACTAATAGTAACCCGCACCGTTCGCTCATTGATGGCGCTGCTGTCGCTGATGATAACGTCGTAGTCGCCTGCCTCAACGCACCACTGGTCGCGCTCTTCATCAAAGTACGCCGCGGCGTACTTTTCGAGCTCACCAATCGTGACCTTCTTCGATGCGCCGGCTTCGAGCTCCACCTTTGCAAACCCGCGTAGCTCCTTGACGGGACGATTGACGCGCGCCGCCTGCTTCGGCTGGACATACATTTGCGCGACGGCGGCGCCCTTCCTGCCGCCCGTGTTTGTGATCGTGAGGGTAGCCTTGACCCTGCCGTCGACGACGGCAACGGACAGGCCGGAGAAGCTAAAGGTGGTGTACGAGAGGCCGTGGCCAAAGGGAAAATGGACCTCTCGATCGGCAAACTCGTAGTAGCGGTAACCAATGTAGACGTCCTCACCGTACAGCGTGCGGCCAGCTTCAGCGCGGAAGTTGAGGAAGGCGGGGGTGTCTTGCAAGCGCTTCGGAAAGCTGAGTGACAACTTGCCAGAGGGATTAGAATCGCCGAAAATTGTGTCGGCGATGCAGTTACCAGTTTCGTTGCCCCCGTACCAGGCTTGAATGACCGCCTTGACCTGCGAGAGCCAGGGCATCTCCTCGGGCGTGCCAGTCTGCATGACCACGACAGTGTTGGGATTGGCGACGGCGACCTTGGCAATGAGTTGGTCCAGAACGCCGGGCAGCTTCATGGATGCGCGGTCCCCGCCCTCACTCTCCCAGTCGGCGTTGAGGCCTGCACAGATGATCACTTGGTCATGCTCTTTGGCCAGCTGGACCGACTTCTTAATCTCCTGCTCGTCGTCGATGACTTTGCAGCCCCCGACGCGCAGAGAGCCATGGCCAGGCACGTGAGCATCGTCCTTGAGGGTAAAAGTAGGGGCAGAACCAAACTCGATGCGGAAGTTGTAGGTCTGGCCTTTCTTAATCTCGACACGACCGCGCTCTTCACGGGTCGCCGCGCCAAAGAATGCGTCACCAGCAGTTTGCTTCGTGGCATTATCGACAACCAACTGATCGTTGATAAATGCCTTGGCCGTACCGGAAACAACGATGCCGAGTTCATATGTGCAATCTTCATCAGCCACAAAAGAGCCTTCCAGATCCGCATACCACACATCGCTGACTTCGGGGTTACTGTAATCGACTAGATGCATCTCGGTCTTGGTGAACTGAAGCTCATCAATTACTTTGCGGTCAGTGGTTCCGGGTGCTTCGTTGAAGACCCTCCAGCGCATGCCAGGTTGTCCGTTAGGGTCGGTGAGTTGATTGCCCAAAATAGGAAGAAAGCGGTGGGTATAGGCACCAACGGTGAAGGTAGGTTGGCTGCCCAGTTTCTCACTGATACCGTCGTAAGGGGTAATGGCGTAGTATGCGCGAAGGGCAGCAGAGCCACCTCCGTGGTAAGTAGCCTCCTTAGCGTTTGGCCCCAATACCAAGGTCTTCTTCTCCTTGGAAAATGGCAGCGTATTATCATCGTTTTTAAGCAAGACGATGCTTTCATTGCCAATTTTTCGCAGCAGGGCGGCCGTTTCAGGTGTGTCAAGCGTCTTTTCAGGTCCATTCTCATGTATAGGTAGTGAAGAAACCTTCTTGACAAGGTTAAGAACAGCACGCACGCGGTTATCGATGTGATGAATAAATGGTTTGCCTGTTGAGGCATTGAATTGGAGAGCCTCCCCGCGGAAGCGTGAAGGACCTGGCATTTCGAGATCGAGGCCGGCCTTGACGGCATCATTTGTGCTATACGTGCCATACCAGTCACTCATAATAAGGCCGTTCCAGCCCCATTCTTTGCGCAGCATACCATCAAGGTACTTGGTGTTCTCGCTGCAAAAGGTGCCATTGACGCCATTGTATGCGGTCATGAAGGCGCCAGGGTGGGCGTCACGAACGGCAATTTGAAAGGGCATTGCATAAATTTCGCGGAGAGCACGCTCAGTGACTATACTCTGCACGCCCATGCGTTTGTCCTCTTGGTCATTGCAGAGAAAGTGCTTGATAGTAGCGACTACGCCAGTGCTCTGAATGCCACGGACCAACGCTGCAGCGCCAAGACCACTCAAGAATGGATCTTCGCCAATCGACTCGAAGCCACGGCCGCCAAGCGGAGATCTCTGCATGTTGATTGTCGGACCTAGAATCAGATGGGCGCTCTTGGCGATGGCCTCGTAGCCCATGGTTTTGCCGGCCTGTTCAAGAAGTTCTTGATTGAAGGTAGAGCCAAGGGCACTGCCGCAAGGGAAGCAAGCGGCGGGCACGCTATTGAAGAATTTGGTTCCACGGACGCCGTTAGGGCCGTCGGACATGCGAATGGAGGGTATTCCATGCTTTGGCAAAGCCTTGGTGTGCCAGAAGTCAATGCCTAGGTTGGTAAGACTTGTGCCAGAACTTGATGAGTTCAATGTACCCACCAGAGAGCAGCTCGACCTTTTCTGTCAGAGTCAGCTTCTTCAGCACCTCATCGACGTTGAGGCTAGCCATGGCGGGCGATTTCGGCCGGCAGTTGGTGTAGTTCGCTGTAGCGACAGATTCGATCTGACGCTCTCAGGGCCAATGCAATGAAGCTTCCGAAGCCAAAGAAGAATGAGATGGCCAAGAGCTACTCGTGCAGGAACACTGCCAAAGAAAAGGGAATCGGGAAAGAAACCGGAGGGGAGGGGTCGAAGCTTAATAAGTAGCATCGCGGGGCGGGAAGCGTTGATGGCGTGTCAAGGCCAGAATTTCCATTTTGGAGCCGGGGTTTATCATTCCGCAGGGCCAATCAGAATGATGTAATGCAAGACCATCGCCAGTGAGAAGGCAGCGGGGAACTCTTGAGTCTGGATCGGGAGGAGAAATGTGAGAGCTGCAAGAGTCGAGCGAGCAGAGGAGCACCTTTCGAGGCCCTTCTTCAGGCATTGGCGATGGTGAAATAGATAGGCTGCCCCGCCAGCCAATCGCTGTAATTGCACGTCAAGGATAAATGTGCAGCCATCGCCGACTGACCAATTAGCGCCAGCGCTGTCGGGTTTTCGGGGCGATATTCCGCTGAATTGTCCAGGCTTGGCTCCTACAGTTCTCCAGTCGTCATGGCCGATACTCCCCGGGCAAGACTTGCACTTTGATGCCTCATCGCGCAGCCGAGTGGTAGGTAAGTTACCGCTGACCGACCGAAGGACGCCAACACTACGGCATCTTCGGGACGACAACTACAGTATGTATGTATGTAGGTACCTATGAGGTAGGGTATTAGTTGACGAAATTTTGGCCGTCGTAACTGCTGGGAACCCCACATGGTCCATGGGTCAGCCAGTCAACTGTAATCATAGCCTAAATTTTGTAGCCCACTATCTTGTACCTCAATAACTAACTCCTGGTAAAGCAGATTTGGTTATCACGGGTGAAGATAAGATACCTCCGGTATTCAACGCGGGAGCGACTACCTATCTTTAACTCTTTGTGATCCTTCAGTACACGTGATAACAAGACACACGTGACCAACGGCTCTGGTGCCTAATCACGTTTCAGGCTGTGGGAGCAAGGAGTAAACTTGTGTAAACCTTGACGCTAGAGAAGATAAAGGCAAGGAACTTTGCTGGCCGTCATATTTCCAAAATGAAACACCACTCTATGTCCGAGCAGTGGTCGTTCGACAATGGCCGCTAATTCTTTTACACCACCGTCATCCTCAGACTACTATGCAGTGGACACCGACCAGCGCGTGATGCACGAGCCCGAGTCTCTGGACATGACATCACTTCAGCCCAAGAAAATCCCGGTCGAACATATCTCGCCGCTCTGGGAGTAAGGCCCCACGGTCTGCCTTGACTCTGGCCGAAAAGACATCTATACCAAGACGCCGTACCTTCCTGGCTACACTGGATGCCCTATGCTAGCTAATCTGATGTTCCAGGAAGCCCGTGTCTGTCAGATGATGCTTGATCATCCGCATCCGAACGTTGCAAAATATCTTGGCTGTGTCATTGAAGACGGGCGGTTTACAGGGTCTGCTTTGAGAGATACCCAGAGACTGTCGCGGAGCAACTCGAGCGCAGGCTCATAATCGACAAGCCTCGGTGCCGTTCGCATGTCCGGAAATGTCTTGAACATCTGCATAGCCTCGGCCTAGTTCACAACGACAGAAAGACCGGCAACATTATGTTCACATATAGCGATGGTGGACGCTTCGTCATTATCGACTTTGACTCATATGTTCGCAGGGGCGGTGCACTCCCGATAAAGCAGGGCCACATGCCCCCAAGCGCGAGTTTTTCAAATTTTGAAAATGATGACTTCGCATTTCAAAAGATGGTGAAGGAACTAGATCTTGCCGAGCCGAAGGATGAGGCCCAAAAGGATGAATAGATGGGCTCAGCAGGTATGAATTTGCGCAAAACCGGTGTTCTTATTCGTACTAAACTACCCAAGCTTAATAGACACATTTGTTGAACATGTAAAAAATGAGCAGGGTTTTCCATCCCTCAACGCAGAACCACACTATGGAGCATTCCAACATTGCTCGGAATGTGCTATTCCGACCTTGAATGCTCGGCGAAATCGCCCAGCACACTTGCATAGGAACTTTGATGGCATAGCCCGTCGGGATTGCATCTCACTTTGGGGTTGCAAAGGGATATGCAGACGCCCTGCCTTTCGTAATTCTCCATTTTGCAATCGGAAATCTTTGGCCCCCGTATGGTGTATTTCCTGATGACATTCCCTTTCTTCGAGTCCTTCTCCTTCATGAGAATAGTCTCAAAGGTGCACATCTCGTTGATATGCAACTGACCTTGACTGTGGTTGTGCTCTCTGGGTGCTTCAGTGGAATGAATGGTGGCGATGTGTAGGAAGTTGAAGCTGCTTGGTCTTCAAAATGAGATAGGGGCTTGATAAGAAAGAGCAAAGGATTCTTTCATCCGGTGAAGTTGCGGCCTATTTACACTATAGAGCTATGCTACGCTCATTCTGCTTTTGCCACGCGCCCGGTGAACCCATCATCTGGCCTTCGCTACGCGCCCGGTGAATCCCTCCACGACTTTCCCTTCCTTTCATGATGCTGCGTACACCTGTGCGATACTACGTCGCCTTGTATGATGGCAGCTGGCTTCAACCTCCCACTCTCCCGCATTTTAGTAACCTCCCACACTCTTACACATGTTCTGAGCCTCCGCATACCTAACCCCCAGGACCCCGCCAATGATACTGGCCCAGAGGCCACGCTGCTTCTCTCCCGCTTAATGAATTATGAACGCGCGCCCAAGGGGCTTTGCGAAGCATTGCAGGCAACCTAACAGTCCGAAGAAAACTCTACCGCAAAGATATTCCTTCAAATTGGTGGTTTTTCAACCTGGCTTGCATTCTTCCTGGTGAAGAATGCAGCTGAACATAATACCCATTTTGATGGTAAGGTAGACTATGGACGGTTAGTTGCCAAACTCGAGAAAGCGACTGTCGACCTTCGAAAAGAGTTGGCGGTACAGGTAGCCACTGCCATACCAAGTCAGGTCAAGGAGAAAACCAGCAAGTTATTCAAGACAAAGATCCAATCACTGCAACATGAGGATATGCCCCGACAAACCAAGAAGCGACGCAGTACGGCATGTTCTTCTAGTGTTTTAACACTTCTAGTATCATGTAGGGACCGGTGATGGTGCCTTGAGTACGCGCCCGACACCGAGCAGTACGAGCCAATACCGACCTCTTGTCGCTACTCCCGCATCTCCCACCCAGGGCCAAGCGGTACTCAAGACAGGCACTGGCTACATCTCTCATATCGATGGAAGCGGGAATTTCTTCATTAATGCATCTCTCGAGGCAGCCATGAGCATACTTTCTCGGGACCTCGCGATCGCGATCGCAAGAAATCCACGCCCAGCAGACGAAACCAGCTGTGTAGCTGCAATATCTATGGCATTTCCCGCTGCTTTATTCTCAGAAAATTTGCATGCCAAATGGAACTGGAAACAACAGATGACAAGGTGTCGCGCTTCGCTTTAGAATGGTTTGGGGTGCGCTTAGAAACCAAGGCTGGCTTGCGATACGTCTGCATCGCCGACGGAAGCTCAAAGATATTACCTTACCCCAAGTTGACCCTTCAGGGCTTCCGACGCGACCTCATTACTTCCAGTTTGGAGCTGAGATATCAGAGGCAATAATGGCTGGTGCTCCATATCAGGAAGGTGCTAAGAATCACCCGAGACAGCACAGGCCATGTGTCTATGGTGATCTCACACCAAGCCCGCGATCGAGCGGTGATATTTATAGATGTTGGTCTGTTGCACGGAACGCGCCTCAAAAAATAGGCTCTTGCCATAGAATCAGCCTAGTTTCGCCAATCCTATGCAATGCCCTGCTTCAACCTTCCTTCAGCATCTTGCCTGTCTTCTCACCAGAGCAAAGACTAGTCGCAGATTCGACTGTGTCTTGTCCATCGCTGAAAGAAAACTGTTTCGTAGGTGTCCGCGTATTGCTACTCAGATAACCGTAAACGAAGCGCCCCTTCTAGTAGACCATTTGACTCGAGCCGAAAATGTCGTGTAAAAAGATTCGGCAGCTTCGTAAAACTCTGCATCTCTTGGTGGAGGTTTCATTTTGAACGACTTAGCCAAAGCGATTCATTTAGTTTTGAAGCATCCCATCAGAATATCAAGGCTCGGGCTTACCGAAAAAGGGATCTAACATCCATTACTGTATTCGTACCAATAAGGTCGTAATTTTAGTGAAATCCTCCGGGTTGTCATGCGTGACATAGTGAGCGGAGAAAGGCTAATAATAGAGGGAGGGAACAAAATTAATTTTTACCAGTAGTGGAGGAAATGTTAAATAAAACATAGAGGGTTAAATTTAGCAAAGAATCCCAGTTGATATTCGGGCGTTTATAGCTAGATGCGATCATGCAAATTAATCCCCTATATTAAGAAAAACACGGCCACTGCCGTCATTGTGGCGACACACTGACTCTTGTTCTCTCTTACACAGTGAGCAGTGTATTCATGCCAATACATACAGGCGGCTTGATTTGTCAATGGACCTATGAATAGAAACAACCTTCAGAAGACAGCTCTGTTGTTTCTTATGTGTTGCAGGTGAAAATGGCCGCTTTGGCTATTTGCAGAGTGCTGTCAACTGCGTTGCGTTTAATGGGACCCCATGTCGATGCAATCAATAACTATCCACATTGGAGGCCTATCGCCAAGAATCTTCAAGCAGGTGCAGACATGGTGCGCAGTCACACCTGCTGTCTTCCAGGTGCCGATAGGCGAGAGAGGTTTCCAAGAATAAAGCACCAGCCGGCCTGGATACTGCCTGGCAGGCGCGCGCCGGATACCATCGCGCGATCGGCGAACGAATTGGGTAATGATGGCACTCTTTACAAGGAAGCTCGGTTCATGGTTACACATTCCTGTCAAAGATGATGGGATGAACCGTACATGTCGGGGCTGATGTATCTGCAGTAGTTCTTAATTGTTTTACGCAGGTCACTCCAAGGATCGTCGAGCAGATGCCGATATGTATCCGTATATATATAAGAAAAAGAAGCAGGGACTAGTGCATATACCCGCTGCACACTATGTACATTATTGAAACCGTTATATACCGTGTTGCTTCGCTGGCCGAGTTTCAAAGTCGTCGCCGTTGAGGCAATGTCGCTGACCGCCGTTGTCCAATCCTCAATCCCCTCCCTTTACTGGCCGCTGCCGTTGTAAGCAATGTTGGTGACCGTGTTGCTGACCTGGTTTGTGACGGCGTTCTTGGTGGCCATGTCGACGATTGTCTTGCAGAGTGCCGGCGAGGCCTTGACGCCGTTCTTGGCCGCGAGGTAAGCGGCGAGGCCGGCGATGTGCGGGGTGGCCATGGACGTTCCCGTGTAGAACGCGGTCTCGCCGCCCGGGACGGTGGAGAGGACGTTCACGGCCGGGCCGTTGATTTTGACGACGGGTCCCCAGTTTGAGCTGGCGTAGCGGCGGTCGTCCGACTGCGTGCCGCCGACGGCGCACACCTTGGACGCCGACGCAGGCGAGAAGTCGCGGGCGTTCTTGTTGTTGTTGCCCGCGGCAATGGCCATGAAGAAGCCCGCGTCGACCATGGCGTTGGCCGCGTCGTTCATCGACTGCGAGAAGTTGCCGCCGAGCGAGCCGCTAACGACAAAGCCGCCAGGGCAGCTGCTGCTGCGCGACCGCGCGTCCTTCTGGATGAAGTCGTAAGCAGCGATCAGATCCGAGTACCAAAAGTCTCCGTTGCTGTCGATGACCTTGACGCCGAGGAGGGTCGCCTTCTTGGCGACGCCGTACGTGGCCGAGCCAATGGTGCCCGCGCAGTGGGTTCCGTGGCCGTTGTCGTCGACGCTGGAGCCGGAGACGAAGCTCTTGATCTGCTTGGCGCGGCCCTCAAACTCCTACACGGTGGAAGTTAGTTTTTTCCACCCCACCAACGGGTCACATTGTTGACCCCAACGCTCAGTTATACTTACAGGGTGGCTGTCATCAATACCACTGTCCGTCACATAGACGCAGACGCCCTTGCCGGCCGACTCGTCGTAGATGTAGTCGCTGGAGCCGGCCTGGCGGTGGGAGATGCGGCCGAGGCCCCACGGGGCGTCAGACTGGGTGCGGAACCCGCTGAGGGTGCCGGCCATGTCCTGCTCGATGTACTCGACGCCGGGGACCATGCGGAAACCCTCGACGGTGGAGCGGTCCAGCTGCGCCGTGAAGCCTAGAAAGTCGCTGTTGAAGGTATGCGCGACGTTCTCGTCGTCCACGTCCCGGAGTGCCGCCTCGACCGCGGAGAACTCTCGGTCGCCCTTGAACTTGATGATGAACCGGCTGCTGCCGCCGCGGGCCACGAGATCGCCCTCGGGCTCGTGCAGGATGAGGGGCGCGGGTTCATCGCGCTTCTCCAGCTCGTGAAGGTACAGCGGCGCAAGCTCGGAGCGCCTCTCGGCCTCGTGGAGGTAGAGAGGTGCGGGCTCGCCGCTCGTTTCGAGGATGGGGCCAGCCAGGGCCAAGGGAAGAGCAGCCAGGATGGTAGTGACACGCATTTTGACGGTGATGAAGGAAGTGTATAAACAAGAAGCGAAAGGGCCAAAGGAAGTAGACTAGGAATGTGAAGGAAAGTGAAAGTCCTTGGCCAAGAGAATGCCCAAGAAGAGACATGTTTGAAGAGAGTCATGGGCACCGAGCAGCTTTATACAGAAAGATTATCCTCCTGTCAGCCTTGACAAAAAGTCGGGCTTGGAGCCATTCTCCTTGCCCATTGAACCTCATTTCCACACCTCCACGTCTCCCGCGTCCGCAGCTTACGAGCAGTCGACACGACGCCTGCTATAGATTGCCGTGGGGGGAGCTTGGGATGGCAACCTTCCAGAAGAGGCAATTGTGGTGCCTCCTATAGTGATAGTGGACATATGCGAAACCAGCCGCCGCCACGTAGCGGCAAGTAGACCGGGCCGACAAGGTGTATGCTGTGTGCCCTCCGTCCCTCCGTCCCTCCCGAAGGCTGACGGGCGAGACAGGTCTATGGCAGACGTCAGCATGTAGATGGTACAGAAATAACATGGGAGAGCGCTGATGTGTGCCGAAATCACAGGATGCCAAGACCCCTAATAAAGGTCCTCCCTAATAGGGTATAACAGGATCTGCATCGAACCAGCCAGCCTCATTACAGCTAGGGCTGTTGTGGCTGAAACTTGCTTCTTTGATGCGGCGCAAGTCGTACTACGCGCGCCCAAAAGGGGGAGCAGGAAGACCGGTCGTTGAGCAGCATTAACTTTAAAAAACCTAATCTTGACTGTTTATTTCCCTCGCGCCTCACTTATGCGGTGTCAGCTCCCGTTCGCGCCGGAGTTGCAAAGCGCTATCCAGATCTCCTTCTTACTACGGTGTTAGTGCGCGGGGCACTTTTGGTTCGTCGGCGCGACAGAGAGGGGAATTTCTCAAAGGTAATAAAAATCTCAAAATTCGCCGGCCCTCTTCTTATCTGAACCAGGAGAATTTACGGGCCGCCAGGGGCTGTAACACTAACCTAGCATTTGGTCGAGTTTGCCGGGCCTCTCCGAACTACAGCCCAGGCAGCTGCCAATCCGAGCAGGCCAAGGTTCATTCGAGCTCCTCTTAAAGATAGCAAAGAAGGTTATTACCTGTTCAATCACAGCTGGCGTACCAGTTTGCTTGGCAAAGAACCGGCGTCTGTTGTTGACTAGGGACGACTTGTTCTGGACTTGGTTCCAATATCTACCCAGGTTTATCTCAGGTCATCGGATTCCGTAACCGTTCGAGGGGCACTAACGCAAGAAGGACAATGGCAAGAAATGCTAGACAGTCAACTGGGTTTAAGTTACCACATTCATTGACACCATCCAAAACCAGCCGCTTGGGATGGCGATATGGTATCTGTCATGCCCGAAGTCCAGAATCGTCGGCAGAGCTGGCCACAAAGATGCTGAAAATACTCCGCATAACCGGTTGATATTGACATGGGTATTTCCCTAGGTCTCATGCCAAGATGGGCCGAAGGGTCGCGGATTAATAGTATGATTCGCAAATAATTATCAAATCGCTAAGGATCCAGGCATATGCTCAAGCTCAATTACAATTTCATTCATCAAATGTGTGTTCTTCGCCAGGCCGTGATACCAGCCTTGGGCGGATCTGTTGGGCCTGCTGGAGGCCAAACAAGGAAGGTGAACGAGAGGGAGGGGACGCATGAAACGCAGCATGGTCTTTTGGCAGAGTCGTCGTATAAATGAAGTGTATTTACTGAATACAGGGAGACAACTGCCGGGGCTCGAAGAGCAGCCGACGGCCCTTCACAAACATTGGGCGAATACCCAAGAGGCTGCGCCGATGAGCCGAGGATGTACTATGGATCTATATTTGAGTGAGTTTTACAACTGAATCTTTTCAACATATTACCTGAGGCGGATAAACAATTGGTCTTAAGTGCACACGTTATTAACAGACTGCCGTTGCTATAGCTTGCTGCCCCTTGGCCTGTCCTTGTGAATCCTTTGCAAGGCGGTACGCAGTCTGTCGCTCATGCCCGCCGCTCTCGGGCGGCCGGTCTCTCGATCGACCATGACGTGGACAAACTCGCCTGCCGCCTTGACACCCTCGACGCCGCGCTCGAAAAGCGCGACTTCATACGTGACGCTCGACTTGCCCAGCTTGTTGACGCGGACGCCGACCTCGGCCACCGCCGGGTAGGCTATGGAGGCGAAGAAATCCGTGTGCGAGTGCACAGCGAGAGGTGTCTCGGTGGCCGTGGGGGGGAACAGTCCGCAATACTCAATTAGGTAGGCATTCACTGCAGAGTCGAAGCTGCCAGCGGTCGTGTCAGGTAAGGTTGGTGAGGGGTCACGCGAGTGGAACACCTACAGAAAATTGTAGATGGAATTGTTCATGTGATCGTACATGTCATTATCATTCCTAAAAAATTGTCAGTACTTTTGAATGCCACCCCTCCCTCCAGTCGACTTGTCTAGATGGGATCGTGCCAACTCACCAGCGTGTGCGATAGTCTAGAATGAACAGGTAGTCCTCCCGCTTTCGGTTCTTAATATCATCCGAGGTCATCTTGACTAGAAGACAGTATGAGAAGCCAATGGTTCCTGTTCCTAGTACTAGGACGAAAGCGTGTAGAGGTGTGTTGGGATGCAGCCGATAACCGAGCGAAAGCCGCAAAGAATCGCACCTCGCGATGTCGCCGTGACAGAAGGTGGGAGATGCACGGGTGTCTCTGGCAAGTAATTGAGAGGCTACTCAAATCACGAGAAGGAAAGGTGTTTGAATATCAAAGTTTGGAGCCTAGGAACAGAGTTCGAATGGAACGCCTCAAAGGATGGAAAGGATGGCAGGATAGTTTCGGCAGTCAATTGCGTGGATGGAAGCTCATGGGAGCCGAGGCTAGACCCAGATCTCGTAGAATTACCGGACAGAGAATCCGGGGAACAGCTTGCGGCGGAGATGGAAATCGGCATTATGTCAGCAGCCAACTGTAATTCTGCCGTCTCCGACCGCCATTTTTTCAGGGTCACAACGAAGCAGGCAGAGGGGTGTCGCCAACAGACATTGCTGCGTGAGAGATTGGTGGTTTTTATTGCGAGCGCTTGCTTAAAATTGTCGCCAGCCGGTCAGTTTGTGTTCGGTTGCGGAATCATCGGATCCAGTGTCTCGATGCTAGGGCGTCGGCTGGTTCGACACGTCGCGCCCCTCACAAGCGCCAACAGCAGGACGAATTTCTCAAGCCAAATCGCCAGACTCAGCATGACCGTCCCGGCCGCGACGGAGCTCTCCGAGTCCGCCATTGGCGCGGCCTCGGTCGAGGCGCTCAAGAAGCTCTCGCTCGCTGACAAGCAGGCAAAGCGGGAGGCCAAGACAAGGCGGCAGCAGGAAAAGCACGTGGCAGAGATGCTCGCCCCTCCGGGACCTCTCATCACGCCCGCGGGCGACATGTGGCCGCGACCATATTTTTTCGAGGACGGCCTGCGTCGCGTGAGGCCGTACCACTTCACATACAATACGTGGTGCAAGGAAAGATGGCGCGGGCGCACCCTGATTGACATCTTTGCCTGCGAGTTTCGCGACCGGCCGCTGGAGTACTACCGGACCGCGATGGAGCTAGGCGACATCTTTGTCAACCAGCGCAAAGTCGGCCCAGAATACATTGTGCGCAATGGGGACAAGATCTCACACACGCTGCACCGCCACGAGCCGCCCGTCACGGCCGAGCCGATCGGCATCATCCACGAGGACGAGGACATGATTGTCCTCAACAAGCCCGCTGGTGTACCTGTCCATCCGGCGGGCCGCTACAACTTTAACTCTATCATTGAGATTATGAAGTCGGACCGCGGCAAAGACTTTATGCCGTATCCCTGCAACCGGCTGGACAGATTGACGAGCGGCATCATGTTCATCGGCAAGAGCCCCAAGGCTGCGGAGGACCTAGGCGTCAAGATTAAGGAACGCTCAGTGCGCAAGGAGTACCTTGCACGAGTATTGGGCGAGTTTCCTGACGGTGAAGTAGTCTGTGATATGCCTATTTTGCAGATTTCCCCCAAGCTGGGCTTGAATCGCGTGAGAGCAAACGGCAAGTCGGCCAGGACCGTGTTTAAAAAGCTGGCATACTATCCTCCGCGCACACCAGTAATGCAGTCCCCAGATGGACCGATTACGCGGAAAAACACAGGTTACTCCATCGTGCGCTGCCTGCCGGTGACTGGCCGGACGCATCAGATCCGCGTGCACCTGCAGCATCTGGGGTTCCCCATCCAAAACGACCCCATCTACGCGAACCAGCGGGTCTGGGGCATGAATCTCGGACACGACGACCCGGAGGCGACGCGTAACACGGACGAGGACATCATCAGCCGGCTGTCGCGGATGGGCAAGGACGAGGTCGCGCAGGCAGTGGTGTACTACGACGAGATGGTGGACGAGTACGAGAAGAAGCGGGCCGAGAAGATGACGGGCGAGTTGTGCGATGTGTGCGCGACGCCGCTGTACTCGGACCCGGGCAACCACGAGCTCTCGCTGTGGCTGCACAGCCTGCGGTATGAGGACGCGCGCGGCGCCTGGTCGTACACGAGCCCGCTGCCGCGGTGGGCGCTGCCGCCGGCAGGCATGCAAGGGCCGACGACGGTCGGCGGGCTGGAGGAGCTGCTGGATGCGGTGCCCGAAACGGAGCCGCAGGACGGAGTTGCGACTCCCCAGGACAAGGAGGAAGCGCAATGATATTCGGGCAGGCAGGCAGGCAGCTTGGATGTTTCATTACGTGGCGTTGATGGTTGTTTGGTTGCTAGGGCATGTGTGCATCTACACGGACATACAGGAAGATACAAAGGGCTACGAAGGAAATACAAGGTGGTACAAAGCACTGCAAAGCAAGAGAATACAAACTGTAAGCATGTGACTACATTTACCAGGGATCGAGATTGTTCGTACAAGCAGGGTTGCATAAATCTCCGAAAACGCCATGTGAGGAAAAAGAACGGTAAATTCCGAATAAGAAGCAGCAGCAGAGGAGTTCCCAGAGTAACTTAACCGAGACTGGCAGAGATGCAAGCCAACGCACGCCTCCACAGCCATGTTTGGCTTCGCGGCGCACGTTCAAGCCCTCTTGTGCAAGCCACTGCAGCCGACCCGATGCGGAGAGGCTGGCTTCCGTCTTGTCAAGTTGTCATGGAGTTGCGAGCTGTGCAAAAGATGGCATAACACGGGACCAGGGGGGGGTTAAAGTTGCATGCAGTGCAGGGTCGCGGATCTCGCCAAACAGGGTAAACGAGCAAGTTTCCCATTGCGCAAGTTGTTCTAAAATAGACAGGGGGGAAGAGAGGTCAGATTGGGCTTTTGTTACACAGGGTTTGGCTGCCTTCCAGCTGGAATGCGCGAGACGGGCTCGGACGGAGGTTGACGATCCTGAGTTGGGGTGAGATCTTCACCGAGGAAGCAGGTCCCGAAATGTCAAAGCGACAGAAATCGTCAGCCATTGGGAGTGACATGCACAGACGTTCTTTCCTGCTTTAATGAGTTGGGCGCCTCCAAACGAGATGGGATTAATGATGGACGAGACGACGGCGTTCAGCTCCCGCCCGGTCGGTACGTGATGCGGTTGGTCATTTGGGGGTGGCGGCTATTGAAACTATTGGGCAGCCCACCAACCACCCACCGTCGGCAGCGCCACGCCGCAGTGGCAAAAACATAGTGGTAATATTGAAATAAGGCGACGCCTATTCATATGGCTGGGCAGCGGCGAACGAATTGGGGCTGTTCAATTGCCTAATTGTCCAAAACCTCTCACTATCACTTTTTTGACTCCTTGATCATGCCCGTCTCCAACGTACTTGTGATATCATGTTTGACAGCTGGTGCAGCATTGTGTTCTGTACGTGCACGCAACGCGTTAGTAGGTTCAGCTGGCATGGTCCATGCAGATGCAAGATGGGAAACTAAACCACTACTAAGCTAGACAGAAGCCCGCGCAGGAGCTTTTTTGGTGGCGTCTACAAGGGAAGACTACGCCCTGTTTTTGGTCCTTTCCTTCTGGAAAGGGAGATTCGTCTGTCTCAGCTCGTAGAAAGAAAGAGTGTAGTGGCATTTCCCGCACCAGCCCAAGTTTAGCGCCGCCAGTTCCCTTCCCTTGTGTCTGATGATGGGCTTGTTGAATAGCCGAAGTGCAGTGGCGCTGGGTATTGAAAAAAAGGCGATGGGAAAGGTAATTTGCCAGATCTCGGATTCTATTTTCCTCATTTTCCTTTTCTCCTCGTAAAAAGAATGCGGCGATACGAGTTGGAGGGGGAGTGTATGGCGAAGATGACGACGAAGGCAAAAACAAAGATGGCGGAATAGACAAAAGGCTGTCGCCAGCAAAGGTTCATGGGTGTGAAGGCGAGAAGCGATTTAGATGGACTACCATTACGACACAAAGCCAAAAAACAACGCTCTGACATGAGCTACCCAAAGTCACATGGACGATGATTTCTTGAACGAGCAGCTTCCATTGTCAGTGCACAGTATGAGGTTAGTCGCAAGTTCCGTCTGGACTCGTCGTTCCGCGGAGTCTTCTTCCGTTTGCGATGCGCGCAGGAACAACCACCTGAGAGCAACTACAGGGTTGGTTTTAGGGCCTATAGTCGACAAGAGCAGGGATCATAGCACATGCCAAAACGGAGCACGACTAGGGTTATATTCCCCATTTAGGATTCAGCGTTGGCGACTTCACCAGTACGGATTGGGCGGAGGGCGGGGGAGAAGACACTTCGGGGACGTCGGGGAAGGCTGGCGGCGTCCGCCACAGCACACTCTTCTTCTGTGTCCAGCGACGTGGTTCCGATTCTGATTGGCCCCGGAGCGTAGTGAAGCTGGATTGGGCAAATGGGCCAAACCTGCTGCGACTACTTTTGGGGGCGGTTTGCGGTGTTGTTGTGTCTCATGTGTCTCACAGCAGCGGGCGGCGTGTTGAGGGCCAGCCCAACAACGCCCCGTGGCTTTTCTTCATGAACCGAGGAATGAAAGGAGGGGTTGGCGGCCAGAGCTAGGGGCCATGTGCCGAAGCATGTGTGGTGGTTGTCTCACTTCTATAGATAGTAATAGGTAGGAAAATGAGGGGAAAGGGGAATGAAGGGGGGGAGGGCGAGACAAAGTGGTAAAAAAAGACAATCGTACAGAAGGAGAGACACGGCGTGCCTGGCTTGTGTGTAGGTTTGAATGTACTACGTAAGTTTGGATAATTTTGTTATGACGATGGCATGCCAGTCCCCGTGGCCGGGGGGCGTGCGAGATCTTGGCCTCGACGGCGATGATATGAATGAAGAAAGGAGGAAAGAGATTTTCTGCAAGACAAGAAAAATCAGACCAGGTGCTAAAGAAGAAGAAAAAAATGATTGGAAGAGGACAAGAGAAAAAGATAAGACGAATAAAAAAAATAAAAAATATCACGGCTAGAGGGGACGGGATTTGCAATCTCATCGAACACTCGGTAAGCTGTCACCGACGGCAAAGCGGGTGCGAAAGAAGCAACTTGGGATGACAGCCACCCAATGAGTGCGAGCGCTGCCTGTGTAGGCTGCTGTCTTGTGTTTAAGGTTGGCTGTCAACTTCAGCTGAACCGGGGGGTGCCACCGATCTATGATCCGGAAAGTGCCCGCCCTATCGTTTTTTGCCCTTCTGCTTCTTCTCCCTTCTTCGCCTCCCATCTACAATTTTATTAATCAAAAAGCTTCATGTACGGACGGCAAATTCCGAAAACGCCGATGGCTGAGCGGAAACAACGGAAGAAGAGGAGGGAAGGGCGAGAGCTCGGTGTTTTGTATGTGGCGGCGAGAGTCCGAAGGCAAAGGTCAAAAGGACGATGAAAAATCAGTCGGCGGTGCGGCAAGGGCCACATTCGGTACCTCCGACACGTTAGACGGCCTCCCGGTTGGTTGGCGCAGCGGAAAGCGGGTAGGGGAGCTCTTTTTTTCTCGTAGCTAGACCGAAACTTAGCTACCCTAGATGGGGATGCTACCTGAACGGGAGAGACGTTGGTTAGTATGTATGTACCTTGCCTTATTAGCGGGATACCTGCCAGACGCACCCTGTCGCCCAACACTTTGCAGTACCACACTAAGAGAGCGACGGCAACGCTGCACAGCCTACCCAGGACTCGACTGCCGCCATTCACCATCGCAAGCCATTAAGGTGCCTGTAGCACCAGTTATGTAGTTACATAGATCAGTCCAGCCCAGCCCTGTGGCTTCTTCCATCCTCCCTCCTGCTCATGTGTCGGTGGCAGTCGTTTTAGCACCTCCTTCACCGAGTTAGTTGGTACACCCCGTCAGCACTCTACGTGGCACTCTATTTTGCGGGGGACGCCGCATGGAGCAGGCGTGTAAGCAACCTTTCCTGCACAGCCTCCTCGCTCCAGCGCGAACGCCAAAACCATAATGGCGAAAGCTTCCTGCCACAACAAGTAATTGCAGCCAATTCGAGCAAGAATGCCTCGTCTCGTGGCATGTCAGCCAGGGGTCGGGTCCTCGGGCAGAGCCCGGCCACGCGACAAGACGCACGGAAAGCGTGGCCTTGTTGCCGTACAGCTGAGTGGCGGCGTCAAACAATCTCATTCCACCATGTTGTTGCGTCTGCTGTTACCACGTCATCAAGCAGCACTTCCCTGTCCGCCAGCCCCCTTCCCTATTTCGGGCTATCCCGCACTACAAGAACGGATTCGTCAACGACAGTGGCTTCTGCATCTTGGCATCGCATGTTATTACTGACATGCCCACAATCCCACGATGGGTTGACAGATTGGAGGGGTGAGGGAGGAGGGGACAAAAGAGATAAGGAATAAAAAACATCAAGAAGAACCAAGAGAAAGCAAAAGTACCTCACCTCGTCGTTCGATGGATACGCCGCCATCTGCCCACTCCCGGATAAAGGCCCCAGCAGCCTAGCTGAGGCTCATCGTGACGTGTGGCCGCTCTGGCCACCTATTCGGCCATGGATCGAACGTACCCAGCTGAGGCGCCGCCAATCCTCCGCCTGCAGCCCGCGAAAGGGGCCGACTACGGGCTGCGTGGCTTGAAAGCCCGGCGAGAGCGTCGTCCACCGCCATCACCTATCTCACACGTTGCCTAGCAGTGCGCCGCTGCTGCACTAGACCAGAACCAAACGGCCCGGCCATCATCACGCGTGCTCCAAAGGGGGCCGCCTCCAGCTGGCTGGGCCACATCGCCGCGCCATCGCCCAACGCCCGCCACCGCCCCGGCGAGCATCCCATCTAGAACGCTGAATTCAAGATGGCGTGCGCGTCTTGAGAGAACAGCCTTCTGCGCCACACACACCCAGGGCCTCCCAACATGATGAAGATGCTGTACGAGAAGTCGGTTGAGTGTCATGACGGGATGGCTCTGTATGATCGATCGACGGTTTCATTTGTCCACTTGGCATCCTCGAAATATCCGTCGCCGATTTTGCCTTACCTCATTCGCCACAGGCCACCTCATTTCACCATTTCGCTCTCTGCGGGATGGGTGTATGTTGACTCATACGCTGGAGCTGCCTCTCGATCTGTGGCACGCTTTGCACTGCAGAACAAAGGAGAGAGAAAATCTTTCCCCTCTGTATCAACACCAATTACCACCCTGTTAATAGAAGGGTTGTGGGCGGCAACGTGTTCCGAGCTGCGCAGCAAACCGCCGGGAAGCGGTAAGCCACACAAGGCTTGGCAAGCCTCGCAGGATCGTGCGTGTAACTGGATATTGGACGGCTAGGCAGTGCGGACGATTCTCCTTGCTTTGTGGGTAAGACCCGCGGGATCGCCTGGCTGGGCGGCGTAGAAACACAGGCCGACCCCAGAAGCTGACTTGAGACAACCATTTATTAACGCGCCGCAGTCTGCCGTTGATGTATGTTGCTGCTGCCGAGTACGAGACAAAGTTGGATTATAGTTGTATTCTTTTATTCTTGGCAGCTCGTGTTGCCGTTGGATGGCATGCGTTCCGGTACCAAGGTTGGTACGGCATACTTTGATGCCCAGCGCATCTCGACTCGACAATGGAATAGTGAGCACCCGCCTGCAATTGCCCAGCCGCCCGTTGCCAATACCAGTAGCCTCGCATTGTCACACCAAGTCGATGCCTAGGCATTAGTAGCCATATCGGTAGATTGGTCAAGTTTTAGTCTTTTTTCTTTTATCGATCACACCGAGAACACGGTGCCAAGAGCCTCACACTAGCCCTGCTCCCCTGCACTGCCACAGGGTTCTGTAGTATATCGCATTTGGGTGTGGTGTGAAGCCAATCTATCTTGTTAGCATTTCTAGCGTTGTCAACACTTGCGGAATACTAGTCTCTATAGAAAATAGACGAAGGTAAAAAACAACGCTATTTTCGCCTAACTCTTAGTTGACAAGAGAAACGGGGTGCCACGAGGACATCGGCGGGGAAGCCTTTAGCCGGCCTCGGTCGCTTTCCTGATGAGTGGCAATACGATGGTATCTTGATGTTCAGGCCAGCCCCATTCTAAGCGAGAGTTGGCCGTACTGGTAAAAGCCATACCTACCGGCCAAAGGTCAGTCGGAGCTTCTCCGCTCGCTAACAAGGTACTTTTGCAGTCTGTGGACGACCAATTGCATTAAATTGTATTGTTGACGGACTTGAATTCAACAAAAACCTACAAGTAGAAACTGACCAGTCGACAGGCCTGCTGCGCGGCCAGGCTTGTTGTCGGCCAGTGGGCGAAGACGGCTTATGATTGTCTGCGCGCCTTGTCATTAAGAGCTGAGCCGTTTGCTCTTCACAGGAATAGTCGTCGTCGAAGCGGAGGCTCTTGGACGATGCATCTCTTGCGGGAACACGACTGAAGGTATGTGGGGAACAAGGCCCGATTTGTATGCCTCATAGAATCGTCCTTTCTGATTTATGAGGCAGGGAGAAACTCTATCGTGCACGCCGAACTGGAGCCGTTCCGAGGTGGCCAAGAAGCGATAGCCGAGAAGAGACAGGTTCAAAGAAGCTGAGGCACCACCAATAACCACAGAGGCTGCGGAAAAATCGGCAAAAGGCCACTCAGGCTGCGAAGTGATTGGCTGCCACGCCGGGAAGTAGCTAGAATAGGAGTTCATTGGCAAAGAGAGCCGCTAGCCTTCCCTGACTCCGTGAAAGATACAAGCGCCTGGTAGGCCGTAGAAGAATGAATGTATGTAAGTGTATAGGTAGGTACATGCGGCACGCAGTAGCTAGGAGCTTGGGGTGGAAGTTTGAAAAATGTTGCCATTGGCAGACGCTCCAAAGATATGAGGGCGCTTCCGCCCATACTCTTGAGATGCATTGTCCTTTCAGTTATTATGCAATCGCTTGCACAAAATCTGGCGTCGGAAGTGAGAGGCTCCGGCGCTTGGAGTTGTTTAAGGTACAGACAGAGTAGGCTAGTAAAGCAGATGATGCCTTGCCTCCTAATTTCGGTGGCACTATCTTGGCATAAAGGCAGTGGCAGAGACATATTGGTCAGATGTATTTCTCAGCATCTGTATCTGGCCATTCTGTCGAGGCAGTTATTAATCACTCGTGATATAAATGCGTGTCGACATACATCGCCCCCGTCGTCTATGTTTAGCGGGCTCAGAAAGCTTGGCTCGGTCAACCTCCAGGGCTGGGCCACATCCGTCGGGACTAAGTTAGGCGGCACGGGCGAGCTGTCAATTGGCTCCAAGGCACCGAGTAAAGGCGGAACGGTACCAGAAGAATGCAATGTGACGAGCCAAGGCTATGCGAGCCGAACTAAAGAGATTCCTGTTAGAAGAAAAAATAAACTCCTAGTCTGAGTGTGCATGCATGCAACCTCACGAGCTGGTGCAGGCAGGTTGCCAGGGCGCAGTGACCGGCGAGGCCGTAACAAGAAACAAGACAAGACCGAGGGCGAGAGCGAGGCTCCAGTTGCAGCTGTTACGCCTTGTTGTGATACTGCGGCTCGGGGTGGGAGGGCCTTGTTTCTGCAGGGTCTGGGTAGGGACGTATGGAAGGGCGAGAGATTAGGGAAGATTGTGGGAGAGGGTGGGAGAGGGGTTAAAGGAGGAGGTGGTACTTGCGGTGCGGAAAGGTACATGGGCGGTACCTCGAGTACTTGGGATGCTTGGAGATACCGACGGTACATGGGAACATGGATACCGGTACTGGGTTGGGGCACCGAGGCGTTCCGAGGGGGATTTTGTACTTTATAGGGATATTTTCTGGGCCGGCAGCGAAGACATAAAAAGTATACTCAAAGTAGCAAATGGAAAAGCAGCCGAAGCATGGGTACAAGCAGAAGAAAAGGAAGCAGCAAATGGAGTGGGAGCAGGAGGAGCGGGAGCAAGAGCAGGAGCTGCTGCGCCTACCAGTACCTGTCCGACGTGCAGTGGCAACCTACGAATACCTTCGGTAGGTGGCAGGTCGACGGCACCCTCTTCGTCAAGACCCAAGCCCAAGTAACTCCGTACCTCTCTGAAGAAAAGTGGCTCTGAGGTAGCAGAGAAGGCCCCTCCTCTCCTGCTCCACTCGTAGGTAACGCACACCCTCAACCAGGCCCCTCAGTGGAGCGGCAATTGTAAAGCCACACCCAGGTCCCACTCTCCGAGAAAGCCACACTCCGGGTGTGGGTCGTCGCCTCAAAAGCACACACACACACACACAGAGCAGCAGGCACACTCCCTCGCAAGCCCGCCAACGGTAAGACCACGGCTTTTTATAAAGACACTGCGATGCCCTCAACCCATGCTCCCGAGATCTTGTTCATGATCACTCAATTCTACACTGCCAGCCCCCTTGCGAACATCTCTTCTCCACAGCTTCGAGAATCCTGTATCACTCTGGCATCTTCTACTTGATACCATCTACTACTCCTACCTCTACTACTTGCTCACTACTACTTGCAACGCCATCACGAACTGCCGTCGCACGCAACCACCGCCACCACCAGCACCACACATACCTTCTGCAAACAGTCTGCGGAATTCACGCCACCACAACACACAACGTACTCATGCACACACACGACTTAAACATGCCTTCAACCACAATGACATTGGGTCGTCCTGTCTCTGACGAGTCTTCCTCCTCCTCCAAGTCCTCTAAGCGCAAGGGTATGATTCTCGCCCCTCTCTCTATTTTCTCGCCCCTCGTCGTTCATACTGGCTAACGCGCGTCCTTTCGCCTCCCTCTAGGTACCCGCAGCGTCTCAACCCTCACTCCCTCCCAGCTCGCCCGCAAGCGCGCCAACGACCGCGAGGCCCAGCGCGCGATCCGCGCTCGCACCAAAGAGCACATCGAGCGCCTGGAGCGCGAGCTCGAGGAGCTGCGCAGCCACCAGAACCGCGACCGCACCCTGCAGGACCTGCTCCGCCGCAACAAGGCCCTCGAGGACGAGCTTAGCCGTCTGCGCGAGTCCATGGGGATGTCCATGACCTCGTCGCCCTACTCGGCACCGGCCGCCTACGACGAGCAGCAGTCCGCGCCGCCGCACGCCGCCGCCACCTCGGGCTCCGGCCCCATCCCCTCGCCCCGAATGTCGCCTCTTGCCTCCTCGGCGGATTACAATCCCCTGCCCGACTACGGCCAGCACTACGTCGCCATCCCTGGCAGCAATGTCGACTCCTGGGCCGCCAACGTGCCCTCTCATATCAGCTCTACTGTCTCCAGCCCGTCTTCGTCTGCCGACGACTACGTCTCCGGCTATATCCCCACCAGCGTGCCAACCACCATGATGCCCACATCCAACAGCCTCGAGTCCATTGACAACTTCCGCATCAACAACATGCCAATGCAGGGAGTTCCTCCTGCTGTCTACATGCAGCAGCAGCAACAACAATCGCAGCACCAGCACCAGCAGCCTCCGCCGCAAGGCTCCTCCCAAGGCGACTGGCCGATGTACAGCGTCTACTACAACTCCCAATTGCCTAAAGGCAGCGAGGCCTGCCTGTCTCGATAAAGTTCATCTCATGCCACCAAGATGAAAAAATAACCGAGGGCTGGCGGCGAAAGAGCCAGCCAAGGGCAACCTCTCGCAGGAACAACAGCCTTAGGCACGCTTCGCGCCAAGCACCTAGCCGCCCCTCAAAAACTCTGTGCGCAAGAAAATCGCCTGAAAAATAACTGTACCATTACAACAGGAGTTTTGAATTGGGCAGGGATTCCAACTTTTTGGGACGCAGTTGCATTGAAGGACAGGAAAACTTTGTCCGGGGGTTATGCATTGGTGGTGTGGCGCAGCCTTGATTTTACTTGACATTAACACGGCGCAACAATCACTGCACCGCAATTGCGGTGCGACTATAGCAGGGTTCTTTATGACATGACAATGGGCTACAGATATATAGAGGATATCGGAGTTATTTTATCTGCTGTTGATTTTCTGGCGGGTACATACACATTGGGCGGGATGGGAATAGCATTCAGTTTTGTTTTTTAGTATACTTTTATATCACCCGAGTTGATACCACTTTATTTTCTCAAATATTTGCACGAGGATACCTTGAGTTCCTAAGAAATCGTGACGTGCCTCACCTGCTTGATTGCGTGTATTTGTTTCTCTATATAACCTGCTTTGACAGGAATCGGCGAGTATGCTCTGGTCTACCAACCGACAAACTGCCACCTGCCACCAAGCAACCCGACGAGGTAGCGTAGATACCACGTTGTAGGATGAAATGCACACAATAACGGGGAGGAGGCTAGAGAAAGACAAGGACCCCCCAATCCATCTCGATTATTTTTAACCACGACTCTGACAATGTGGGGAGGGGGCGTACCAACGAAAGGAAGAGGATGGACAACTTGAAACGATGACAAGATGAGGCAGAGCGCGAAAGTGCGGTCAGTACACTGTGCTAGGTCGACTTCACACCCTTGCACGCAACTAAATAACTACCGTTTATACGCTAATCCCATAATAGATTTGTCCCACGGCGTTGGCCCAGGAAACTGAAGGCAAGGCAGCGAAGCAACTATGGTGGGAGACCGCGGGTTTTGCTCAAAGTGACCTAGCTTTGAGGCACAGTTGTTGAAGATAACTGGCTGCTGGTGTTTGACTTTTACCTTGCGCCTGCTTGAGCAGAGGCAGACAGGACGAATCAGAGATTGGGGAAAGGGGGGAGGCAGGGAGAAGGGGGTTCTAGCTGGGTTACGGCGGCTCGCCTCTGTTGTGCTCATGCAGTCATGGCATGCAGAAAAGACGGCGACACTAACTAGCTATTTAGCTTGGGACCCCGTCGATCTGGGACTATACGTGCGTTGGTTGCCGACGCGGCCACGACAGCGCACGTGTTTGGCAGATTATCGGGGTCGAGTTACGTTGTATTGATGAATAGGTCGTTGATGTATTTTATTTCTCAAAAACACCCCAAATAAAGAAACCCTTTGTTAGTGAGATTGAGTTTGGAGGGCGAATTGGGAGGCGTAATGGTGTGTGTTGCGCTTTGACGGCCAGAGTGGATAGCAAGTCTGCGAATTAGATGGGAGGGTGTTGGTATGTGGGATCCCCTGAACGATTTTGTAATACCAAGTGTCTATGGCAAAGGCGGAGTTGCAGCAGCCAGCATCGTGGAGGGAGTGGTGGCAAGGAAACGTGGGTGAGTTGAGAGCATCGACGGCATTGGCTCAACCATCCAGTTGGTTATTCTCGGTCTCGGCCTCGGCCGTTTGCTGTTACGTGCCATCATCGTATTATCGTGTTTGGCCGACGATGGTCATTATGAAAGGACACAAAAAAACTGACAGAAGAGAAGAGCGGAGCATAAGAGTTGGCACAAGGAGAGGAGGGGAGGGGGGAGGGAGGCCCGACGATGGTGCAAAACACGTCGAGACACAGACGTCCCCGACAGGGGCCAACCATGTTCGCGGGTAGCCAAAGAGGTAGCCTCTTGACACCTGGCCGAGCCGTGGCTTGCCCAGCTGCCATGTTGTGTCAAGGATCCCCCGGGTGGTTAAGCGAAGGCGCTGAAGCCCGCCTCCATCCGACCTTGCCAAGATGGATGGATGGATGACAGGGCAGCAAAGGCCAGAATCAGGACCTTGTTTGCGAGAGCCAGGCAGGCGAGCATACGAGCTACAGCGCGGTTAACTACCTAGGTAGACGCATGGATAGAGGGCTCGAGTTGCGGCCAAGGAAGAAAGGCTCATGCTGACCTGCATACGCGCGGGAACAAGCGGGAAGCATTTAGTAGAAGGCAGGAAGAGGGGGCAAGGGCCTGAGCAGGAGGGGGACCCTAAAAACTAGCCATCGACATCGACCCGAATCACAAAGTAAATCGGACAATCGAAGGGGGGTCCCCGATGAATGGAGTTGCTCTCAACGAACCGGGGGGTTGCGTTGGCTCTTGTCGCCTCTTTGCTCTGCTGCATGCTGCAACTTGTTCTACAAAAAAAAAGAGGCCGCCAAGGCGACTGACGGATGACCGTTTCATTACCACTCTGTAATCTTGCGTAACCAGCCCATCGGGAACCAAGGGCCCTCTTTTTCAACCCCTGCTGTTTACTCTTCTCGTCGTATAAGAGTACCATTTCCAGAAGAAGACGAAGACGAAGACGTAGAAAAACGTTGCAGTGCATACATAGACACACACCACCACTGATGCCACCACGAACTGGACGTGCATTTTGGTGGCGTCAACCTTTTGCTCTTTTCTGGAGCTTCCTGCATGCCCCGATACCGCCGTACCTTTGATTAAAGTCATCTCTCACGCCATGCATCTCAGTTGGTCGTTTATGTACGTCCATGGTGACAATGGAAGCAAGAGAAGAAATAACCTTGGCATGCGTTGCATGCATGCGGGTATAGCGAGCCCAGCCCCGCTGCTGTGCTTCTGGCCCGCGGTCGGCTATTGCACGGCTACTGACTGGGTAAATGGAACTTGGATCGAATCGAGATGGGCAGACGGGGGTGGGCTGAGGGAGGATCAAAGTACATGCAGGTTGGCAACTGTCTTACTAAACGGGACAACGGCGGTGTACATCATCACGTTCGTGAAAAAGAACCGAAAAAAACAGGGTTTGCAGAGATAAATGAATGGATGAGCCGGGACGAGCAGCATTGTCGGGTTCGACATCGATACACCACCGCCTTTTGGCCGTCACTCCATATCTTTTCATATTCCGGCCGCAATCTACCAAGTACTTTGTATGCACACGCCTTTGAACAACTCGGCTTCAAAAGACAGACCGAAAAGTCGCACGACACTCCGAGTATTATCATTGGCTGGCCCTTTTCCATCAAACCGTTGAGAGAGGCGTCCGCCCGGCACCACCACCACGACAAGATAGTGTGGCCGCAGGCCAACCGAACCACCAAGAGCCAAGACACGACGAACAGGACAAGGCGCCAGCGCCCGTCTGAAAGTCGCATCTGGGTTGCTGGCCTGTTGATCTCGAACCATTCGAAACTCTTAGGTTTCCCTCCAACAACCAACGTCACACGCGCGCCCCTCATCCCCGAGTACTTATTGCCACGAGTTAGCGGTATTGAGTTATTTGCCAAGACCGCAGGAGGCTTGGGCTCAGGCTTAGGTAGGGAGTCGTGATAGCGATGTTAATGTGTTGCTGTGGCTTGCGAGATGAGTGTGTCTGTTCTCTGTTTCTTCAGACAGCGTTCTTGCCCCCCTCCCCCCCCCGCCAAATCGCTGCTGACACACGTCTGATCGAAAATATCCCGGGCGCGGCTCCCATCAACCCCCCTCCATTTCCACTCTTCCTCGCAAACGAACCCATTCGTCGGCGCCGCCCTGTGGCTGAATGGCGTCTACGAGAAACAAAAAAAAACACCTCGCGTGGTTTTTCTTCCCACTACACGGCTCATCGGTCGATGATGGATGGATGACTGGGAGGGTAGGGGGAGGGGAATTGACTTTTGATTCCCCTCTCTTTCTTTGATCGACAGGCAACTCAACGGTTTTCCCAATGGCTCATGGCTTATTGAGTTTCTGGCTAATAAACGTTGTTCCAGCTTGCTGCGCGGCGGACCTGGGGCCGGCTGAGTGGGTTGGTGGCGGCCAGCGGCCGGCCTATTGTCTTGCTCTATTCGCAAGCGGGCCGGCTTGTTCAACACAGGCGCCGCCATGATCGACCTGCTTTTGGGGCCTTGGAGGCTTGGAGGCGTCAATCGTCACGTTCACCAGAGACCATGCCCAGAGTTAATCGACATGGGGCAACTGTAAAAACGAGGGGAACGAGCAATGTGAGACGACACGGCGCTAAACTTGTCGAGAACTCAAAGAAGCGTGATTTCCTTCCTTTTACTTCCCGGCTGCTTTTTTTGCTTTTTTGCTGGGTTTGAGCCAGCGTCACATTCTCGTGGATGGACTTTTGGTTTGCCTCCCAATTGACAGTATGGAAAGGGTGTGTGACGGAAATTTCCGTCACCAATGAGTCTGCCGCAATTGTGTGTGGCTTTGACGCCCGGCGAGAATTCCAAGTCACCGGGCGCAACGAGGACGGGCTGATCTCGGGGATGCTGACACTAACAAGAGAGGACAGAAAAGGCCGGGGGTGGTTTGCTTCAAGGGCCGCCAACGCGCGGCGGCCGCAACTGTAGCATGCGATCAGGCGTCAAAGAGTGGTGCGTGCAGATGCAGACAACGCGACGGCATTTCAGGCATCGGGTAATTTGGTCCATTTCTACTCCGTAGCTCGGTCGGCATAACTAGCATTGCTTTCGTCCTTGCAGGAATTGGCTGCATTTACTTCACCCTGTTAGGTAGTAGCAATTACACAAAAGGACGCATACGCAATGCCTCTTTTCACAGGCACATCCATAACCCCCCCTTCTCTCTCTCACACACACACCAACACACAAACAAACTTACACTCCCTTTGAGCCACGGCCCACGGCCTACGGCCCACGGCCCACGGCCAGCAAGCTTTATCCTTGAAGCCTGTATAGGAAGGTCGTCGTGGAAAGTGCAAAGTACCCAGCGCGAAACCCGCCCTACACGCGCC